ATTTCTTCACGTGCCTTCCATGCAGGTTTTGATGGCCATCGGAGCTTCCTTTCATTCTATGTCGACACAACTTGAGCATGACACAGCGCAACACCTAGCTGGCCATGGGAGGCCAATATTTTGTGTGACCTTGACCGCATTTCACCGCCTTGGCTCCACGAATCGCAGAACATCGCAGCACACATTGTGCAAAGTGCCATTTGTGTTCAATTGGGACCCGTCTTGCTGAGGATGAGGTAAGTGCAGGACTTCAAATCTCTGGGATGCTCTTTCTGTATCTTGATAGCAACGAGTTAACGATAACGAATTTATGGTAACGAGGCAGGAGGATTTGAAAAAGATTCTCTCGGAGCTTGTGACGCCCGTGGCCAGGTTGATGGCCTCCATCTCTTATTTCCTTTGGCTGGTGATGCATCCAGCAGAATTGAGGTGCACGCGATGTTAAAATTGCTAAAACTGCGAGTTTTTTCTGTGTGAGACTTCTGAATGTTTCCTGTTCTGGCAATCTGGCAGGCGGCACTTTGAGAGGTTGGCTGCTGAAAGTTCCTTCTCAGCAATAGGGCTGGGAATGTTTTGAAGTTCTTTTGAAGTTCTTTTGTTTTGAAACTGAAAGTCATGAAGGAAATCTGGCACGCAAATCTCGCCTCATTTTGTGTCTGTCAGGTGGGGTCAAGGCCAAGCCAGGGCAGGTGGGGTGTTCGCAAAAGAGCCCAGGGGTGAAACACGGTGAAAGACATGAAAAAACATCAGCAAACATGAACAAACAGGTGTAAATTAGGTGTAAACTATCTAAAATATGATAAAATGACACGTGTAGTCATGTAGTTAAATTGCATTTGAATTTGTTGATTCGCAGGCAGTCCTCTCATGGCAAGAAAGTGCTCCACAGCAGGCACTTCAGCCGCACTACAGAGGTTCCATGCACAGATGTAAGGAGACGCCAGGAGACGCCAGGAGACGCCAGGAGACGCCAGGAGACGCAAGGATCATAGCCTGATGATTGATAGATATTTTCGATATTGATAGCTCAAAGGTTGCATTGCATCAACATTCCGCGCACGACTCGTGTCCCAGGTATTGGCAGGAGCCTTCAGAGCACAGGGTGCTCCGATTGAAGCCTCACAGCCAGTTTCCACAGCGACTGAAGTGCCGGTGCCCTCTGCGCCTGCGGAAACTCAGAAAGAGAAAGCCGAGACAGCGGAGCAAGCTGAAGTGAAAGAAGTGAAAGAAGTGAAAGAAGTGAAAGAAGTGAAAGAAGTGAAAGAAGTGAAAGAAGTGAAAGAAGTGAAAGAAGTGAAAGAAGCTCCCAAAGAGGCGAAAGAGTTGAAGAACCCACCTGAAGCTCCCACTGCCACGGAAGATGCGGCCTGACCGCAGAAAGCTAAGGGCTGTCTGGCCAGTTGATAGACCCGATGCAAAGCTAGTTTCATCCCACATCATAGCTCTGGTAGGGCTACATGTTTTTCTACTACTTTGCAGAGTCTCAGTGAGGCATAGTTAGGAAATCTGGAAAAGGCGCAGTCTTGCTGTTTGTGAGCAGTTGAAGCAACGAAAATACCCTACTTTGATATTTTTTCAGATATTCAAACATCTAGTTGTAATGAGAAAACAAATTGTAATGTTACATCATGTTACCACTTGGGTGACTCGAGTTGTATATAGATATGTCGAGTCCTCTTCCATTAAATTCTGACTTTGTGTGCCAAACCATTGTCCTTAACAGGAGCAGAATATAAGAATTACAATTCCACCAGATCCGCACGTGCTTGTAATTACTATAAAATTGTTGCTTATGCGAGATTCGTATGATAACAAGCGTTTGGAGGAATGAGAACTGTCGAGTAGATTCTTGAACAAAGGCAGTTCAATTCCTGTTGCACTCTGCATTCCACGCTAATCGAAGTGAGACGCCAGGAGACGCCAGGAGACGCAAGGATCATAGCCTGATGATTGATAGATATTTTCGATATTGATAGCTCAAAGGTTGCATTGCATCAACATTCCGCGCACGACTCATGTCCCAGGTATCGGCAGGAGCCTTCAGAGCACAGGGTGCTCCGATTGAAGCCTCACAGCCAGTTTCCACAGCGACTGAAGTGCCGGTGCCCTCTGCGCCTGCGGAAACTCAGAAAGAGAAAGCCGAGACAGCGGAGCAAGCTGAAGTGAAAGAAGTGAAAGAAGTGAAAGAAGTGAAAGAAGTGAAAGAAGTGAAAGAAGTGAAAGAAGTGAAAGAAGTGAAAGAAGCTCCCAAAGAGCCGAAAGAGTTGAAGAACCCACCTGAAGCTCCCACTGCCACGGAAGATGCGGCCTGACCACAGGAAGCAAAGGGCTGTCTGGGGGAGGGATTAGGCCTCCGTCAGACTCAGAGTTTAAATTGAGTCTTGCATTGGCCTCTTGAGGCAAATCGAGAGAAAAAATCCAAAGAGTGTTGGTATTGAGTTTATGTGAATATGGTGAATTAGACATCATGAAGTACGTTGTGATTCAAATGAATGATCTTGTTGCTTGCAATAGTTTTGAACTTCTCGCTTCTCCCCCAATTTGGACCTTTAACTTCGCAACTAATACGTGGATATAAGTTCCACGGCATGTGTGTTTGGTGTGGTGCATGCAAAACATTGCAAAACATTGCTGTCATTCATGTTTTAGTCGCAACAAGCAGCATCGCTATGCATCGCTCCAAAGCCTCACGTTAAACACGTTTAATCCCAGTTTCACCCACGGTCTTCCCGCAGGGAGCCAACAGAGCCAGTCTCACTGCTTGAAACTAATTCTGGCCAGTCTGGCGCTGACACGCGGCGTGTCACACACACACAGCTTGCAAAACAAGCCCCCGATGAAGTGCATTAACAAGCCCCCAAATGCCAATTACCTCGGGTTAATCGGGCGGAAACAAAGATCGCGAGACAACAAGGACCAAAGATGTACAGGACTTTACTCAATGATACCAATGAAATTTGCAGTGGTACAACGATAATGTATCTAACGGATGCCATGTGATATCCTGTGTACAGCAATTACAGAACCATTTCAATAACCGAGATGATATGCAGGGTCTGAGGGAGACCGTGGGACTTTGAGGGACCAGTTGAATAACATCAAGTCGTAGAAGAATAGGTAGCGGGGAATGCATAGAACGCGCCGCACAACAGGCCAGAACTAGTCATGTGCATCTAGCGTTTCACTGCCATCCGTGGACCTTCAGGACGCAGCAAGGCAACGCTTTCTGCATGACTGTTGATTGTTAAGATACGTCAAGATCTTGTTATCGATGTGGATAGTTCAGCAGTTGCAGGCCAATAATTCGTCAGATACTCTTTGAGATACACCTGTATTATCTTGTGTTCCACTGGCGGCAACCGACCCCTTATGGCTTCAAACGCAGCCGCCATCGTGAGACAAAAAACATGCGAATCCTGTGCAGAGAAAGAGAGAGAGAGAGGGAGAGAGAGAGAGAGCAATTGAGCAGGCAGCTGAATCAGCCGAACAAAGGTGCTGAAGAGCATCTCGAAAGTCAAACGCCGCTGTTTGAGAATGCCTTTTTTTCAGCGATATCGAGATATTCTACTCATTTTACTTGCGGCGACAGGGTAGTGTAGACAATCAAGCGATGCTTGCACATGAGAGCACAGCATTTACATTTTTTCCCTTCGCATTCTGAGTGTCAACTCCCTCAAGTGGAGTCAAGGGCTTGTTCCTTCCGATGTTTTGACTAATTACCTACAGGTTTTGAAGGGGTTTGATGGTTTGATCAATTCTCCAAACATGGAGGTAGGCGATGGCAGTTGAACATCCACTTGGATATTCACCGGGGTATCAGATATCAAGATAATCGATGATAGAATTTGAACCTATAGCTTATGATAGTAAATGATAGTATAGGATATTAGTGATATAGTAGCGTATGATTGTCATATGATTATCATATTACATAATGGGTACTTGATGCTCCATGTTTAGTTTACCCGGTTTACCCCTCTGCAGGTGGCCGTGGCAGTGAAAGTGAACACCCTGCCGGGCGAGCCAGTGGCCTGGCACTGTCCACTTTGAGCTGAGAATTTGGCGATGACATCAGATGATGTTCGCCGTAACCGTTCACAATCCCACAACGTTTAAAACCAGCACATTTTTGATTGGATTTTGTTTTCTTTTGCAGCGTAATGTCTGTATCATGTGATATCATGCAATATCATGTAGTGATATTTTGAATGTTGACGTATGCTGAAGTGTGCTGAAGTGTGCCAGGTGTGCGGATGTACCATGGGTGGTCCCGGGACTCAGATGCCTCGTGACAATTGGGGTGACACACGCAGAGACAGTACTGGTGCACACAGAATCCGGAATAGTTGTAGACCAAATGGATGCGCACAAGCAAAAGACAAGATGGAAGCTCTTGACTCAAGGGTCAAGAAGCACCGTTGATATCAATTGATATAGTTCTATGATGTTCTTTGAGCATAAGGAAGTGGCGCCAACTTCGCTTTCGTAGAGTTCCGAACAGCAGAGGAGGCGCCCAGCTTTTGTCGCTCGCAATGGACACCAATGAAACAACCGGTGATCGGGGAGAGGAGTTGGTGACCAAAGCAGGGAGGTCATGACTGAAAGTGTTGAGCCGTGGATTTCACACATCTTGCTTGCAACTGTTGGCATGTGCATCACATCCTGCCCTTTTGGCACGAAGGGCCCTTAGCCAGTGATTTCCTTTTACCATTGCCTGTGGTGTTAAAATGGCCGCGCCTTTGCACTGCATTTGATTTGAAGCCATCAAATCCGAGATTACGAGTTGGCACCGGAGCTGTGATCGCGGAGGTGTCATAGACAACTATGCCAACCTGGCATTCAATGGTGACTCAGTTGGACGACGACGACATCTCTGAACCTTGTTTGCCTTTGACACCACCCGATGAGATCCAGACCCCCTTTTGTGAGAGTGAGCCCAATACACAGCAGAGGTTTGTTCATGAGGCCCCACAGAGGTGGCGATGTCTGAAGTGTTTTTCATCGGACTATACCTGGAACTGGATGAGAGATCAGTATGAGTGTTTTAGCTGTGGCAGTTGTGAGTTCTTGCAGGAACTTCCCCAGACTGTGCCTAGCGATCGCTCTTGGATGTACCGACCTGCCGACGGTGATTTTCCCGGTGATATCAACCGTGCCCCATCTGAAGCCGGAACTTCGTCTTCACAACGAAGGCGACAGCGCAGAAGACAGAGAGGCAAAGGGAATCCACCCTGGCATCCATCTGATGCGGCTGAATGGGCCGAGTCTGAAGCTATGACCCATGACCCATCCATTGATCCAGATGCACCACTTCATGTACCATCAGTTCAAACTCCTCATGAAGTACATGGTAATCGTTCGCTTGCTGGCAATTCTGCAGGTGCTGCCCGAGCACACCCTTCAGCTGCCGGAAGTGGACGATCCAATAGCGTGACTTCGAAGCCGTCAGAAGACCGTTTGCTTTCTGCACTTCGGAGGCTCGTGTCGGATAGGAAAGATGATGATGAATGGGACCCAGCAAAAGGTCCATCGAAAGGAATCCGCTGGAGAGGTGGCACTCCGCCTCAAGCACCAACCTGGTCATATGACAAGGAGGATCTCCGAGCTTACAACAAATATGTGAGAAAGGTGGAAATCTGGCTTTTGCAAGTTGCCCCATACATGACACGAAAGGAAGCAGCACTTCAGCTCTACGGCGCCCTGGCCGGTGAACCAGAAGCTGAGTTGGAGCACTGCCCCATCACCGACATTTATCAAGATGACGGCGTGGAGCGCATCTTGGAAGCTCTCAAAGCGCCGATGGAGCAGAAGCAGGTGTATCAGAAGCGCAAGTTCTTGCATGAGTTTGAGAACATCAGGCGTAACCATGGCGAGACAATGCGTGCCTACTGCAACCGTTTCCGTCGAACTCAGCGTGCTTTGAAGAGCGTGGGCATTGAGATTTCCTACACCTATGACCATGAGGCCCTGGGAGCTCGCTTGCTGGACCGCTCAGGCCTTAGCCACGAGCAACAGAGGCTCCTGTTGGTAAGCACCTCCCAGAACTTGGCCTTCGACCAGTTGGCTGAAGCTATGGCCCTACAGTTTCCTGATTTTCGAGGAGCCCCGCCGATCGTCGGTGCTAATGGCCGTGAAATTCCCAAAGGGAACTCCAAAGGTGGTAAAACCAATCCCGGCCAAAACACTACATCGCCGTCGAGCTCTTCGACCAGGACTTCTTCAAGTTCTACACACTCTGGCAAGGGATATCCAAAGAAGGCATACGTGGCTGAGGTTGAAACACCAGCCGCACCTGAGGACAGCAATGATCACCTCGACACCATTGACGAGGACGATGAGCCACCAGACCAAGAAGATGACCAAGAGCCAGACGATAGCGTCCATGACACTGAAGCTGAATCTGTGGACTTGTCAGAGCTGGCACAAGTTCTGACTATCACTGCAAAGAAGCTGAGCGGCTTGACCTTGGGACGCAAATGGTCCAAGACAAAGCCTGGATCGCAGTCTTCTACCAGAGATCGCAGGTCACCAGAAGATGCCAAACGCAATACCCATTGCTCTGCCTGCGGCCAGCGAGGACACTGGTATCAAGACCCAGAGTGCCCTAAAAATCAGGGTAAGACTTCTTCGAGCGCTACCTCCTACGCTTCGAGCAAAAAGTCATCAGCGCCATCCAGCAGCGGGAGCAGCAACAAGCCCAAGTTTGCAGTGAATCTCATCCACCATGAGCATGGTTCAATTTCAATAGGAAGTCATGATCAAGAAGATCACCAATATGGCCAAGCATTTTCAGTTGGTATGGTTCACCACATGGATACCTATGACGTGCTGACCTCACACCATGAAGATACGTTTGCAGGTTTTCTTGTTTTGGATTCGGGTTGCCAACGTACATGTTGCGGTCAGAAGTGGTTGCACTCCCACATGAAGAAGCTACAGCAGCATGCGTTGACACCTTATTCATTTCAGGCAGATGATGTTTTTCAATTTGGCAAGGGGACCCCATCAAAGTCTTTGACAAGATCGTTTTTGCCATCAGGGATTGCAGGTGAACCGTTGCTTTTGGGTGCATGTGTCTTGCAAGAGAACATTCCATGCTTGGGATCAAACTCTTTGTTCACTCGACTTGGCGCAGTTCTGGACCTCAGCAACGATTGGGTCACTTTCACCAAGCTAGGAGTTGGAGCAAAGATTCATAGAATAGCAGGACACATGGCAATCAACATTTTGGACTTCCCTGAGCGCACATATAACCAGAAGACTTGGGATGAGCTCATGTACCAGCAAGAAACACCAGACCCTGAGTTTGTTGTGTCCCTGAACCTCAATTCGAGCGATAGCCATGCGCCAGCCGCCTCCTCGATGGCTTGCAGCATGGCGGAAGTTTATGATGAACATTCGGAACATGTTCAAGAACTTCCTCCGCCATATGATGATGATGATCAATCTCAAGGCCCTGCCACGAGATGTGTTGCAGGCCATTCCTCCCGCAGTGCCTCCAACAGCAAATCCCAGGACTTGCCAACACCCGACCACCAGAAGGTACGGGAACGCCCACGGCAGATACGCCGAATGCCTGACATGCAGCACCAAGTGGAAATGGAGCCAAGAAAGTTGGGTTCCACATGGGCGAAAAGAACGCTCTGCGCACTTGCAGCCCTTGCCACCGCCGTCTTCGGCAACGATCAGCCAACCAGCCAGTTCAGCTATGAGGTCAATGAGGCCCAAGGCTCTACCAAAGCCTTCGACTCGACCACCAGCTGGCTATCCGATGATTGGCCCCTCCACATCATGGACGACTTTCAGACCAGGAGAGATGTGGACGTCCTTCAATCCAGGAGACATGAGAACCGACCATCTGACACCCAGCGAGATGGAGGAGGTCGTCCAGATCATCAGCCAAGAGAGTCCAATTGTGGAGATGCAGCATCGAGACGATCTGACATGGATCGAAGAAGCCTGGCTGACGGAAGACATGTATCTGCAAGACCGAGCGCAGCGAGAAGCAGCCTCCAACCAGGCACGATGGGATCGACTGACCCAACTGGGAGCGATTGGGGACATGGAGGAAGAGATCTACGAATGGGAGGAAGTGGACGAGTCCCTCTAAAGAAGGGCACATCAAAGCGGCTTCGAGGAGAATGGAATAAGTCAGCCAACATACTGCAGGCTGAGGTGAACGTTTGCTCCAGAGTCACACCAGCATGTGATCGCCCTACTCCAAATTGCGATCTTTGGGAGTTGTTTGCAGGTGAGGCTCTGACTACAAAGCTTTCCACGGAATATCAGCTGAATAGTCTCCAGCCCTATGACCTTATTTATGGACAAGACTTCATGCTGGAGCACACTCAGAAACACATGCTGCAGACTGTGGATCGTTTTCGGCCCCTCCTCGTCATGATGGCCATTGATTGCAAACACTACAACATGTTCAACAAGAACATGAACTACTCATATCGTCCGGAAGAGTGGGAATGGCTGCAATCAAAAGGTGCCCCGCTTAGAATGTTGGTTTACAAGATTGCAAAGAGACAACACTCTACAGGAAGATTTTTTCTGATAGAGAATCCTCAAAGATCAGAGCTTTGGGAAACCCAGGAAATTCGTGAACTGCTGGAAATGTCTGGTGTGTGGAAAGTGACCTGTGACACAGGTGCCTTTGGTATGCAGATCAATGGAAAGGATGTATGCAAACCGATGACCTTTGTGGGCAACATGCCAGGGCTTGACGAAGTTTTGTCTCGCCGCCTAACACAACAACAGCGGTCTCAGTGCACACCCATCCAAGGTGACATGACTCGCAAGTCTCAGGCGTATCCTGAGGAGCTCTGCAGGACCATCCTCAAAGCTCTACTTGACCATGTTCGCCTTCTGCAGCCACAGCGTTTTTGCCATCGACAGCCCGGCATTCACCATGCACTCCCAGTTCAACAACCAAGTGAAGACCTTGCTGCTTGGGACCCGATATACGATCATGTTGACAAGGCTTTCCAACGTTCCTCAAAGAAGCCTTTCCTGATCGATATTTCAAGCAGTTTTGGCAAAGCAATCCAAGACCTCGTTAGGATCGATGCCATCAAGATCCAAGCAGTGGCCAATCCAACTACGAGGCGCGTCCCACCCAACATTGATGAGTGGTACACCAGAGCCAATGTGTTGTTCTTCAATGATGGACAGCGTGCAGTTGAGGTAGAAGACCTTGGAGATCTTCGTTTTCCGAAACAACGATTTAGCAAACCTGTCCGCTATGGCATTTTCATCTATGGCGACAGAAGGAAGATCCCAGAAGCTGAGCCTCAACCTCAACAACAAGAACAGCCAGGTCCATCAGTAGTCCCAGGATTGTCCACCGATATTGACTTTCCAGGACTACCTTCAACAGTGCCAGCAGAAGTGAAGCGGACAGCTGCACGTTTGCATCTGAACATGGGTCACCCATCTTCACAAGAGCTTTGCAGGCTTTTGGCATACGAAGGTACCATTCCAGATGCTCTATATCAAGCAGTTCGAGCCCTTCGCTGTGCAACATGTGAACGCCTTCGACCTCCACAGAAGGCTAGGCCTTCGACAACACCCAACATCACGGTTGGTCAGTTCAACGATGAGTTGCAATCTGACATCTGTTACTGCAAAACAGTGGACGGAACAACCTTTATGATCTTGGGTGCAGTAGACTGTGCAACAGGTTTTCATCAAGCTGGCATTTTGGGTGACAGAAGTGGTGAAGAAGTTTTTCAACTCATGCACCGCATGTGGTTCCAACCATATGGTCTGCCTTTGCGAATCGTTTGTGATCCTGACCCTTCCTTCAAGGGAATGTTTCAGCACAAGATCCAAGCGATAGGCATTTTGCTTGAGCACTGCCCTGCGGAAGCACATCATGTGATTGGAATGGTTGAGAGGAGGAACTCAATTCTCCGTTTAACCTTGGAGAAGCTGATTGATCAGTTCGCTGCAAGCACAGTTGAACAATGCCACGTCTTGGTGACGTCAGCATGTCATGCCATGAATGCGGCTATCCATACACATGGCCGCTCAGCATACCAGATGGTTTTTGGCAGACAACCCAGGATGTTGGACAGCAACTTCAGCGACTCCATGGTTTTGGCCACCTCTTCAACAGCCATCAAGTCAGCAGATGAAACCAATCTGGGCTTCAAAGCCGAGCTTGTGCGCAACGAGGCAATCAAGACAGTGCACAATTTGGACGTGAGCCAGCATCTGAGAAGAGCACTTCTCCGAAAGACCAGAATCACAAAGATCGCTGATCTTCAAGCCGGTCAAAGATGTGCATTCTGGAGATGGAGTCGCAAAGGTGGCCCTCGAAAGCGAGGCACATGGGTGATTGGAAGGTTCTTGAGTTGGGACCCTTCACATCCAGGCAAGCAAGCTTGGATTCGCAGTGGCAATACAACAGTCCTTGTCACTGCCGAGCAACTTCGTGCAGCCTTTGGTTATGAAGATTGGACACCGAGCCAGGAAGATGTTGCCGCCTTGAAAGATGCAGCTAAAAGCTTCTCAGATCATCTATTCGATGACCGTGGACCAGCTCCTCCAGAACAAACTCTTGAAGATGACGAGGTCCAGGTCTTTCCAGACGCGGCTCCACCAACACCTTCCATGATGGTTCCAGCTACACCCGTTGCTCAACCAAGCACCCCAGCTCTACCAGCACCTAGACCAAGGACACAATCACCAAGACCAAATACTCCAGATGCTGCGCGAACCACCAACATACAAGTGCATGTTGATCAACCGACTCAAGTGACAAACCAAACGTTGCAATACCAACGATTTGGCGATATGCTCTCAACAATGAGTCGCCGTGCCAGATCCAGAACACCAACGTCAAGAAGACGACCAACGGATCTGAGGATTTCACCAGCTGCACAACCAGCAGCACAGCTAGAGGTTGACAAATCGGTCCCTCCACTACAATTAGATGCACCGCAATCAGAGGTAGAACCACTACCACAAACACCACCGGCAGTTTCACCACCTTTAATGCCACCGCCACCATCAGCAAATACCATTTTGGATGCTGAAGAAGAGCCAGATGCCAATGACCCACCAGAAACACCTTTTCCACTGGATGACTTCCCAGACCTCAAAGATCCTCCAGGAGATGAACAGCCAGATGGGTATGAACCAACTTCCCCAGTTTCGTCAGAAGAGCCACCAGTGCCACAACCAGCAGTGATTGATCTGACTGCGCCTTCACAACCGTCAGATACGGCTATGACAACTGGAGGACCACAAGCAGCCAGCAGCAGCTCGCTGCCCCAACTGCCACAGAAAAGGAACTTTGAAGCCATGATTTCATTGATTCCAACAGGAGAACATCAATTTCACAGACCACATGCTCATTGGGATGGCTCACCACCCATCGGATATGGTCCTCGGCTGAATCGTTTTCATCAAGCTTATTTGTCAACGGTAGAACGAAAAGAGGACGTCGCTGACATCCAGAAACCAGCCGATGAGTCAGATACCACCAATGACTCAGACACCGATGAATCAGATGATGAAAGCAATGCAGCAGCAACCACAAAGAGTGCACGCCTTCAACCAGTCCGACAGCAAGGCACCAATGCTAAGACTCATCAGTCTCAGCCTGTTCCTGCGTACAAACAGGGCATGACACGGCAGGAGGTCAAAGCTTTAGACAGAGAGCTGCCTTGGAGAAGCATTCTCAGCATGCCTGCCAAGTACGTGGACAAGTTTTTGGAGGCGATTTCCAAAGAAGCACTTGCCTGGCAGCAATGGCAATCAGTGCAGCCATTGTCAGACGCCGAAGCTGAACAAGTGTTTCGAGACCCTAAGCTGTCTCGGAGGATTTTGCCCAGCCGAGCATGCTACCGCGACAAGAGCTGCGGAATCGGAGAGATTCGACCCAAATGTCGAATTGTTGCACTTGGCCATTTAGATCCAGATTTATCTCAATTGTCACGCAATGCTGCCACTCCAGGTCGTACTGCAGAACATGTGATGTTTTTGATGATTGTAGCTGGATACAATGGATGTTTGTTCGATACCTCATTTTCTTGGGTTGGCTACATTGGGGATGCGAAGACTGCCTTTCTTCAGGGAATGCAAGACCCCAAAGAACGAGCAGGACCACTGTTTTTGAAGCCACCAAGAGATGGACTTATCGCCCAGACAAACACCTGGACTGCCAAGTTGTATCAAATTCATGGCAACATCTATGGACTTGCGAACGCGCCAGTGACGTGGCAGAAGGAAGTGATAAAGCGACTGCATTCCATTTCATTTCAACAACATGGTTTCGACCGTCAACTGTTTGTGAAAAGGAATGAACAAGGACAGATTGTAGCTGCGATTTTGACATACGTCGATGATTTTGTCATTTTGCACCGAGAAGACTATGACATCAAGGAAGTTTTTGCCCTTTTTGAGTGGGGATCGCTGGAAAAGATGGAACTTGATAAGCCAGTGACCTTCAAGGGGAAAGAGCTGACCCTATGTCGTGACAATCAGTCCAAAAAGGTTGACATGAAAATCACTATGAAGAAGTTCATTGATGGTTTGGACTCTGGAAAAGTACAGCGTGGTCGCCCACCTGATGCCAAACTGACCCCAGAGGAACAGAAAGAGCTCAGAAGTGTGTGTGGCTGCCTCCAATGGCTTGCAACACAGTGCCGTCCAGAGGTTGCTGCGTCTGTGAGTTTGACACCACATGGAGCAGAAGCATGCGTTTCTGACCTTAAGGCTCTCTATGTGACCATGGAGTTCATTAAGCAAACACCTGATCAAGGACTTTTGATTCCATGCGTCCCACTGAACCGAGATTCCGTAGTTGCAGTGTACAGTGATTCCTCATGGAACAATGCACGCAAAAGCGGCAGCCAAATTGGAACTTTAACTGGCGTTACCACTCCACAAGTTTTTGAGTCAGTTAGCAGCTTCGCAACAGTAGACTGGAAGAGTAGCAGATCGCCCCGAGTCTGTAGGTCTACGTTGGCCTCTGAAGCCACAGCTGCGGACGAAGCCGCAGACCGCGGAATGTTTTTGAACCTTTTTCTGAGTGAACTGATGTGGAACATTCCTGCTCACAGGGTTGGATCTAGGCTCGATGTTGTTCACGCTGTTGATGCCAAATCACTTTATGATGCCGTGATCTCAGAGAACCCCAGCTTGAACGACCGTAGAACTTTGGTGTCTATCAGGTCCATCCAAGAACAACTTCCTGTTGATGCCATCCGTTGGGTTCCTACTGATGTGCAATTCAGTGATGGTTTGACAAAGATAGATGCCAAGTTGCGAGACCGATTTGCCGAGTGGTTGCAACGCCCAGTTTGCATTATGACGAAAGATGCACAAGCCAAAGAAAAACATACCCGTGAAAGTGTTGAGCCGTGGATTTCACACATCTTGCTTGCAACTGTTGGCATGTGCATCACATCCTGCCCTTTTGGCACGAAGGGCCCTTAGCCAGTGATTTCCTTTTACCATTGCCTGTGGTGTTAAAATGGCCGCGCCTTTGCACTGCATTTGATTTGAAGCCATCAAATCCGAGATTACGAGAATGACAATTCATGACATGTCAATCATGTCACATTGCATATCACATGTTTTTCACGTGTTTGTCACACGTTTGATAATCTTAGATTGCGTTACACATGTCTTCATACACCTTGCCTTGGACAGCCGTGAGAGGCTGCCAATGGGCTTCGCCTCAACGGCGTAGAACTCCTCGGCTGCCAGCTGAAGGCGACCCGGAGCCGGAGCAGATGTGCAGACCGATTGGCAGATTGCGGCCGATTGGGGTTTCAATTCCTTTTTCATGTTTCAATATGTTTCAATTCAGGTTGGCAGACCGAAGGGCTACACTGGGCCGGAAACAGGCCCGGTGTATTAGTCGCCACATCGACACAGATGAAACCGACCAAAGCGTACATTTCAATCTCACGGTTCAGTCACGTCTATACCCAGACACGTTTGATCACGTTTGATCACGTTTGATCACGTTTGATCACGTTTGATCACGTTTGATCACGTTTGTTTCTTGAAACGTTTTTACTGCAGCTGTTTCAAAGCCTGTTCTTCATGTAGGTACTCCTCAGGCGACCTCGACACCTTCGCTCGGGGACTGGTTCACAGTGGTTCACAGTGGATGTGTTCTCCGTAAGAAACGGACACCAGATGCAGCGCTCCAAAACCAAACTGGGAGCAATTCGATGCGGGGGCGGTGAGGATCTGATGGCACAACATGGTGCTTTGGGCAAGACGTACAGCTGGCCTGTTGCACCACACAAATTTGAACATTTCATTCCATTTCATTGATTTTCATTCATTGTTATTCATTGTCATTCATTGTCATTCCATGTCACCCGTTTCCATGCTTTCAATTTGCAATCATTCTCCAGGCTTGCGCTGCCTGGAATGCCTGGACAGCGGCATCCTCAGTAGAATGTCTCAAGGATGTCTAGACTCAGAATGACTCAGAATGACTCAGACACATTGATCCTGGGAAGTACACTTGAAGCCGTGGATGTGCCAGATCTATCCAGATCTATGTTTTGAACCTGGCGGCAAGATTTGATGTTTCCAATGGTGATCGTTGAGCCAGAGTTTTCCCAGGCCACATTCTGCCATAGACAGCCGCCTGCCCCGAGCTTGAAGTGAGACTGCACATTATGTGCTTTCAATCAAGTGAATCTCCTGTTTAATCTTATAGTTTTTTCTGGAAGTACTTGCAGTGACAAGCAGTGACAATGCTAGACCCGGAGCAGTGCCATTGCACGAACAGACAATCTATGCGAGATTGATTGGGCGAGCCGCTCCTTGGCCCAAGATGATTGAGGTGTTTGTGCTGTATCCCCACTTTCGTAAGTGCAGCAAGCTCAGCCATCCATTTTTTGGTATTCGGTCCGAGACAAAACGGCAATTTAGATAGAGGATATGATACAAATGGATGCTATATATATAAATAGCCAAAAATGTTTTCACTAGGTACTTGTGATGTTAAAATGCACTCCGGTGCTCAATTTGGAAAGTGACATGCTGAAATCGGTGGGGTGCCAGGAGGAGCGAATCAAAGAATTGCTGATCACCTTCGGACAGCTCAAGTTTTATGCGCTTCAGAAGGACGAAGAAGGCAAATCAGCCGGAACCTTGGAACCTCTTGGAACCTCTTGGAACCTCTTGGAACCTCTTGAACGGATGAGACAGAGCGACGGTGAAGTGCACTGGTCGAAGCTCCATGACAAAGCAGTGACATAGCCTGTCGCATAGCAAAACAATCTGAGACGCGGCAAAAGGGAGCTGCACAGCTTCTCATTGATAAGACAGGGTTGCAATTACAGTGATCATGCTGTGCAAATTCTACACACTCCTAACATCTCCTATCGATTTAGCATTTGGGGGCTTCGCTAATCTTCTCTCCGCCTGACAGCCTTTGCTCCAGGTTGGAGTTGCCTTCTTTGAGTATCAGGATATGATGACTCAACAGCAGGCCTCCACAGAAAACCTCACAATACATCAGGATACATCACTGAGACTGTAGGCGTGGCACCCGATGATATTATCCTGGCACATCCTGGCAGGCCCAAGTAGCTCTGGAAGGCCTAGAATTGGGTCTGGTGCTGAGCCGAAAGGAGACTCATTTGGCCAAGGATCGCTCACTCCCTGACAGCCATTCTCAAATAACTTGCGCTGGTCGTTCTGTGCAGCATTTGGGTGTATTATGGTACATATATGTACATATATTGCCCTCTGGTAAATTAACATAGACCCTGAAAATGACCAATTTATAGTGGAAACTAGTCTTCCAAACCCTATCTGCCAGGGTCTATGTTAATTTACCAGAGGGTATATTCGAGCATGTAATGTATTTGAATAAGATTGAGGATATTTTTTCCTGCCAAGTTGAAGATGGTTCTCACAGAACATCAAGCGCTTGCGCACCTTCGGGTTCAACTGTATATCGTATGCCCTAATAGGATCTAATAGGCCCTATACCACTGAAGAAGATTCCATATTACAATATATATATATAATTATATATATATATATATCAATATATTACAATTGAATCTGATTCATATTGCATTCCGTAAGGCAACAACAAGCTGAAAGTTCTGAAACCCGATCAAGTCATTGAACTTGGCCTGGTGCGGCAGCTGAGCAGTCGGCAATATGTGATAGTATGTGGCAATGTTATGCAATGTTTGAAGTTTGAGGTTCAATGACGTTCAATGAGGTTCATGACGTGAGCTGTGAAGTTCATGAAGTCTCCACGTTCAGAGTTATTTCGATCTTGCCAAACGGCATCAACTTGATTCAATTGTGTTGCTTTTATTGTTTTTCCTGTGGCTTTCCGGGCCACTTCTGGAATGGATTTCCGTGTTTTGCAATGTGTTGCAAAAGGAAACAATCTTTGCCAGGCCCCATAGCTGCACACACGGAAGTTGCATTACACAACTATTTTCGATTTAGAGGTTGCATAGGTATTGCGTGACCCAAACGGCCCTGATGCCCCAAAGGCCAAAGGTCAAAGTTTGTCGTGGGACTGCTGTATTGTCATGTATTGTCATGTATTGTCCATAGGAGATTCTTAGCAGATCTTAGCACCTTGTGTTTTTATTTGTGACATCCCACGTACTTTTGTGAAGGAAACCCACCGTCTTCTAATAGTGAAGTACTATCTACCTTCGGAGATGCAATGTCTCCAGGAGTTGGCGCAGATGCACTCGGAGAAACTATGAGAAATTGAACATACTGACATATCTATACATCATACTGACATAGCTGCAATACATATCTATAATATTCTATAATAGAGAAATCAACTGAGAACATGTTACAGAGGCTTGCAGATGTGTGCAAGACACACACACACACAAACACAAACATACAACCAATACGTATCCAACACCAGGATGGATTAACGTCGGAGCCTCTGAGACTCTGACCGGTTCTCACCGGTTCTCACCGGTTCTGACCGGTGACGGGGTTCTGTGGGTTTGACCCCTCCAGTTGCCTGCCTCGCTGCTGTGTCAGGCCTCCCGGTTGTCTTGTTGCCAGGTGAACAGAGAACAGAAGCTAGGTGCCCGTGTGGTGCCGAGCAAGGTGTGGAACCCAGACCCAGGCAGACCCAGGACCAGCACCACGACAAGCTGCTTGAGATGCACTCGACGCGCGGCCTCCAATCTGACCTTCAGCATCCTTCAGAATCCTTCAGAATCCTTCAGCTTTGTAGCACTTTCTTATATTTTCTTATATTGAGTTGCCCGATGTATGTTCTTTTGGAACTGAAATTTAAAGTGCAGTGTCAAAGTGAAAAAGTGAATGAACCGATTGGACAACCGCAGAGTGATCATTTTCGGTCCAGGTATGTGCCAAAAACCGAATGAAATTAGACGATCTTGTGCTTCTTGTCCTCCAATGATTCCAATATCATCCAACTGGTCCAACATCTTCGATTTTGGATTTCTGAAAAGATAGTCATGATAGTCGTTGACAGTTGTTGATAGTCGTTGGGGCCGATGGGCAGCATATCCGTTGCTGCTGAGGTGCTTTACTTGAAAAACATTGTGTCAACAGAGGACCTTGCCGACGAGACCGGGTGTGAAGCCAAGCGGTGAAGCCTTGGTGAAGATGCTGGCAGCCAAAATATGCCTGCCGCGTACATTTCCAGACTGGATCATTGTATACGTATAGTATACGTATAGTATACGTCATAGATTGTGCCGGCGATGGCGCTTAATCTCAAGAGATGTTCAGCATTATTCATATTCAACTAGTCAGTCTTGAAGCGTCCAGAATCAGTTTGCTCGAAAAAACCATCGGCAGTTTCTGCATATTCCTGTGTAGGTACGCTGAGATTTGCACCGACATTCGCTTGGAAGCTGAGAAGTTCGGCGCAGTAGTCTCGATTGAGGCACAGTTCAACGCTGTCAGATCCACTGCAGCAGCACAGCTCAACGGCACACAGTTCAGTAGTGGTTGCTGCCAAATCTTCATGGTAACTTCGAGAGGTTCCCCGCGGGGGCGGCGGTGGTGCTGGCGGCGGGAGCGGTGGCGGTCTGAACAACGCGCTGCCTGCGCCTGCAGGTGCAGAGACATGCCACTTCCATCCATTGCCTCCACCTTTTGCCATTTTGTTTTGCCATTTGCCATGCCCGGGTTGCAGGTCCTCTCGCGCTCACCAACGCCCCTACAGAGGAACCCAAGGTACGCAATGGAACTGGATCAAGAGCCAGCTGACATTTTGATCATTTCAAACGTTTTGCCAGACCAGACCTCAACAGATGTGTTGTGTGGTGTTTCATAGTCATTGTTTGTTTTTTTTAAATGTCATTGTGATTATGTCATGGCAATTCATTCTATATCGTATGTCTTTCCCTTGCTTCACGTTTGACATCGTGCCAGCCTTCGGCGGCACCGGCGGCTTTGCCTGCCCCTACACTGCCGGACCTGTCCATGGCTCTGGTTCCCATCGGTGGGCAGCTTGCAAAGGCACAGCGCGTCCCTGATGTTAAGATATGTTAAGATGCTAAGTCTTTGCAAGGCATGTTAGTCTAAAATAGTTTGAAGATGTTTGAAGTATGATTACATGGTTGGGGGTTCAGAAAGAACGTATAGCGACCTGCGTAAGTATATCCAGTTGTAGTTCAGCCATAACACGATTGACACGTGCCAACATCTCGCTAGTCTTGTGCATGTGGTGGACACATTTGGGCACCAACCGGCCGTGCCAGCCTGGAACGGGAACTGGCGATGGCACTGGTGGAACAGCTGTGACCTCAAGATGCCAACACTTTCGAATTGCAAAGACAATAAAGACACAGCTATTTCATATTGTTTTTCGTATTGTTTGCCCGTGAATTCGTTTTTTTTTTGCTGTTTGTATTTCCTCAGAAAGCTTGAAACTCAGGGTGCATCTGGCCCTGTGGACCCCAATACGCCTGGCTTCGGCTACGCATTCATCGAGTTTGCAAACATAGAGGTGCTTGGTGAAAATGCGGTAGCTTGTGAAGGTACTGCTGATGTTACGACTCCCCCACGGGCATGCTCTCCTTCCCTGAGTATTTTCTGTGCTATCTTGATTCAGTTGTTACCAAGGTCGCAATTTATAGGACTGTCTGAGTTTTGACTTCATGCACTTTTTGGGTTTCTTCAGCATTTTTGTTAAAACACAAGGTCATCACGAAGTGAATCACGTTTTCATTTGCGCGTTTTCAATGCATCTTTTTTGACCCCGCCTCACGTCTCACGTCGCTCACCCCAGCTCACGTCGCTCGGCTCTGAAACTCGTAAGGGCAGCTCGAAGGCAAAGAAGGCCTTGAACGGTCGGCGATTTGGGCGCGGCTCCTCAGAGAAAACTTCTTGATCGATATTCATATATATCTATAATATACCATATATATATATAACATATATACGTATACACATGTAGTAATGTAGTTGAGATATATCTGTTTACACAGAGATGCTTCCAATGCCTTCCTTCTTATCATTTGTTTCACATTTGATTTGTGGAAAGTGATGGAAGTCTCATTCAGTCTGGTCGCAATCGCATGACAGACTCAGTCACCGCAGTCACGCTTTGAGCCCAGGGCCAACATAGTGGAGGCCGAGCACAAGCCCCAGACTGGGCTTGTTTTTTTTTTTGCTTGGGCAGCTTTTTGTTTTTGCCTTGTCGATCTTGTCGGGTTTTCAGCATCGCAGGCCCGGCATCCCGCAAATTCTGACGCACTTAAGAGCGATGTGCCTATTTCCCACACTGGAACCGGTGGAATGTCCTTCTTAAACTATTAATAACTATTAAACTACACATAACTACACCTAAGCCACATTAAAAAACACTTTAGAAGTCAAGCTAGATGATTAGGTACAGGTAGGAATTCTATTTCGGGGGTCTCAAGTTCCATCGCTTCCGAGGTTCTTCTCTGAAGACAAGTACTACACCAAGGACTTCCTCAGGCGTGACCTGGGACCTGGACCAAATTTCACCGGGTGCACATGGAATCACATGGAATCACATGGAATCATTGCACCGGGTTCCTATGGGTTCCTATGGGTTCCTATGGGTTCCTATGGGTTCCTATGGGTTCCTATGGGTTCCTATGGGTTCCTTAGCTGCCTTAGCTGTCAGCTGTGCCAAAATAAAGCTGCGAGCGTGGGTCAAAGCGCACTGCTTTAACTAGCCTGAAAACAACTACGAGTTGAACTGCTTAAAAGGTGCAAAAAACTTTTCCAACTGTTGCAACAGCATTGCAACAGCTGTGGATATGGCTCTGCCGCAGGCCCACGCCGAATATCGACGAGCCCAAGAGAGAGCCTGGTATGGAGCTGGCGCTCATTGGGGTACCTTGGCACTTGGCATCCCAAAGTGGAATTTGTTGAAGCGTGTTGAAGCTGTTGTGTTTCCGAAGCCCTAACAAGTTGCGACATGTGCAGTTATAATTCATCATAATTTCATGTCGTTGATCGACCCGAATTTGACTTGGTAATGAGCATTGACCAACACAAACTGCAGCATACTGTAGCCTATCTAATCTTATTTAAAATATTTAGCTTGCTGTTCCTTGACAGAGCTTTTTACTCCGTGGCACCTTGGTGGATTGGCATCATATACCACGTGTCTCCCAGGGTGGTGATGCCTTGGACGAAGCTCCTGTTTGAAGCCCAGGAAGGACCCGAGAGATGGCTCACATCTGTTCACATCCGTTCAGAATCTTCAAATTCTTCAATTCACAATTCGTTCTCGGCGGAACGTTGCACAGTTTTCGATTTTTGTCCGCTTTGTTCAGACACCAAGGTCATGGTCGAATAAGAAGCCACCTGGCTTGGGCCTTTGCTGTAGCCTTTGAGTTTCATGTGGAGTTCTGGAGGATGGACAGGGCGGTGCTTCTTTGCTTTTGCGGCGTCTTACGCTGCATGTCTTCAGAGCTTCGCTCTTGGCTGCATCACAACTTGATTCCTCGCATGGTTCGGATCGGTTGAGTCAGGTGCCTTCGACTCAGTGTGGTTGCGGACGCTGCGGACGACGCCACATGACTCGGCTTTTCACCCTGGCAGTCACCCCAAATCCCCAAACCTCAGAAAGACACACTCCACCAGTCATTTCCGTCAGTTGAAAAGGATAGCTTTTGAATGTTTTTGAGGTTGATGTTGATGAGGTTGATAAGGTTGTTCAGGTTGATCAGGTTGATGAGGTTCTCCAAACCTGCTGGACTCTATGATCCAGCCAAGTTGAGAGAAACGGAGGTTGAAATTTCATGGAGTCAAGACAAAGACTAATGAATTGCAAGCTAGACCGAGAAACTTGAGAGCGCAGGACGGAGAGAAAAAGTTCTGTGTATGGCCTCATAGACCACAGCGCAGCTTATAATTGAGATTTCATGTAGTATCGGGCCCCACATGGCCTTTGCAATATCCCCTGTGGTGCAGATGCATTCACACCTGTTGCTGTTTTTTCTTCAGCTGCTCAAAACTACCTCAGCCGCAAAGGCGCATGGAAGGGGGGAGAGCGCAGACAGAAAACAATGCACGGCCAATGCACGGCATCCCGTGAGGATCATCTTGTCATTTCACTGGTTGGTTGCAGGATCTTGCAGGCAAATCATCATGCCATCAATGTTTCAAGAATCCCAGGAATGGAACATGTTTTTTTTGTTTCCTTTTCTATCCTTTTCTGAACACCTAAGTCAATCATCTCACCAGATATCCTGTGTCATATTCTTTTTTGGTGTGTCAGAACAGCCTGCTTGGCATGAAGCTCAACCATGTTCAACCAAGCTATTTGGGAACACGGGTTGTCACTCCTTGAATTCTGAGCTTCGTGGAAGTTTGATTCACGTGGAAGACTGATTCATGCTTGCAGAAATATGATGAAATATGTTGCACTTAACCGGTCAGTTTGGTTCCAGACGGTGCTTTCCTGTTGGTTCAGTCCTGGTCTTTCCATGACGAAGACTCAGCCAGCTCATTGGGTGGTTCCCTTGTTGTCCCCAAACGGTTGTCGATCACAGTTGCAGTCTCCACAATCTCTCCACAATTGAACTGCTGGTTGTGAGAGCATGTTTTCTTTCTGAAGGCTTCAGGGTACATCCCTGCGGGGCGATGCGGGCCCTGCTTTGGCAGCTGACTTACACGAACCAAAATCATCCAAAATCATCCAAAATCCGGGTTTGACTTTGCTGAAGTTCATGTTGGACTTGTTGGATCATGGCACCGGCACTTTTGTTTCCACGATCTTTGAAATCTCTTTGACCAAGGCTGGGTTTCCTGGTACCATATGTTGAAGCAGGAGTCAGCAGCTTGGAGCTTGCTTTGCTCGCTTGAAAGATCAGACTCTTTAACGGAATGTCAAGCTGGATCGTCAAGCTGGAAGAGTTAGCGAATCCTGTCAATTTGCAATTTTTCAGTGTCAGATATCCACATACCTAAGATATCCTCAGATATCCTCAGATGCTCGTCCAATGCTCGTCCACTGCTCGTCCAATGCTCGTCCAATGCTCGTATAAATTTTATTCGAGTTGTCCTGGAGGTCTTTGGGTCACCAGCCCCTTGTCATGATGAGGCGAGCTGTAAGGCCAGAAATCCTGCAATTTCTGTCACCGTCTTTGTCTAAAATGAGTACTGATAGTACTGAAACATGAATAAAATGAGAGTAAAATTGCAGCGCACTCTAGTGATTTTTTCGAAAGTTGCGGGCTCAGCTCAGCTGCAAAATGCCAGGTTAGGCTAGACACATTGACATCCAAGCTGGATGAATTACGCGATGAGATGCGAGGCTCGGTGCATACTTCGCCACGCTTCCCCATGCTTCCCCAAATGGAAAGCTGTGAAAGCAGCCGTCAAATTATGTCAACTTGTTGATCTTTTGATTGATTCTGATATGTTATGAATCATCATTAATTATTATTATTACTACAATTGGATACAAATATGTTTTTATGATTTTTTATATATTTCAATTTTCATGTTTCGGTGTCCTTTACCCTTTCCAAGCCCTGTGCCCTTCGCAGGTAAACACTTGGCGCTCCAAGCGCTGGAGGAGATTCGCGGTGGGATCCTCTCCGGCCGCCGCGTAGAGCTGCCATCGGCACAGCGCCAGGCGATTTTTGTTGCAGAGCGGCAGATTTGTTGCAAGCTTTGACAAGTTAAAGAACTCACATAGTGACGTAGTCTTACCTTTTCATCATATAGTGCATGTAACATAGTGTATTATATATATATGTAATTATGTGCATATACATTATACTTATATGCATATATATATATATATACATGCATGCATTCATACATTGCTTCAGATTTATTCGCTTGGCCATACCATGCTAGCGCTGCTATTGCTGTGATGCTACAATGCCACCTGCCAGCATCTCGAGCGGGGCAGCCCCATGATCAGCGAAGTGACGTTTGATGCAAGGCGTTGGACAACAGCTCAACAGATCTCAACAGAAAGCACATTTGAATCATTTGATCGAATCAGAATCTAATCAGAATCTACTGTACTCCTGGTCCAATCCTATGATTCTCTATGATCATTCTGTACAGCACGAGAGGAATACAGCTTGCATATGCTTGGATGTTGGACAGATCGTGTGAAATGGACAGATCGTGTTGCCAGATGCAGAATTGGCAGGGTAGTTCTTTGGTTTTGCTCTCATGTGCTGCGTTGTGACAGAGTGAGAGTGTCATGGATTTTGCTTTCAACTCTCCATCTCAATGTGAGAATAAAATTGTGTCCAGGCATCGTCCGGTTTCCACCAATGTCTCCAGACATTTTCAGCCGCTTTGCTGCAGCTCAGCAAAAGCTCGTTGAGATCTTCAAAATCTGCACCCGTTGAGCCTTCCGCTCTTTGCGCTCTTTGCGCTCTCTGCGCTCTGCTTGGATCTCGAAGCTGAGGTCCCAGCGGGTCATTGCAGCGGATCTCGAGGCTGGGGTCTCGAGTGCGAGTGCCGCAGTCACAACAAAGATTTTTTCACATAAGATATCAAAAGATATCAAAAGACAAGTGTGAAAAAGTATAACAAAGGCATGAAAGGCATGAAAGGCATGGAACTGAACCAAACTAAACATAACTAAACTCAACCAATGAACCAATGAATGCAGCAATGCAGCGCAATGCAGCGCAATGCAGCGCAATGCAGCGCAATGCAGCGCAATGCAGCGCTGGTCTAAACGAGGTACAGCACCATGCATTGCTGCACCTTAAGAAGTCCCCGGGCTCGAAGGTGGACCCGACGTCACATGAATTGCTCTGAATTGCTCTGAATTGCTCTGAATTGCTTGTGATTATTGTGATAACTCTTGTGATGAATGTTGATTTGATTTGATTTGTGTATGGAATCTTCTGCGATCTGCAATTTGGTATTTGGATGTAGATTTTAGTAGCATGTATGATGTACGGATATGTAAAGTACTACGTGACTTTAAGCGACTAAGTGCTAACCAGACCAGATGGAAGACATAGATCCCCTGCTCTCTTTTCCGACTTTTCCTACATCCCAAGCTAAGCTGGACTTCCTATGAACTGTCCACCTGTGCCAGTCTGCATCTGCACTGTTGGTGCTTCTCGACTCACAGCAACTTGGTGTCAGTGGACAGGGAACGCCGACAAGCAGCCATTTTATGATGTTTTAATATATTTATGTTTCAAATACTTTATGCTTTTAATGCAATTTTCAGATCTCAATCGGATTGGTCTCAAGTCGATGCTTGAGGTCCAAGTTGTCTATCTACTCCTTGGAGAACGAGCCGCTGCTGGATCGTTTCGATTTGGGGTCAGACGCCCAGCGACGCTCAAAAACAAATGGTGCCTTGAATCGAAGGAATTGAGACTCAAGAAAGTTTAGAAGATTGTGCTGCATGCTGGTTTCCATTTTTAAGCATCGCTGAACTATGCAGGCATGAAGGCAAGGTCGTGCAGCTGGAGTTGTCACCAACACAGGACACGTGGATGTATACTGCGCATGAACAGTTGATGTTGAGCTGCAGAATCTCAGAACCTGGCTGCGTAGAGAGGAAAACCACTTCGTAGTCACAGTCGGCGAAGATAATGATGTTCGTGTGCACAACATCAAGGAGGGACCTCGAAGACATCCATTCAAGAAACAAAACCGCACAAAACCGCATGAGATAGAAACGCAGAGGTGGTATTTTGCAAGGTGTTTCAGGTGTGTTATCTTTTGCTTCCTTGATTTCCTTGCGTGTCGCATGTGGTTCGGAAGTTTTCAATCAGTTTCTTGAGCTTCAGATCATTGCCAAGAAGCAGAAGCCTGACTCTCCGCGTGGCGCTCAGAGGTCTTGTAGGACCCCACATCCCACATCGGACAGATACAGACAAGATCAGAAAAGTATCTCAGTGATTCTCAGAGTTCCTTTTGCCTTGCAATCCTCTTTCCACCTCTTCCATCCTATGCAGAAGCCACATTGGAGCTTTAAGCACACTGGTACTGGTATAAGGAAAGAGCAAGGCAGCGAGAAGGATGAGGAACCAAAGGAAAAGCCGAAGGACAAGGACACCGCACATGAGACGCCAGCCTTCAACCACAAAGAAACTTCATGTTGACAGAAAGAGGAATCATACAAATCATACGATTGATTCCGATTGACAGATTAATGTGTGTGGCTGTGTGTTATATTAATCAATATTAATCAGATCTATATGAGAATTATAAGTTGCAAATTGGGCAAGCTGGATCAGTTTGCTGAAGCACGTGAAAAACGTGGAAAGGGATGTTCAAAGGATGCTCGGATGCTGAATGTCACAGCCAGCCTGGCCTCGCATTTCTCTTTGTCCCATGGCGAGCTGGAAGAGGTGCAGCCAAGTCGAAGGAAGTTGGAGCTGGACAGAGACATTTTGAATTCTTTTGAACACATTGGACATCTGTAATTCATGTAATTCATTACCAGATTACCAGATACTACATAACACCAACAAATTGTACATTTTTATGTACTTTGTGTGCATGAAGCATGCGTAGATGCACAAGTGATATCTGATTTTGGATGGAAAGACCAGCAGTAGTCAGTGATAAGTGGTGGATAAGTGGTTTGTAGTTTATTGATGTTTATTGTGCGGTGTTCTTTTTTTCTCACAGAGTTGTCAGATGTGTCATGATGTGTCCTTGCACAGCTTGTTGCACTTGTCAGACGCGGAAACTGAACGTAGTGCTTCCCATTGAGATGCTTGGCGACAAAATGCGATATAGCGTATTAGCGGATATCCATGACACCCCACGAATAGAATATCGAGAAAGAGGAGAAACTCAACGACAAGTGTTTGAGAATGTTTGAGATATGCCAGTGGAGGCTAGATTCAGCTAGATCTTGAAGAAATCCATCAGTTCGCAGTGGATGCCTGGATGCGAAAATGTCAGATCCGGACGCATGCGGCGCTCAGGAGGGGATCTCAGACGTTCTTCATTGCAGGGGACTCCCTTGGTGGCATTTCTGTCTTCTTCCGCAACGGTCTTTACCTTATTTATCCGTATTTATCTTACATCTCTATATGGAAGTCGACGGATTGAAGTATGAAGCGAATTGAAGCGATTCAAGAGTGACAGTAAGTGCTGCACATTTTGGAACTAGGCACCATGCGCGGCAGAGTGCGTGTTACAGAAGACCCAGGAGGTGTCAAGGGGCTGATCCGTGCTCAGGCCAGACCTTGATGTTCAATATTTCGTCATAATCACAATACTTCGATGTACTTCGATATACTTTATGATATGTCATTTGAGTCAGAATATTTCAGTATCAATGTCACAGACTGCAACAGAATCCAACAAAAGTTTCCATGCTCTTGTGGATTCCTGTGGCGCGTGTCACATCTTCAGGGACAGCAGCAAGTGCTCTTCTACAGCAGCCATGCCTTTGGTTTCTTTTCCCCATCTCAAGTTGATCTCCAGTGCGCCTTGATACATCTTAAGCAACGAAGCTAAATGTGAATCATTGTGAATCAAAGGCCTGTTGTTTTATGTTGTTTTGAAACTTTAAGACTTTTTAAGGTCAGTAGATGTTGCAGAGGTACCCACCGTGCACCGGCTGGAACAGTCCACTCTACGACCTGGCCATGGAGCCTGGATACTCGCTATGGCCTCAGAGTCGCATCTCGTCGCTTGGACGTCGCATGACGTCGCTTGTTGATCCATGTTTATCCCGTTGCACCAAGGACAGGGAGAGTACTACTCGCTCTACAAGACGGCGACGTCTTGGTCTACGCAACGACGCGTGGCAAGAGCAAGGCGGGGTGCTTGTTCCAGCATGCAAAAAGTGCCAGACACATTCGAATATCATTCGAAGCCATCAAGCGTCTGATTTTTTTGACACGATACATCAGATCTAGGGGTTTCTTCATCTTTGGGAGTGTATGCATGGAGGGCAAATGCCCAGAGTGCATCAGATTGCATAGTTCTTCCAAAGTGACGGATACTTGGAGACCTCGTGAAAACAGAAAACAAAGTGACTAAACCGACTAAGCCCATGTCCTTTCTTGTCGCTTTTTCAGCTGAGGCCTGTGACCTTGCATTGAAGTTCCCACATGTCTCAGTCTTGCCTTTCAAGCTACACAGCTTTAGAGGCTCGGGTGTTTATTGTTGTTTAGGCTTTATTTTGGTGCATTGACTTAAGCCATCTTAAGCCTCGCAAACCTATAGACTTTTCCAGTTTCCAGCTGTGATCAGAAGAAGGCCTGCCTCTTGTGCCAATCTTCTCGTTTGCTTTCTATCAGTTTCAACCATTTTCTACCCTCGACATTGTCAATGATGTCAATTTTCTGTAACTTTTTTGGTAAATTCTGATTGATGTGACTGATGTGTGTTGTGTTTCTATGTATTTCTCTATTTTCTCTCGCATATTCATGTCATTCATAGATGTTCTTGCGTTGCTCGAGGTCATGTCATGGCGGTAGCCACGCCTCTTGCAGAGATGCAGAAGAAGGACCTCGATTCTCTGCATCTCACCATATCTCACCATATCTACCATATCTCACCTGCCATTTCAGTTCCATCCACATCCACATCCAGTTCGCCAGTTCGTGCCTTGTGTTACTGGGAAGTGTTCCGTGATATGATACGGACACATTTCTAGACTAACAATTTACACCTTTTTTAATAATCTTTGCTATCCCTTTGAGTTCTGCGGGCCCGTGAAACACCGTGACATTGAAAGAAAGACGCTGTCGCTGCGGAACTGCACTGCACTCTGACTGTACTTTTTAAGAGTGGATCCTGAGCTTCAAGTCGAGATTGACATGGATTGATGCTGGTACTGTAGAGCTCGAGGTTCCTTTTTGGTGTTTCACGTTGTTTTTATTGGTTTTCAAGAAACGCTTTGCAGGACGAGTATGTCCGGGAGATATTCTTCTTCAACATGGCCAGATGCTGATGATGCTGACCTGGATTTGCTTCATTTGGACAATTTTAGAAATCGCAGGTGCATAGCAAGTTTCGGCCCTGGCATAGCATAGCCGGCATAGCATAGGACGCCTACAATAGCCTACATGCGAGGATTCTCATTCACGTGTACAAAGAAAATGACGTTGACGCGATGGGTTGCTTTCACGAGTTGCTTCGTTTTCGAGGCGGCCATGGAGAATGGCTATGGCTCCTCTCCATCGAGAGCTATCACTCTTCAGGCGAACTGAATTCCATGTCAAACAATGTCAAACAATGTTAAACAATGTCAAACAATGTCACAGAATGATGCTGAGTTTCTTTCGCTTTCTTCCCAAATAGAGAAAGTCTTCAACTGCGCGATGCAGACGGCTTTGCACCTCACAACTCCGGACTCCCTGCGGACATCTGGCTACTTAGGCCTCTTTCAAGCCGAAGCAGCCAGAGACACTGGCCATGCTGGGCCAACCTGCTGGACCTGCAGGCTCGGCGGAAAGAATGCCAGCAGATTTGTCTCAGGGACAGAATTCGCCACTGCCACAAACTCGACAAAGCAAAAACAATCTAAAACATAAGTATGCTTCCTGTAGACTTCCCACCATGCTGGAAGACAAGCGGGAGCTAGGAAACCCATGGCTTGCAGCTATTTGGGGAAAATCTAGATTCTGTCTGTTCTTGGAGTCAAACCAAATGCTTTGCCAATGCAATCTACCCGCAAGGTGCAAGCGCGTCTGGTTAGCCGCTGTTTGTGTAGATGTGGCTGTGTCGAAGATGCAGTTCAGCAGATCGTAAAGAAGCCTTCATTCATAAACAAACACATTTCTGACATGTTCTGACATTTTCTGACATTTTCCATATTACTTGAGATCTGACCTCGCCAGGTGAAAAGGCCAAATCACAAGTGGCAATCCGTTTCAAAGATGCCAAAGGGGTCGAGTTGTATGACCTCACTCTCAGGAAGCTGATGTGTATGGATGTGTCATAGGTGTCATAGACAACTTTACAACTTCATACAATTTCACTATACTTACATATACTTACTATACATACTCTACTTCGTTACATATTGCATATTATTGATTATTATTGCATACTCTCGGTGCAACTCATTGGAATCAGAATCGATCAGGACCCCACCGCCGCCCAAAGCTGCGGCGGATAGTAGCCAGGGCCTGAAAGGATGGAGACAGAGAACGAGAGAAACGAGTTGAAAGATGTTGAAAGATGTTGAAAGATGTTGAAAGCCTGCGCATATTCCTGCCTAGGCAGCAACTCTAGTGGCTGGGACATGAACAGCCTTCTCAATTGGTTAAACTGGCTTGTGTTGCAAATGATGGCAGGCTATTGCAGCCGCTGTTTTCATCACAACACTGTTCTTGTCGTTGTCGTTGTCGTCGATCTTAATGTTGATGTTGAAGTTGAGGGTAAAGTTGAAGGTGCATTTCAAGGAGATCGATAAGTTCCTGTCGTCCCATGTTGCCCATGTTTTTGATGCGCAGATGTCGACCACCAATGACCACCAGACAATTTGCAAACTCTACTCGTACAAGTGAGCGGCGCTGAAAGTCCAGCTAAACACCCGCAGCTCTAGAGACCGTCAGCACTCAGCACTCTGAGACATTTTTTTCCCTCATGACAGGTTCCCAAAAGTGGGGGTCTTTGGCATTGCGTTGATTGGTGTCATCTTCTGGAACATCAAGAAGGCTGGAACAAAGGTTTGATAGTTGCAGGTATTCGTTTGAAACGGCCCTCAAGTTTCATCTCTAGATTGACGTCCAGAGTGTTTGAACATGTTTGAACACATGGGCAATCTTGGGAGTGTCTTGGGAGTGTGTGAAAAGTTGACAGTGAATTCAATGAATCCAGGTCTCTGGCCAGACATCTTCAGGCCCTGAGGCTGATGATTTCGATGTCCACAACCCAGCGCGCCCTTCAAAGATCTTCAAAGAGCAGTTATGTAATGTATTAATGTATAGTTATGTGACTGTGCGATGACGATGACGACGACTTGTCGCTTTTGCACTTTGATTTCTCTTGTGACAAACAGACCTCTATCATGTCTTCAGTTTCATATTCCGGCATGTTGCTGGGGTCATTTGTCCTTTTGTGTCCTCTTGTGTCACCTAGGAAGAGCTCTTCAAGGAGAAACTGCGGGAACGTCGGGCAAAGCCAGTGGCTCAAGTCAACGGTTTTGGATGTGAAACCTTGCAGATCTTTTAGGCATTTCTAAGCATATGATGTTTGTCAAATGTTTACAGTTTTTCATGCTTGTCCTTTTCAAATGCTTCGGGGCGCATACCGCCCGGGCCAAGATTTATTGGTCCCAGTTGATGATTACGATTCGAATTGATTCGTGAACCTTTGCTCAAGAACCATAGCTATATTTACAAGGGTTCTGGTGAAGACGCGATCTAGTGCAAGCACTTCGAGTGTGAAGCCTTGTGCTGCAAGTGCCCGAGTCCAAATGTAAGAATGTGTGTGAGTGGCGGAGAAGATAGGTGGAATAAAATGTTTCTGGCGGTAGATCGGTTTGGTGTCGCAATGCAGTTAGTTTTTTAGCAGAAGGCTTGTGGTGTTGTTTTTATTCTGGAGCAGAAGGCTTCTTGTACACAGGTTTCTGTTCTCACTAAATTGCCTCTTAGAATTGCCTTTGTTGCTTAAGAATTCCACCGAAAAAAAAATATTGGTTGGTAAAAAAATGATCCAAACGGTCCATGTTGAGGCAGTCGTATGTGCAACGTTGGTCTGTCCATTAATGTCCATTATGTCCCCAAACCTCCATGTTGAACCCACGTAGAGCGCCATGTTGAATTCAATTAAATCATATATAAAACATATTATAAATCATATTAAATCCACTTAATCTAATTAGACTCGGTAAACTAATGTTGGCTGTCGAGTTTGTGGCAAGGTGATGTTCTGTGACAGACCCCTTTATAGCACCAGGACCAAGCACTTTTTTAATTCCGTCTTTTGGGTGGCAATTTTTTCCATGTGAAAGGAAGGGCCGAAATTAGCACCAAATTTGCCATAGGCTCAGAAACCTTTGTCCAGCAAATGGCACAGCATAGCTTCAACAATGGACTCAACCTGCCCCAAACTGGCAAAGGGTCAACATGATATACAGGTGTTCCATGGTTTTCCACAGGTGCTTAGCGTGAGCAATGTCAACGTTTTCTTTTTGGTTTTTGATGGGTCGACTTGAAATACCGCAAAATATCCGTTCTTGAGCTTTGGTTGAGTATGTTGAGCCAATACTGAGCATACGTTACATAAGCCATTTGGTTGCATAATTATGGGCCTATGTCGAGTCTCTGCTGAGTTTATGTTGGCTAATGTTGAGCAGGCGTTTTTGCATTTGAAGGTATAAGTGTGGAGTACTTTTTGGCTTCTCAATGGTTACTAGTTCCCGGTTATGCAGGAAAACGGAAACCGACTTGGCACGGTCAGCGCACGCTAGGGCGACTTTTTGTTGCAGAACAGCGTGAACATGATTAGCTGTCCAGCCCCCACAGCAAGTTGCTTTTCCGAGGGCCCAAGACAAGGAGAAAGAGCAGCAGGAGCCATGCTTGCCCTGTTTGGCACTTCAAACGGGTGGGTGGCAGCCTCAATAATGTAGATTCCGCATTTTTTGGATGTCTGCAATCTACATTAATATCTTTTTTTACGTACATATATGTTCATTACTACTTGACACCTCTTTAAGACAAGAACCGTAGACAGAAATTGTATTGTTTTCAGGTTCAGGATTTGGGTCAGCTGATTTCCGTATCTTCAGTCCGACTCAGTCCTCTATAGGCTTTTGACAGTCTTTGGAATGAGTCTAGCAGTTTCCCATGGTAGCGGGGATCCGTTTGACATAAAGAATGGATCAAGACATCACTGACATCACTGACATCACTGACATCACTGACATCACTGACATCACTGACATCACTGACATCACTGACATCACTGACATCACTGACATCAACACACTTGAACTTGAGAGGGCTGCCCAACTCCGATGGTTATCTCGTGGAAGGAGCATGAGGATGCTGATTGATGTTCGATTGCTTGGTGTTTGCCACGCGCTGTAGCTAGATTTGACTCAGCACAAGGCTGGATAGCAATGCCGGCACTCGAACTCAACTTGTAAACCCACTGAATGTTTCAGAACCTATAGATTGTATATGGTTGTGTATGATTTCGTGGTGTTCTTGACATACCAAGATACTCACCGTCAAGGATCACTCTTTGGAGTTTCAATCAAGCAGCTGGCGACAAGCTGCCTCGCAAGATGTGCAATTCAAATACCGCAAAGACAAAAGGAAAGCGTTTTCTTTGCGTGTTTTTTTCAGGAAGTTGAGCATCCTTAACCGATATACAATGATATACGATGATTCATCAAGATTCATGATGCACAGGTTTTTCGTATTGAAGTGACTGCAAGTGAAACACGGAAGCCACTATTGAGATTCAACATATTTTGAAATATTCTGAAATATGAAATATGTTGAACATGGTTGAAATATGTGTAACATATGTTGACATATTTGAAGTGAGAAGTTGTCACCGCAGACTTTTCGAGCCCTGAACGCAACGGCCTGGCCACTGCGGGAACGATGAGGAACGCCATGCTGAACACCTTTGACGGGCAAAAGGCCACATCCAATGTCCAGGGCACCGGCCAAAGCATCAGTGTTGACAGCTTTATTGCAGACATGTCTGGCCAGATGTCTTTAGGACCATCCGGAGCATCCGGAGGATTCTCCCGGCTCTTCAACCCCTTTGGGCAGTCTGCGAAACCTCCAGCACCTCCAGATCCAGCAGATGTGAAGCTTCAAAATCTCCGAAGTGCAGAGCCAGCTGCCGTCAATGCGACTATGGAAAGTCTCAAACATCACGGCTTTGCCTGGCTGGACTTCACAAACGACAAACTGCACAGCACAGAAGTGAACACTGCACTGGCCGAGACGGGGGACTTTCTGGCCAAACATGAGCATCAGGGCAGTCCACATGCCATGGAGGGGCATTTCAGTGCAGCCCACAAGGATGGTCTACGAATGGTTACTGGTTCTTGGATGCGACAATCTGAGAGCAAGTTGCCTGAGGACCTAGAACAGAAGGTTTTGCAGTTAGCACTAGACCTGGATGTGGCGCAGAAAGAGGTTGTCAAAGCCTTGGCACCTGCTATAGGATTGCCTTCAAGCGAAGCTGTTGGCGACGGCTTTGGCATTCCATTGCTGTCTCCGGAGAAGGGAGCTTTCAAGCAGTACGGCCTCCTAGACATTGTACGTTACCGGATGGGTGCGGACAGCCCCGATGAGGTAGTGGCACCACATGCAGACCCTGGTTTGTTGATCCTTAGTTTGCCATGCTCAACGCCAGGTTTGCAACTGCGAGATGCGAAGGGATCCTGGCTGGCACCGCCTTCGGGCTATGGTGTGTTGTGGGCAGGCGAAGCTGGAAGAGATGCAATGTTCAAAAGTGGAATTCACCGAGTAGTTGCGTCCCCAGACAGGGCCCCACGTCTAAGTGCTTGGCACGAACTCTGTACACGTTCACAGTTGTGTCCTCCCATGTTGCAAGTCTTAGAGGAGAATCGCTTGCAGCTGAAACTTGGTTCAACGACAGGAACGGCTGAGGTATTGCACTTGCTTCAAGAAAGCGAAGATCATCACAATGTGCAGATGGTACAGCGGAGAGGTGTGCCAGTGGGCAAATCAGGTGCAATCATTCGGGAACAGTTCGTGCCATGGACGGCCAACTTGGGATTGGGGTGGCAAGGCCGTCCAGGTGCACGAGTCCAAAAGATGGATCTCAAATTGGCACCTGGACAAGTCGAAATCATTCCACTTCATGGAGTGGCCGACCCTACGAAATCTACGACATCTACGACATCGGATGACCCCATGACATCCGATGCGTCGTTGACCCCGTGATGTGAGCTGCGTGCCAAGTGGTTCAAGCCATGCAGGGCTGGTTCTACGGCTACGGCCTGAGGCAACATGAGGCAACCTGACTTGACCTTTCTGACGGTTCTTTCTGGCACTGTACAGATAGCCTTGGAAGCACCGATCGGAAAAGGACTTGTCAGAACTTGGTGGCTTTGCATGATTTTGTTTGGTCTTGTTTATTGACATGACATTGTTTGTTCTGCCCAAGGATAAGTTGATACCAGATTGCTTCAGGTGTATTCGGAGTCACTTTTGGCAGTGCCGGTTTATAGATTGGGTTCTAACGGGTTCAAGAGATTCTTCATATCCGTCATATCCAAGCTCACGCTGCTTCTTCAAGAGAAGATATTCAACGTTGGGAGCAATCCATGCACTGTCCGTGCACAGCACGTGAACTCTGGTGACAATGAAAAAACACAAAACATACAAAACCTGTCCAAAGCTCGTGTTAGTAGCACTGGTAGCGCCATTCAAGTCGACTGTAGACTGTAGCACTCAAAAAACCCTCGAGAATAGGCAAGAGCAGCAACACAGCATCAAAGTCGTCAAAGAAATACCTATGAACTCTGTCTTTGCAATGAGCGGAGGTAGGATATGGGATGCGCATTGGCTGAGCCTGGCCAATTTGCAGGCGCTTTGTTGCCATCCGCAGTTACTGGGGTTTTGGATATTAAAACGATATGTTTTGACGAAAGTCAGGATCAGGCGAGGCTAAAGCTTTGCTTCATCAATGATGGAGGGGGGTCTAGAGGGTCGGGGGTCTGAATGCATGTGTATATAATATAATATATAATTATAATTGATTGTATAGTTGTGTTGAAATCTGGGCGTATTGTAGAGATGTGTGTTTAGAGAATGCTCTTGGCGCCTCCAGTTTGGGATGTTGATAGACGGTGCTTGGAAGGAAAGCATCGGTTGGATTCGGTTTGATGCAAATTGTTTGCCCAGCTTCAGCGACGCAGCGACGAGACTTGAATGCACGTGACAATAGCATTCCCCATCACGTGCACCATTCCCTTATTCTGTTTTAGAGGGAAAGAGAAGCGGCAAGGGATAGAACGTATTAGAAAGGGAAAGGCTTTCCTAATGTGGATGGGGCAGTTGCAGCGTGATTTAATGACCTGCCATTTTGAAGGGGGCACCATGGGGAAGGTTTCCTGCATCTGTTTCTGGAACATGTGAGGTTGGTCTTTCGGCAATCCTTCTTGACCTTTCGCAACTAGGATGTTGTGTCGAGAGCCTCACTGCAACACCCAAGCAATCGAAAAGCACGGCGTCCGCTGGAAATGCTTTGTACAATATCGGGTTCAAACAGCACAAGACGTCTCGCAGTGCTGTTTTCGTGCCATTCATAGATCTCTCCAAGAATGGTTTTGAGAGTGGTTTGATGGCCACGGCTTTGCGTTTGTGCAGTCCTTTGATTGTCCGGCAACTGGAATGACAATTTGGGAAGGACCCTGCAAGGCCACGAAAGGAGAAAGGACACCACACCTCTCGGTTGATCCGTTGATTCATAGCTGAAACGCCTCCTAAACAGCGGAGTCTGTTAAAGCTGAAATATCTTGTCCTGGGCTTTGGCCAGCCTTTCGCCCTGGTTCGATGAAACTTGCAACGACGCTTCTCAGGTAATGAAGCACTCCCACAGAGGATACCTAGGCCTAGGCATTGTTCATTGATGTTTTTTCAGTTTTTCAATAGAACATTCAGAATACCAGCCCTCACAGGACTGCTTTTACATCGAGTGCATTTGCCTGGTTGGCTTTCTTTTACTCTCGTTCTCTGCTGGTGTTTCATATCCACTGCAATAGCAGTCCAGTGGTGGCCCTCACCGCTGCCTCAAAGGGTGCACAGGCTCTTGTTCAAACCTTTCTCTCTTTGGACTACGCACAAAAAACCCTTCGAACCGTTTGAACCTTGAAACCTTCGAGACATTTCGAGACAGCCCTTCCAGGTTAATGGATTCGGCCAAAGAGCCTCCGTCGCAAGCTCGAGTGATCACCGGAATCACGGGAATCACGGGCCTTCTAATGTCGCAAGCCATGAAGTCCAACACACTCCGTTGATCGCATTTTTGTATTATTTTTCTTCGATCATTTTGACATAGCCTGATTTTTCTGTCTCCCTTTCAAGGCCAAAGCCAGCATGGCGGCAGCTGAGGATGTTCAAAACTCATGGCGGCTCTTTCGCTGATATCATTTGCATATCATTTACAGTTCGAAATCCGTCAATAATAATCATGATAATAATAACAATAATTCACAATAATTCACAATAATTCACAATAATTCACAATAATTCACAATAATTCACAATAATTCACAATAATTCACAATAATTCACAATAATTCACAATAATAACGCTAACAATAACAATAGTAGTTATGATGTGTGATCTACACTCTTTTTCAAGCATGAAGACATGGATGTCTAACATCAATCAGGCTTGAATATGGACTCGATTCATTGTACAGTTTCTTTGCTGATGTGTTTAGTTATGATATGTTATGTGGGAAGAGTACAAGTGGGTACTAAGGCCAAAGATGCAGCATTCTCTGAAGACGCCTGGATTCTCAGAGCCCCATATTGTCGCTGGATCAACCAAGTGCTCTTGCCATCCCTGCAAAGATAGAGGAGGTTGTGACACCATACTGGGTAGTGTCTGATGGCACAGGCATTTGAGGCTCATTGGTAAACAATGGCTTCGAGCCTGAAGGGACACCAAGATTCAATCTCCAAAGATGTGTCAAGAAGCGTGGGAGAAGGAGATACAAGGACACCTAAGGAAACCGTTATTTGAACCGACGCTCAAACTGAAGTTGAAGAAAACAATGTGAAAACCTGATGCTTCTAGTGTGAAAGACAAAGAGACCTGAAACGGAAGCGTCGCAGAGGATTCCTGCTGCTGAAGGAAAAAATCGGAAACACGCAAGCTGCCACTAGAGGAGGCAAAAGGCAAAACTATCAAAAGATATCGGCCATATGAGCACCACTCATCTCCTTCAAAGTAAATCTAGATGACAAGGAACGAACAGATCGGAAAACGCAGAGATATGCTGAAGCGCGTGCAAGACTTCCATACGAGGTTGATTTCTTCAAAGGGTAATTCTGAAAGCTGCATCTATCTGATCTATCTGATCTATCTATATCTCTATTGACTTTATTTCTTTGAGAACTTGCCTTGCTCTCCGTTGTTCGTTGGTTTCATTTCGTTACAGGTCGACTGTCAGACCTGTTCTCCGACTTCGGACGTTTCGGGTCCGATGCCAGGTCTCTGCCCAGGGTGCTCAGCCGTTATGCGCAGAGTGACAATGCGAGGAGGCCATTGGAAAATTGGAAAATGACGATGCCATTACGATTCATTACGACATTTTGTGGAAAATTTCTAAATCCGAAAATCGCCGAAAATCCATAGAATCATCTGGGGGCTCAGATTTTCAGTTTCTTGTCTGGATTCTTTTTGGAAATGTCGGATGTGTGAGTTGACTGCATGTACATCATGTCATCACGTGACTATGTTTGTCCTGTCGGTGAGGCATTAGTGGGCAGGTCGAATGTCTCGATTCCTTAATTGAAGAAACACTTTGGCAATCTTTGCCACTGGTCCAACTAGATGACGTGCCAAGCAAAGCTTTCCAAGCGACACATGTTTGTCTCTCGAAGGATCTGTACTTTTCGCAGACCTTGCAATCTTGCTAAATCTGCATTGCCAGGCGCGCAGTCAAAGGCGAGGTCACAGCAGGGTGCTGAGTCTGGTCAGCAATGGCTGAATTTAAGCCGTCAAATTTCCTGGAATCGCAGCATCATGTTTGCAAGGCTTCCTTCACAAGCAACCTTCAAACGCTTCAATTCAATAAAAATTATTTCGAAGGTTCCTCAAAGCCTCGAAAATACTGTAAAACGTAATCGCAAGCTTCAAAACAGAAATGGTGTGTCTGAAGAGTCTGGTGTGTCTATCATTGTCTATCTATGTCTTATAAGCATTTATAAGCATGAATTTTGCTGAGAACGCTTGAGCTGCGCTCACAGTTGCTGAGGCCTTTGGAGTTGTGCCCGTTCCTTTTGCTTCCCCAGTGAGCACACCACGCAGGATGTCTCAGTCACTGGGAGCGCTTCTAGAGAGCGTACAGAATACTTTCCAATCGAATGAGATTTGATTGGTTTGATTGGCTGGATTCACATTAATGAACTTTCTTGTGTTGCAATTGTGAATGCGAAGGATGCGGCAATGACAAGTGAACCCCCTCTCACATTACTGTTGTAAGTAAGCTTTGACACTGAGAATACGCATCCATACGCATCCCACATTTTCTTCGCATGGCTAACAGCAAGCTCTCGAGGCAAGAGATGGCAATGTCTGGAAATAGCAGGTCAACATGGTAAATTTACAGGAATCACATGGCCTTGCACTGCCTTGAGAACATCTTGAAACTTAGACTGCGCTCAACGTGCCTTGCAAGAGCACAGCCAAGGTTCCCGAAAGAAGAAAGAGGACCCTGCTTTGCTTTAGGTTCTCTTGTCACTTTGGGGAAGACCCATGAGCTGGAAATCATGGATCGATGTTGTTCAAGCTTATCATGCCAGCGTAGTCAATGAAGGCTGAAGGATTTTCCCACATTCATTGATCATGCCGGCAAGCTGACAAGCCAGACAATGCATATGGCATACTGAACAGCAGCATCACGCTTAGCATCACTTAACAAAGAACTCAAGCCCAAGTTTCACTGAAGTTTTGGGATATATGATATATGTAAATTATTGTGTATGTATGTAAATGGAAGACGTTTTTGCTGAAGGCCACAATTTGTAGATTCAGTTTCAGATCCAGCACAAATAGCACTTGTATGCAGCCACCGACTGAACTTTTGGAGCCAGCTTTGTCGCTCAGCCCGTGCAAACCGCAGTACTCAAGGCAGAACAGTCAGGAAGGTCAATGATGTGAAGAAATGAAGCCCATCTCATTTTTTAAAGGATTGTCAACACGACACTGCCGATTGATGCCAAGACCAAACACATGGTTCGCTGCAGTCCGTAATGCCAGATCATTTTTTGCAAAACTTATTCCCGTTATTCCCGTCACCAGGCAGTCGAAAGCGCAACAAGTCGCACATCGACTTCGCTTTGTTGGATCGACGACTTTTTGGCCTTTTTGGATTTCAGGCCTTTCAGGCCTTTCGGGCCTTTCAGGCCTTTCGGGCCGGCGTTCGTGGCGCTTGTGGCGCTTGTGGCGCTTGGTGATGGCAAACGATGCACGGCACCACCCATCGGCTCTGCGAAATCGCGGACCCATTTTGGAGGCATTGCAAGAAATGTTACCAGCAAAAGAAGGCCAGGAACACAGTTGAACACACAAGAACCATGAATCACAGCAAGCACCTAGACTCACCTAGACATCTCAAACGTCATCTACTTTGGTGCTACTTGAGTTCCCTGGTTGTCATTGCTATGTGAGCTGTGCATTTGTTGGAAATAATCAGCCACTGGACTCTTTGGCACAGACATCCTCACCGATCCTGACCAGTCTTAAGGACTCTTAAGAGCTCTTAAGGACTCTGACTAAGGACAATGCCTTTAATGCCACAATGCCTTTGGCAATGGTGAAATGATGTGAAATGATGTGAAATGACTGGAAGGAATCGGCGCTCCTCTTGGCCAGGTCATGTTTTGGAGATCGCATCTGGCAGCGGCTGTCACGTGGAGCACTTCGCCCCAAACTTTCCGCAACTCAATTGCACACACTTTAAAGATGTTTTTAAAACAATATAAAACAATATTAGAATCTATTAGACATGTATATCATGTATTACACCCTATTTCTCACACTCACAGTTTTAAGATCTTCTGAAGATAAGGGTTTTGACGAGTTTCTGTTCCCTGAGAATGTCAATGATCTCGGTCAGGAAATTGCAATGGCAGCCCAGCGAATATGTCCAGGATGCCTCTGTCTTGAAGGAGCTGTCGCGAGCTCTACTGTAAGGCTTCACCCGGAAGTGAAGAACTATGGGCATTGCGTTGGCTCGGCATGCTGTCAGCATCATGTGAAATCACATGACTAACTTTGCACTTTCGGCGAATCTCCGCACTGCTAACTTTTGTCCAAGTGTCAGGACATCAATGCAGTGGTGTCTTCTATTCCCAACATCCGACCTGCAGTCGCACTAGATGCAAGTGCTACTTGGGAAGACTGGCCATCAGAGGTTCAGGAGCTCGAAGGAAAGTTCCGTGACCAAGTGATATCAAGTGATGGCTTGCAGCGGCTTGCAGCGGTCTATGATGGTTTTAGACATTCCATGGCACTGCTGTGACTTTCGGTCTGAGTTTGACAGCCAAGGTTCACAGCTGTTTACTTGTCGAACGTCACGCACATCAGCCCTTGGAAGGCGACCAAACTAAAATATGCATGGACTGCGCTCTCTACATGCATCGATGGTGATGCTGATTAAAATCTTTAAAGATCTTTAAAGTCTAAATGATGAAAGATTGAGTCAGTGAGTCAGTGACCAAACTCTCTCTTTGTTCATGGCACTCTCTTGCAGGTCACCTGTGGCATTCTGGCTGGAGCGGGTCATGCATTGGAAAATGGTGGTTTGCTGATTGTGTACGGACCCTTCAAGGCCGGCGAGTCAAGAAGTCAAGAAGTCAAGCTCCTGATCCCAGTTGCGATATGTTGCGATGCTGAACTCTAACTCTGGCAGGTTGACGGCCAGTTTACCACCCAGAGCAATGCAGACTTTGATGCAACTTTGAGGCGCAGGGTAGCGGTTCCATGGTCAACATGCATTTGGAATCATTTGGAAAAAACATGAAAGGCTTTCTGAAAGACCCTGCAAACACACTTGATGATTGTGTTGGTGTTAGACACGGAGGAGTTCATCATGGCAAGCTCTCCAATGCCACTCCATTTGATTTCAGGTCTCGCAATGCTGAATGGGGCTACCGGGATATTGATGAGATTGTTGCAGAAGCTAGCAAGTGTGGCTTGCTTTTTCAAAGCAAAAAAGCTATGCCAGCGCAACTTGACTTCAAATCCACCGCTGTTTTTCTTTTGAATTGTTTAGTTTTCCGGTTCTAGAAGAATCAATGAAGAGGTCTATAGGGCTTGCATGTTTTGCTTTCGTCGAACACTCAATAGGTGGTAGCATTTGCAGGACAATTCCAGTTTGGACACATGAAACTGTATGGATATGTGCGTCATCATGCAACAAATGATCCAAACCCCGAAGATGAGATAATTTTCTCGCAACGCAGTGCTTCATGGGGCAGTGCATGATTGGGACATATTGAGACGTGTTGTGACTGTACTGCAGCGCATTTCCAGTCGTCAGTGCAGTGAACTTAGGAACAATTTTCTGCTCACCTTTACCAAGACTTAAAATGGTGTGAAGATCCTTCACCAAGACAACGTGAGACCCGCTGGCGGAGAAAAGAGATCGCCATCTGAGGGTGAGTAGTGAAAAGATATGGAACGGGCAGGATGTGGATTTTGTGCAGCGATAGGAACTGTCGGGGTAGCTGCATGATTGAATTGTGGGAAACAGCTACCTTGACCAATGCTTAAAGCTACTGCACGCACGAATCTGTGAGGAGAAAGTACAAGAGGAAACTGAGTCTGGTGCTCTTGGGCAACTGAGGCGCAGTGCAAATTGCCATCCAATAAGCTCCGACTACAAATTGGATCGGATCGGTACCCGATTGGTTTTCTAATCGTACAATAAAACTTCAGCAGAACTTCAGCACATCTTGAGAAAAGCTTGGAGAAAACCTGAGCACCACTGGATCCACATCGCCGCCCAAGCCCTCAATTTGACTAGGCACCTTTTCGAGCAGTCGCAGCAGTCGCCAGGTCGCTCCAGGCTTGGCACCAAGAAGTTTATAAAAATATATAAAAATGGCATCGATATCGATATCCAGTGTGTGTGTGTGAATCAATGTGAATCATATCGTACTATGATGGTACATAGCAAATTGAACCATATATATACTAGTATATATATATATCATATTATATATATATCATATATATATATATATCATATATATATACGTCATATATGATTGAATGATACACATCTGAACTATCAATATTTCTAGCTTTGTGTTTGAGGTGTCATGTTCAATTCCTGAAAGCACCTGCAAAATCCTGCAAAGGGTTCCTTCCAAAGAGTGGCCGCCAACATACATTGTCGTCATTATCATCATCAGCAACACATATTTGTACGCTTGAATCCATCCGATATAACTTGTTTTGTGGATATATAATATGTACCTGTGTATAAATCCAGGTATCTAGATGCAGGTGTCTGATGCAGGTGTGAAGATGCAAGTTTACAGATGCAGCCCATATCGACATTGCAGATGTATCATGCTCCAAGCCCTTAGCCTTCAACTGTCTTTGATGTTATGATTTCACGATTTCACCCTAGTATACCGTAGTGCCATAGTGTGATTGGGTTGCATCCGCTAAAACCCAAGGGAACCACGTTATCCACGTTCCCATCCAAAAAGCAGATGTGACGAAAAACCGTCGCCACAAATAGTTTGATTTGATGCTTGACAATATTCTATACATGCATGCATAGCACAAGACTGCACCAAGTGCTCGGAAGGGCCCATCCGGAGCCAGCATGCCTGTTGATTTTACGCACTGTCGTACGTGCTGGGTCAGGTTCCAACAGCCTGTTGGCCAACAGCTTGTCCCATTGACAATTGAGGCCGCTTTTGCATTCATCCAGCTCGTGGGTACTTCAAAGCCAAGAGATCGTGAAGGACAAAAAGGCGCGCGTAGCAGGTAGCAAAGGTGTAGCAAGGGAACTGAGGCGGAACAGACTTGAAATTGTCAACGATGTCAACGCGGTGAATCGGATGGGTTGGGGTTGCTGCAGGGGAACCTGAATCTGCCCACATTTGCAAATTGGCGACACAAACATGCACGCTTGTCTTAGCCTGAGCACTGTGTGATGCGGACGTGGTGAGACCTTGAACTACAAAATGATTTGAATGCACATTGACAAATCATGAGAAGTCACCAATCAATGCTTTCGTTGCCTCATGTTGCCTTCTAGATTCTAGGCGCTTCCCCCGCCTTGCCGAAAAAGCTGGATACGATGAGGAGTCTTTTCCGTCAGCTGCTCTGTGACCTTTACATGAAATCAAGGTGAGAAAGCTGTGCACGTTAGCATACTGAGTTTATTCTTCAGAAACAAGGAGCTGCATCGGCGAACTGCGGCCCTAGCAGCAGGCTGGCTTTCGGCTTTGTACTCGGTCAATGGATGCCAATGGCAACCCGCAATCCACCACCTGGTGACCTTGCAGATGAAAGCAGAAGTCTTGACTCTGAAAAGCTTTGCAAGTGCTCCCGATGTGATTGCATATCAAATGACATCCATTAAAATTGTAGAGCTTCGCACACCAGCGATGCTGCAAAGGGTGTGGAAGTTGCGCAGTGCTGGCGGGGCCGGGCGCCTGCGGCCTGACCTGGTCTTGTAATTTCTTGTTCTTTCAGACATCTTTTTGGACGGGCAGCGATGCTTGGGATGGCACCAACGTGCACGCGCGACATGCTAAACATAGACATCTCTAGACATCTCGAGTAACTCGAGTGTTTTTGATGTTTTAATTGGACAAAAAACACCTTGGCCCTTACTTCCTGATACTTCCTGTACAAAATCCGGGGGCGCGGGTCTTGTAGAATCTGATTCTATACCGAAGGGAACCAGGGCCTTGGCACAGGGAAGAAAAACAACCACGACAGTGCATGGTGATGGCCTGGTGATGGCTTGACGTCCTGTCCACTTCATTCCTGATCATCGCATTTCTGATATTTCTGAATTTTGAAATGTGAAAGGCTCAACAAGCAATGAGCATCCCAAAAGCAGTTGATGAATTTGCTGAAAGTCTTGGAAAGCCAATACGAAGTCTTTATTGGCTCGTCGCCCTGATTGCATCCGCTTAGCGATGGCAGTCGGTAAGTTGAAATACAAACATCTACGCAGTACCAGGACGCGGGAGGCAGGAGAGTGCATCCGGCACTAAGCCGATTTCAAAACGCTGGCGCCGCCTGAATCGCTGGGCAATGAAGGACGGATGAAACCTTTTTGTGTCGGCAGCTAACGTCGCTTTCTGAACGCTGACCCTATCAGCTTGAAACAGCATGGCGCTGAAGGAACGCTTGCTGCCTGACGCCGCTTTCTGACGCCGCTTTCTTCTCACGCTTCAAGAAACATAAGAACCTAGCTCCAGGTCTTCTTCTGCTCCGGTTCTTCTTTTTTGGCAAGTTAGCCCTGCGGAATCCTGCGGACTTTCTGGTACTGGTTTCTCTGACGCGCTCTGCCTGAGGTCAGCGGATTATGTGTAACTTGCAAAGTATGTAGGATTGAACAAGGATTGATTTCTGAATATTTCATAATATTTCAACATAACTCTGCCCGGGTGTGGACCCGAAGCCAGGTCGGAGAAGAGACATAGACTCAGACGATGAAGAAGAGGTGGGTCGGATTCAGGATGAGCTATCTCCTGAGACAAGATGTTGACATGGAAATGCCATAGAATATGGCACCGCAGTAAATATACCAATGGTTCTTTGCTTCACAACGTTTATTTGCCACGACATGCACTGAGTGAATCCTGCGGACCCTGGACAGCTCCAGGAGCGATTCTTAGACACATTTTCGAACTGGATTGGCAGCTCAGGCGTGCATCTCCGTGCATTTTGCCGTGGCAACTTCTATTTGATTCTACCATCGGAAAAAGAGACAGATCTCGTCTCCTTTAGTGCCTTTTGCATCGTTTTGCATCATGTTTGATGTTGTGTTCTTCGAACGCTGTGCCTTCTCAGCTTTGTCGTTGCACTCCAGCCAGCGTGCTTTGCGTCAGGCCCCAAGAATGGATAAGAGGATGTGTGAGAGTGATGCGCAATAACTTGAATAGACACGAGACAGGTGGTCATTGTTCGTTTTGAAGTCTTTCCTTATGATAGAATTCAATTACTCTCAAACTAGCATTAGAAAGATGATTTGGTGTCCATGGAGAGAATGCTATAGGTTGTGTATACACTCCCTGCCTGCTTGCCAGCACCTGCTTGTGCCTACATACCAACCTACATACATGTGTGCGCAAGTGCGTTCATGCCTGTCTATAGACACATGTACAACATGAGGAACCGATCGTATGTTATGTGTGGTGTGCGCACTATTACTGTGCGAGTAGAATATATGATATCATTTTATATGTATATATATGTATATGCGTAAACCATACACATGTTTGTATGTGTTTGTATCTTATGCATGCATTTGGTGTTTCATATCTTTAGATACATACACACATATGCACACACACACACATATGCACACACACACATATACACATACACATATTATACACGCATACATTTATTTATTTCCCTTTAAATGATATACATAATATATTCATTGATTTACATGTTTGATGAGTTTTTGGCGTTCCGTATCTTGTGGCGTGCCAGTTGCGCTGCTTTCCATTCTCCGCTCTGAGGCCAACGACGACTTGGTCCAAGCCCGCGACCGGCCATTTTACGGCGACAGGATGCCGTACCACCAGCCTTTCGGAACGAAATGCGCATCGAATTCGGCCGAATCCATCTCACATCATCTCACATTGAACTCATTGACTCGTTTTTTGATCATTTTGGAGTACGAGACATATAGATTGTGTTGTCATATGTTGCCTTTGAATTGTATTGAAGATTTTATTGAACTTGTCCGCAGAGGTTGAACATGATTCAGCTACCAGCTGCCAGCAGTACATGCGCCCTCAAAACCTTTTCATATCTTTTCATTAGGCGTCCAGCTAAGCAGGTTCCCAAAGGCCCTCGTACATATACTATGTTGATCTATGTTGATCTATATTTTACTTGGTGGGGGATGTCATTTTTTCCCTTCACTCCGGACATGATGGTTTCTCACCGTTTGCGGTGTTTTTCTGCCCCACTTTGACGCATCAGCCAAGGTCTCAATTGGCACAACCTCAACGTTTCACATCAGTGAGATGGACATGGGCCCAATTCTTCCCAAGCCTGTCCCTCAAGATTCTGGGGCATGTGGAGCAACATCATATTCAGATACAAGATCTGAAGATGTCAGAGTGATACCAGCGATGCCACGTGATGCGACGGAGACTGCAGCTCCAGTGGCGAGAGATCAATCTGAGTCCCATGGAGCAATCGACAACCAGCCTGTTTAGCGCTGTGCGCAACTCAGCCATGTACACGATGTACGATGACGCACGACATTGCATAAATCACCAGAATTGCATAGCATTGCGCTGCTATGTTTGCTATGTACAATGCCAATGGTTATCAGCGTTGGTAAATCCTGCAGACATCTCCGGACTCGAAGGACATAAACACAGACAAAGCATGGAACCATCTGTGCAGGATTTGAGCCTAAGCTACTGTCGAGCATGCCTGAAATGTCAGCCTACCCTCTGTGCATCCTTCAACCTTTTTTGACGGGTGACAAAGCCAAATCCTTTGCGGTCTCGTTTCTTTTTTGGCACTGATCTGCCTTTCAAATTACGTCCCGAATCAGCACTGGCAAGGCCTCTTCCAGACACCCTCCGCCGTCCACCTCGTACGGATCCCAAACATGTTCGTATGCACCTGCTTCGCAAGTTAATTAGCTAGCAAACGAAGATAACGAAGCATCTCACCGTGGTCATCAAGTCGACATACTCCAACTCTTTTGAAATCCAGAGACATCCAGAGACATTCTCCAAAGAACTCTCTCTGAGACCTCAGGAGTTGGGCTCCTTCCATGTCAGCCTCTTCACAGGCTGCGGTGGATCGGAAGTGGTTGGAGCCTTAGCAGATTTAAAAGTAAAAACAATGCCAGATACTTAGTCATACTCATACTATCTACTTTCGTCATGAACTGCATTGTCGTTACATGATGGTTTCATTTCTGATCAAAAAATACATGTCTTCCTTCTTCGCTTGGAGTGCTGACATGGTAGTATTGAGTAGGCAAGTCGTAGAAAGCAGTTCAGATTTCAAATCCATCCAAATCCGTCCAGATAAAATGTGAAGGTTAAGCCGGGTTGCTCCAATCAGCTGCTTACCGTCCGGGCCTGTTCCTTAGACCTGCAGTGACCTGCAGCTTCGCTCAACATTTGAGACATGCCACAACTTGCTTCCGCTGAGTCTCAGGGGCGGGAAGCGTATTGAAAGTAGACTGACACGCTTTGATAGATACAGTGTGTGTATAATCTATCACAAAGTATATTGATATATATATATATATTGATATACACATTGTATTCGATGTTGAAGACAGTGAAGAGACATTGTTGACATGTTGCAATCTGATTGCACTCAGGGCCAACACCAGCGCTGTGCGATCAGATCTTCTTGACCAGGCCCGAGGATGTTGCTGTGCCGTCAGCGGATGTCAGCGGCCGTTTTTCTGGATCCGGGAGGAGATTTGCCTTCTAAATGCAATAATTACAACAGAATGAGCTGTGAAGTGCCTATCACGATACATGAATATGGGTTTGTGTGTGTGCGTGTGTGAAAATATATATATATACATACACACATAACTATCTGCATGTATGTATAGATTCATATCATGGATTTTCCTGTCTCATGACTTTCATTCAGAGTTCGTGACACATGAGAGCATCATTTTGTTTTGTGCTTGAAAGGGTACGGTGCACAGCATAGCGTATCCAAAGCGTATTTTCCCGCCACGTCACACCGCAAGCATGGAAAGTAATGGACAAGAAAGCTGCCGTGAGGGTTGGACAAGTTGGAAAAGTGCTACTTGGCCAAGTTGTTCCCATTGACTTAGCTCTTCCAACGTGGCGCTAAGTAAATGCTTGACACCATGATGACCACCATGACCTGCGGCACCTGCGCTTGACCTGTGCAGGAGCGTCAGAGGCTATCCTCCAAGAAGTCCGGACGGACCCTTCGCACGGGCCCAGATACAGCAAGGACTCGCAAGGACTCGCAAGGACTCGCAAGGACATTCAAGAAGTACATAGAAATCATAGAAGTACGTGATTTATACGTGATTTACATGAGCTCATGAGCACTGAAGTAAGTACTGAATAGATCTGAAGAGTACTTGAGTTCTGCATAGGAGGGAAAGACAATTTAATTCGCATTCTTCTTGTCTCGCTTTGCCAAGGCACACAGAAAACGATTGCAACACTGGATGCCTTGTCTCTGGTAGGACTGGGATAGCAACCGACCTAGCAACTACCAAACTGCCCTCTGCCTCTGGTAATACCCTCTCCAGCCAGTGCAGTTTTGGCGTTTACTGCAAAAATCCTCCAATTCAAGAGAATGATACGCGCCGGAAACTATTGAACTTCGCATTTCTGACTTGCGCGTCGTTCGTATGCAGGAAGTGCGGGAGGGTACTTGTCTTTTGAGAGTGCCGACCTGATCTAACGCCTCATGTAATGATTCCAGCTTTGCAGTAAGTGCAAGGTAGGTAGATGAAGCAACAGTTCAGCGGCATAACAATGGCATCCACTGATCCACTGGCATTTATTGTGGGAATGGTATCATGGCATTTTCAAAGCATATTGTCAACATTTGTCAACGCTGTGAATCATTGAGTAGTCTGAATAGTGATGCTGGTGCTGGGACTGTCCTGTCGTTTCTGCTGAGACTGGGGCCTCACAGATGACTACCTCGAGGCGCTGCTCGAGGCACACGATGGCACGGTGCCTCAGTCGTGGTGCACATTTGAGTGGTGGCTTCACTTTCTGCGCTCTATGCGTTCTCTGCGTTATCTGCGTTCTCTTTCGCCGTTTTGTTCCGTTCGACTTTTTGTTGAACGCCGTTTCAGTGTCAAGGCCTTGGTCAAGAGACGTGATGAGCTGAGCATGAAGAGTTCGACAGTTAATTTTCAATGGTGAAGTGGGACCTTGGGTTAATTTTCATTCAAGACCGTTTCAACCTATTTTGTTTGGTTTCTATAGGTTTCTATACGTTTTTCAAAAGCACACTCTGTTCATCCAGGTGATTTGTGGCAAAGGCATGCTGGACACATGGGACAGTCAGGTGAGTTTCTTTTTTCGAACACGGGCACGATTTGGTCAGAATCACACGAGCTCAGGAATGCTGCAGATGTGCCCACTGGTTTAGTGGGTGCGAAGCTTGTGTTGAAAATTGACGTGTTCAGAGTGCACAGTAGTGAGTAGTGCTTACCTTCGGCGGTACCTTTCGCTGTGGTGCCAGGGGTGAAGCACATCCATTTGGGTGGCAACTTGTTGACCGAACGCGGCTTGAAGGCTGGGCTTCTACAACTGCAAGAAAAGGTATCCGGAGGAATGCGTTTGGAAAACACAGTTTGCGAACAAAGAAGGAACGCATCAAAGCGTGAAACAACTCAAACTATACACCAATCCTGGTGGCTGTAGTTTGAACTTTGAACCATTCCAAACACATTGAACATCATTGAACCATTTTTCTCCCTCTGAGTTTCCTTGGGTGTGTTCGCATTGAGCAGCAGGCCTTGGTTTCAGCAGAAGGCCCCACAGAGACCTTGAAGACATTGAATCGTGGCTGCAATGTGTTGAAACATGTCGAAAGTCGAAACCATCACACAGCCATTACACAGTTGACAGTTTCCTGATTTCAACATGCACCACGTCTTCAAGATCTGAAGGAATTTTGCGCATCTTAGGACCCTCACATCAAACCGACTTGGTTTAGAGGCTACTGGAATTTCATTTGCATGGAGTATGCACTATTTGCACTGCACTCATGCGCCATACTGCATCTTGGCGAGGGCCGTCTCCTTTGTGAATGTCTGTGGAATCTGGAGCGCCTCACAGAGCCCTGTACCCGAGAGAGCACAGTCAGTACAGAGTCCTTTTCCGCGTGCTGTTTCATTCGCACCGTCGCACCGTGGCATCATGTGTTTCTTGTGTCTTGTGACAAGTCTTGTGCTTGTTGTTGAATTCTCGTTGTCAGGTTGGACTTGAGTTGCAACCCTTTGGGCGACAGCGTCACAGCCGAGCTCTGCAAGGCGCTTGTGCAAGGCGCAGCATGACGCAGCATGGCGCAGCATGACGCAGCATGTCGCAGCATGATGCAGCATGGCGCAGCGGTGCAGCCAACGTGCGCAAGTCATGTCATGTCGTAGCAAGGCCCATTTTCTCCACGCTGGTCCACGTTGGTCCACATGGAACTATATACGTAGTCGACGTAATTTGATGAACTAGTTCCCATGCTCTATTTTACTTGAATGCCTTGCATGTCCACATGCCTTACGCCTCTCCTTGTTCTACACTGTTAGACATTGCGCCCTGTGTTACAGTTGGAGATATGCTTAGACATGATAACAATATTTCAAGACATTGAATCATACTGGGGTTCAGTGACATGAGTACTGTTGTATACTGTTGTGGTGATTTTCTCGACAAATGACGACAAATGCAACAGTTTATTTCTATTCTATATGTATGCATGGAACCCTTTGACACAGGCTATTCTTTTTCATGTTTTCTAAAGCTACTATAAAAAGAAAAAGCAGGTCATGTAGCTACTATATGGCAAAACCGCCTTCAGGACAGGTGCAAACCGTTGCAACAAGTGGTTCTAGTAACATGTCAAGTGGGCAGCATATGGCCGAGCCTGCCTTAAGGAGGGAGGGTTACGTTTTTTCACCCCGCATGTCATCAGCCCCTAGTATCAGCTCACACGAAACCTAGTCTTATTTATGTGGTGTCATATCATGTTACATCATGTTGGGCATCATGTGGGGCATCACGTTGCATCTAAATGAGTCTTGGTACCTGCACCGGGGATCACCGGCGGTCACCGGCGTTTCTATTTGTTCCTCACAGGCTGCCCCCAGCTGCAAGGCCTTGGCCTTGCCAGGCCAGATGTCGTATGATGTCGTCTGATGTCATATTTCATTAAGGGCTACGACACGGGTTTGTCCCAAAAGCCGAGCTAACCCCCAAATGAATCCAACTTCCCGTTCAGAGGGAGACATATGGCAAAATGATGGAAACTATATGAAGCTAGTACTAGTAGTACTAGTAGTACTAGTAGTAGTAGTAGTAGTAGTAGTAGTAGTAGTAGTAGTAGTACTAGTAGTACTAGTAGTAGTAGTAGTAGTAGTAGTACTAGTAGTAGTAGTAGTAGTAGTGGTAGTAGTAGTAGTCGTGGTGGTGGTGGTGGTGGTGGTGGGTTGTAGTAGTTCTAGTTGTACTAGTAGCTTAGAAAATGAGGTTTCTCTGCTTTTCCGCACTTCTTGGCACCTGTAGAAACACTTCTAGAAAGGCTTATGAACAGGAAAGGTGCCTAACGTTGCGTCTGAGACATTAGAAAACGATGTTTTCTGCTTTTCTACTTTTCAGCATTTCTTGCTAGGCTTATGAACGGGAAAAGTGCCTAACGTTGCTTCTGAAACCTTTGAAAATGAGGTTTCTCTGCTTTTTCGCACTTCTTGCCACCTTCTAGAAAGGCTTATAAACGGGAAAAGTGCCTAACGTTGCTTCTGAAACCTTAGAAAATGAAGCGTCTATGCTCTTCCACATGTTTTGCCACCTTGTAGAAAGGCCTATAAACGGGAAAAGTGCCTAACGTTGCTTCTGAAACCTTAGAAAATGAGGTTTCCCCGCTTTTTCCGCACTTCTTGCCGTCCTTAGAAAGGCTTATAAATGGGAAAAGTGCTGAACGTTGCTTCTAAAACCTTAGAAAATGAAGTTTCCATGCTTTTTCCGCGCTTCTTGCCACCTTTTAGAAAGGCGGATAAACGGGAACAGTGCCTAACGTTGCTTCTAAAACCTTGGAAAATGAAGTTTCTATGCTCTTCCGCATGTCTTGCCACCTTCTAGAAAGGCTTATAAACGGGAAAAGTGCCTAACGTTGCTTAGAAAATGAGGTCTCTCTTCTCTTGCCACCTTGCTGAAAAAGGCGTAGAATCGGAAAAAGTGCTTAATGTTGCTTCTGAAACCTTAGAAAATGAAGCCTTTCCGCATGTCTTGCTGCGTTCCAGAAAGGCTTGTAAACGGGAAAAGTGCCTAACGTTGCTTGTGAAACCTTTCAAAACGGAGTTTCTCTCTTTTTTTTTGGTGCACTTCTTGTCACCTTCAAGGCTTATAAACGGGAAAATTGTTTAACGTTGCTTCTGAAACCTTGACAAGGAAGTTTCTCTGCTTTTTCCGCATTTCTTGCCACGTTGCTTCTGAAACCCGAAGGAGTAGCATAAATAGTACATTAGTACTAGTACTCGTACTAGTATTAGTACTACTAGTAGTAGTATCGCACCTTTTGCGTGCTCTTTCCCATGGTCTTGAAGCCCTCTGAAGCCTGAAGGAGTAGTATAATATAGTTAGTAGTAGCAGTGTAGCTACAGTAGTAGTAGTAGTAGTAGTAGTCGCAGTCGCAGTCGGAGTCGGAGTCGGAGTCGTAGTCGTCGTCGTCGTCGTCGCAGCAGCAGCAGCAGGAGGAGGAGGAGTAGTAGTATTCGTAGTAGTAGTACAGTCGTAGTCGTAGTCGATCTTAGTCGTTGTCGTAGCCGTAGTCCTAGCGGCAGTAGTAGCAGTAGTAGCAGTAGTAGCAGTAGTAGTAGCAGTAGCCGTAGCCGTAGCAGTAGTAGTAGTAGCAGCAGCAGCAGGAGTAGTAGTAGTAGTAGTAGTAGTGGTAGTCGTAGTGGTAGTGGTAGTGGTAGTGGTGGTGGTAGTAGTAGTAGTAGTAGGAGTAGGAGTAGGAGTAGTAGTAGAAGTAGTAGTAGTAGTAGTAGAGGTAGAGGTAGAGGTAGAGGTAGAGGTAGAGGTAGAGAAATCAAACGCCGTTGCAAGTTTCAGAGCATGACGCAATTACTGCTTTCTTCCTTGAGGCTACGCCCGCAACGTCGGCCATGTAAGTACATGTCAAATTTTGAAGAAAAATCCTGTGCGTCCAACGATGACCTTGGGTCCGAGGAAATGGTTTCAGGACTGCGCCGCCCTGTGATGCAAGCAGAACTGTCAAGCAGAGGCGTCGGACGTTCCAGGGATGTCGTTGTTTCCAGCCCCGGTGGAGCTGCCAAGGGCCCAGCAGCTCGGGTGAGGTCAACCGGAAACACATTGAACAATTCGATTTTCCATGAGTATGAAAGGAATCTTTCCATCAGTTTCTGTTCTTGCGTTGAAACTGCAAATGTATTTTGCATTGAACAGCTGTGCCGAGGCCCGATGGGCCATTGAGCCGCCGGCCCTCCGAGCTCTTGGCGGCGTACCGGGCCGGGTACGCCCAGCACCAGGCCATGCAGGCAGCGGCGCAGAGAGATCTTCTTCAATGCTTCTTTGAATCGAAATATATGGAAATATTGCATTGGTGTTTCAAAAATCTGTCATGATGACAGATGTTGCCTTTTTGATCCTTTATGCATCTCTCGGGGTTGCGACTCGCCTGCTTGCTTGGGGCGTTCTGCCAATCGCTTTGTTGTCTGTCGCAAGTGGGCAAACATCCATGCGTATCCAGTATCCAGCGGTTTTTCCCCGCGCTTGTGTGTACAGAAATGCTCCTCGAGCTGGAAAATATACAAATGCAAAATTCAGAACCGAAAGAGGGTTCCTTTTGAAGAGCGGGAGGAAGCTACCAAATTCACCTGGGGTTGCATTTGAATGCCTGATGAGTCTCTTGAAGAGGTGATGACAAGAACAATTGGAAGGGGAGACGCATGATCGGAAGCATGCAGGATACAGAATAGTACATGATGGACGCAGAACAGTTTCGCAGCAGTAGTTGCAATACATGGCGCCCATGCGGCGCATGACTCCTTCTTTCGACGTGGGGCATGCGCAGATGAATTCAGGTTTATTCCATCGGATTGTTAGCGTGTATTATTGATGTTGCGGCGTCCAGATGTATAGACCATGTACAGACCATGGGCGCCGTCAGGTTTGTTCATTTTTTCTCCGACGGGAGAGCTTGAAGAAATTCTTTTTGTTTGCTAAAGTCCGTTTTGCTTTAGCAAGAATCTGGCGGTAAGCTGATCGGCGGTTAGTCTGATACTATCAGACTTAACCCCCTTCCCCTTGTAATGGTATTCCCCCTGGGATATACATGTTCTTTGGATTGTGTGAGCGTGCCTCCGCAATGCTGTTGCTGGTTCATGTCTTTGTACCGTTCACAGTTCTCTGTGTATTTCAGTTGCCGTTGATCGCATACGTGATACTTGGTTCAAGACTGGCTGAGTTTTCTATTGATTTTCGTCCTCTAGAAAGCAAATGGTTTCTATTGAAAAAAAGCTAAATCAATAGAGAATGCCCAGGGCTCTCAAAGTTCCACATTGTCCTCCTGTCTTTTCCGGTTGTGGCGGCGCCCTTTTCTTCCTTGTTCTTGGTTTCCCTTGAAGCCGGCCTCCCCTTGTCCTGCCCTTGTCTGCTTGTCACCTTGCCCCTAAACCCGCCGTTTTGTCCCGTGCCCCTTGTCCCCATCCATTTCATGATGTGTTTCAATTCTTAAGCATAGTGTTTTTTTTCCGGCGTTGAGTTGCCAGGTTAAACGCAACAATTCCGTCCATCAGCTTTAGCTTGCTTCATGCTTCGCTTTCCTCCAGGACCATATGGCATTGGCGCTGGTCGTGGTTGCGCTGGCGCTGTTGGCCATGTTGGCGATGGTTTGCTTGGCATGGCGTGGACAAAGAGAAGCCAGATGCTGAGTTTTGTGGTCGTGTCCATGGCGTTTTGGGAATGTGGGGTTCGGTGCTTGTCAGTTTTCCATTCTGTTTGCGACATTTTGGGTTTCCAACCTATCATGTTTCCTGGTATTTGCAGCGTGTGGATGTCCAAACTGCCATTTTCCATTGTATTGGCGGTAGAACCATCAGCTCGCCTTTAGACAAAATCGATTTGGAACAAGAGAGATACAAGAACGAACTGCTTACCTAGAACAAAGAATTAGACTAATCAAATTCTTGGGGCAGAAAACATGTCCTATTAGTAAGTATGCAAAGGCGGATAAAGGCGGAGTAGCTGCGCAATCTTTCAAACATCTGCAATTGCGAGGTTGGCAGGCTACAACCTTGTCAATGCCATGAAACACCACAGGTTGTTTCTTTGCGATCCGTGTCCCAAGCAAAGGAGAGTGCAAATCCAGAGGACACATGCAAAAACCAAGGCGAACCCAATGAACATATTTGTAGCAGCAGCAGGGCCAAAGCTGAAGTGGCAAGAAGGGAAGATTGAAAAACTGGAAACCAAACACAAGGACACCAAACGTGCTCAAGTCGTGTCGCGCGGAAACACAGAGCTTCAGATTCAAAAAGTTTTTTATTGCAAAAAAAACATTAGAACTACGTTCGTGCAGATTCACTTGACTTGATGCGGGCAAAAACACCAGAAACCTAGCGTTGTCCGTTGTCGATCGCAAATCGGAAAAATATTGAACAAAGCGCTGCCTTGAATTTCGAAAGGGGCAAACTGTAGAAAGCAGTGGATTGAAACAAAAATAGTTGCTCAGCAGGAGGCAAAGGGAGCGCATTAGAACCCGACGGCCCGTCTTTGTATCATGTTGTCTTCGTAGTTCAGTGTATATGGTGAGTTGACAGTGATAGTAGTAGTCGTGGAGTTTTGCCCAGTCAGGCTAGCGACCAATTTTCGGGGTTCTCTTACATGTCGTGCCTTGTTCCTTTGGTTTAATGCCATGTTGTGCCTGCTGTGGCTTGTCGCTATGGGTAATTTGGCATTTGTAGATTGAGGTTGCGGCATCACCTCAGCCACATGTGGACCTTGAAGCTCAGGCACCAGCGCTTGATCGAATTTTGGCCGGTTTATTTGGTCATGGTTCATGGCACCCTGGTACCCAACAGACATCCAAGTGATAGACTTGAATAATTTCTAACGATGGAAATCAGCCCAAAAATTGCTACAGCTTGGTTTGGAACCATGGCAATGTCTTTTCCCAATTGCTAAAATCTGCCTCTTGAAGAGCAGAGTCGAGGCCGCACACCCCAACCAAACCCAGGTCGGGCAGCGACGGTTGCGACGTGTGTCAACCTCCGCACGCTTCCCGTCTATGGAACGACCTACTTGCTACTTGGATGATGTTGTATAAGTTTGGGGGGTGGTGAACATCAAAAAAATATACCTATTGAATATACTAATGTACTGTAATGGAATCACCTCGTGAATTGCCTCCCAGGTCGAATGGACGGCTTATATCCACGTGATATGTGGTGCAGCCAAAGCTCCCGAGCCGAGGCCATGATTCTTGGCAGCACAGTGCTTGGATGAGCATGTGCCATCCGGTGCTTTTTCCCCCAAACAGATTACTGTCAGGGGTTCTCAATGCTTTCTAAAAGAGTGTCCGCCTTGGTGTGGGTGAGCGTGTCCGCTTTGTCTCCGGTCTTGTCTCTCTGTTTCCGGACTTGTCTTGTCTCCTTTCGTGCCTCCCTTTGTGTGGGGCGACGTGTCTGCCTTGTCTCCGGTCTTGTCTCCCTGTTTCCGGACTTGTCTTGTCTCCTTTCGTGCCTCCCTTTGTGTGGGGCGACGTGTCCGCTTGTCTCCGGTCTTGTCTCCCTGTTTCCGGACTTGTCTTGTCTCCTTTCGTGCATCCCTTTGTGTGGGACGACGTGTCCGCCTTGTCTCCGGTCTTGTCGGACTTGCCTTGTCTCCTTCCGTGCCTCCCTTTGTGTGGGACGACGTGTCTGCCTTGTCTCCGGTCTTGTCTCCCTGTTTCCGGACTTGCCTTGTGTCCTATTTATTCATCTGATGTTCGTGCAATTTGCAGCAACTTTTGGTCTTGAATGCTACTGTGGTAGTTTTTTTTTTCTTGGGCTTTGCGCTGCAGCCATGTCTAAGTCTACTACATATCGCACTATCGATCAACTTACAGACCTGGAACTTGTTAGTTGTGACAAATTATGTTTGAGTGGTTGGCTCGGCCCAACGCAGAAGTGGCTGGCTTCCCAGGATGATTGACTTGACAACTTGATGTAATTATCATTGATCTAACCATCATCTGTTTTCCAATGTCAGTGTCAGTGGGTGATCCAGTCATCTTTTTTCCAACAATAATAAGATAAATCACATTTTTTGTCAATAGTGTTTCTGCCCAGGAACGAGCGCGGTCCTCTCCAAGCAATTTGCAAAGATGGTCATTGTGAAGAAATTTCGATGAGGGAATTTGAGAACAAGTTTGGAAAAACCGAGTGGAATCGGCCATGTGATCATTGAACTGATTGATGACCCAATTTGCATTTTTGGTTCACCATCAAATTCAGTTTTGGGTCACAAAGACCCGACCAACCAATGATGATGATGATGATGATGCTGCGGCCGTTGCTGCATTAACTTGACATGATTGTCCCAGGTCCCGTGACTTGTGATTGTCTGTAGTAAAGGTGACAGCAAAATTATGATTGCGTGTGAGGAAAACAATCTATTATTGCGTCGGCGGGACATTTGGCTGGATCTATTTAAATTCAAAATGACACGCTTTTAAAATATCAATGCGTTGCATTTCGTTACGTTGCATATCAGCATACATTCATTTATTTTTTTGAGAATTTTCTTTACTTCAAAACAGTTTCAAATAAGAATCTGAATAATCTCTTCTTGTATTTATTATTTTCAACATCATTGATCATGTTTTAAATTCAATTCATTGAGCTTCAGCTCCTTTTTTTACTGTTCAAATTCAATATTCCAACTAAAGAAAATCAGATTCAAGGATTACATCCCATCATTGATTATTGAATCTAAATTTAAATGTTTCAAAACACAAGCTGGTAATTAAAAGATAAATGACTGGCATGATGGTCATACTTTAATTTTTTGATAAGAAAGTTAAACAAAAATAATAACACTGGATGATGGAAATACTAAAATGCATACTTTCCCCTTCTTTTCTTATGTTTCTAATTGTTTGTCTTTATCTCTTTCCCCACTAATATTAAAAACCAACCATAGCTAAACCCGACGGATCTGGACCCCGTTTGCTTTTTGCTGCTGGTGGTAGTAGTAGTAGTAGTAGCAGTAGTAGTAGCAGTAGCAGTAGCAGTAGCAGTAGCAGTAGCAGTAGCAGTAGCAGTAGCAGTAGCAGTAGTAGTAGTAGTAGTAGTAGGAGTAGGAGTAGGAGTAGGAGTAGGAGTAGGAGTAGGAGTAGTAGGAGTAGGAGTAGGAGTAGGAGTAGGAGTAGTAGGAGTACCAGTACCAGTACCAGTACCAGTACCAGTACCAGTACCAGTACCAGTACCAGTACCAGTACCAGTACCAGTACCAGTACCAGTACCAGTAGTAGTAGTAGTAGTAGCAGCAGCAGCAGCAGTAGCAGTAGCAGTAGCAGTAGCAGTAGCAGTAGCAGTAGCAGTAGTAGTAGTAGTCGTAGTCGTAGTCGTAGTCGTAGTAGTAGTAGTAGTAGTAGTAGTAGCAGCAGTAGGAGTAGTAGTAGTAGTAGTAGGTTGTTGTTGTTGTTGCTGTTGCTGTTGCTGCTGTTGTTGTTGTTGTTGTTGCTGTTGAAGGTGAAGTTGAAGTTGAAGAAACAACAACTGAAATAGAAACACAAACTTGAAAATCCTTGACGCGCTCCCCCGTGCATCAGCCAGGTCGGCGGATAAATGGTATAAATGATCAATCAGCTTATGGGGCCATCAAATGCCAATACGTCTCCAATTTTGAGACAAGTCCATACGAAACAAAGCGACAACGAGTCATGAATGAGATGGCAACTGGTGACAATGAAGCGACCAATCCCGTGAAAGCTCGTCATGACTCATTTAGCGACCCTACCTCCATTGGGTCCATTGGCCGTGTGCATCTCGTGCATCTTGCGCTATGATTTCGCTGATTTCAGGTGTCGAATCGGCTCCCAATCCACGACAGCAGTGGCGGGTGCTGCCCTGGGGCATTTTGTAGTTGGGGTGCCTAGCGGCTCAGATAATGCGGCAATGCGTTTGAAGACTAAATCATAAACATCACCAAGGAAGGATCTTCAACGATTTTCAGGGCTAGTCAGTGAATTTCTGTCCTCAAATGGACGCAAAAGGTGGCACGCAATTGCAATATCAGGGATGCACGCACCATCAACCCAGAGAGACCCAGAGAGAATTAGATTGCATCAGAACATATCAGAACTCTTTGCCTTGTGAGTTTTGCAAAACTCAAGGGCAAGGGTTTAGAGCCTTGAAGATTCATGCTACATATCATGCATTTTGACCACAAAATCTGGAAACTTTGGACGACATTGCTCTTGACAGTGCTCTTTGGCTCTTTCCACTTAAGGCACAATCCTCGACTTTGAAGGTCCTGGACCTCGCTTGGAATGCCTTGCACGGTGAGGCCGCTGAGGCGCATGCCAGCGACATGTTTTCCATGAGCATTGCGCCAAGCATAGTGCATATGTACTGATTATGTACTGCGCCACAGCTCAAGGAACTGCGCAATTCTGCATAGCTCTTAGTACTCATAGTATACTCATAGTATCATAGCACTCTGTTTACAATCTGTACATATGCTTTGTTCTGCATATCTTGATTTATCTTGGCATTGCTGGGCTCAGTCTGTGTTGGTTCATCCTGATTGAGTGAATTATTGAAAGATCATGTCGCATTATTCCGTGATTCATTTGTAACCTGTGGACGTGTTGAAGAGTCAGCGACTTGTTTTCTGCGGCGGAGAGGCTCTACTTGAAGGCATCTACGATAACAACAAGGCAGCGGATGCGCGAGAGAGTGGTGGCCTTCGAAGGTTGGGAATTGCCTGGAACCGTTTGGAGGCCCAATGTGCCTTTTGGCATCTTCCGCAGGACTTGCGAAGGAGGATCATGATGGATCAGACAATATAGATCAGAGCTGTTTCAAAGCTCCGTGGAGGAGTTGGTTCTGATCACGTCATTCATACTTTTTCACGTATAATTGATATATATGTATATATTACATATAATTTGCGTATAACATATTTGATCATAGGATGTTCATGTTATTCGTCATTTGGGCCGATGGTGACGACGAGCTCAGGCCTTGGCAGCAAAGCCACCAACTCCCAAACCACGCGTCAAACTGCCGTGTTGAAGTCCATGCAGGGCGGGCATAGGCGAAACCAGTTAAGGGTCGACAGGAAGGAAACGAATACACATGAAAAATCATGAAATAGAATATTATTGTGAATTATTCAAACCTGTTAATTTCCAACCGGTTCTGTTTGCGCACATGACAAGCGAATGCTATTTACAATTTGCGTACCTTGCGTTTTTTTGCTGACACCGGCATTCTCAAAAATATTCCGTCAGCAAATTCACTTCGACAGAACGAGCTGAAAGATTTGCCAGGCTCGGCCAAGTTGCTATGCAGTATTTTTGAAGACTGCAAAGCAATGTTCCATATGGCCCCCAGCTGAGTTATGCTGAGTCCCCATGTCCTTTTCATGTTTCTGCACATAATATATATATATACAAACATAATTATATATATATATATGTTTTTAAATCTCTTGTGATGCCTAGATCTCATATATATATATGTATATATATACACTTATGACGCAAAATGCTTCATTTTACTGGAAACCAGCAAATAATTAAAAAAACAAAAGCACACAAACAACAAACAAAAAACAAACAAACCCAAAACCCCACCCCCCCCAAAAAAAAACAAAAAACAAAACAAAAACAAAAAAACAAAAAACAATAAACATCGCACGGTTTGAAACTCAGAGAGACTTTGTGCTTCTCCCTAATCGCCGCAGCTTGTTGATACCGCTTGCTCTCAAAATCCACAGTCTGCTGCATTGCCTGCTGCCAAGTTGCGACCAAAACTCCCAAAATCCAACAAGGGCTGCCTAGTCAAATCTTCAAACAGTGCGCCTATTGCCCTTGATGGGGGGCAAGCAATCAGTCTAGGGGGTGCCCCGGCGGCTCGTGGTACCCCCGTTTTTTTTTGGATTGTTTTTTTTGTATTTTTTTTGGGGGTTTGTTTTTGTTGGTTTGTTTTTGTTTGTTTTTTGTTTGTTTTTTTCCCATAATTTTAATTATTTTCCATTTTCCAATGCATGAAGGTCTCTCGACGTCATAGATACACCTAATATCATAGATAATATTATAAATACAACATATTTCACTTGCCACGCAAAGAAAGTAAAGGAAACCAAGAAGCCACAGCCTTTCCAGAAGGACAAGGCATCGTCTCCCAAGGACTTGTCCTACAATGGCTTTGGTGCAGAGGATTTTTCCATGCGCGATTCAAACTGTTTGGATAGAGTCTAAAGATGTCTAAAGATGTCTAAAGATGTCTAAAGTCTTGAAATCCCAAAGAAGCAACCCGAAGGGAACCAGATGCGCTGAATGATTCTGCGTGCTGAAAAACAATGAGCAATAATGAAAAACGAAGGCCAAACGAGGCAACCTCGAAAAACGGAATGATTTCAATTGATTTCGGTGTAGGATTGTGCTGTGATGGCAGCTGGCCTGGCTAAGAACCACACCCTCTTCGGTTCGGGCCTTCTGAAAGTCCACTTTGCCACGTGCTGTAAGGATGTCATTACAAAGAAGCAAATCGAAAGAAATCTGACCATGAAATGTGACCGATGAGTTTTAGTTCAAGGCTAGTTACATGAGTGCTAGCCTGTATGCACTTGCTCGTGCCTTGTTTTGGTGCAGATTCCAGTTGATGTTTGAGACATTTGAGACAATTCAGACACTATAAATGTAGTCACCGCTTGGTCAGTCGCAAGAAACAAATGGGATTACTGATCCCTTCCAGGGCTTGTAACGACGCGTAAAAGATTGTATGTTGGACAGTGTGACCATACAGATGTTTGAACTCTGTCTACATGTGTAGGGTCTTCGACCACAGCTCCATGAATGTTTGCGTTCGCACTCTAACTGGCTCTGAGAGCTTCTTTGAACTTGGAGGAGACTTGGCAGAAGTACATCCGATGATGTTCACGTATCATTTTTTGATTCATCTTACGCAATTCAAAAGCAAATCAGCAAATGAGCTCCGATGCAACTCCAAATTGTTTCAGGAAACAGCTTGGAAGTTGAAGTTTTGCTCAGGTGAGGCCACCGTGCTTGATCTAAAACTGGCAATCCAGTCGCGCATTGCTGTGCCGCGCAGAGAGCAACGTCTAGCTGCTTCTTGCCGCAGTTTGGAGTTCCAAAAGCCATATGATTATATATATATTATTGTATACATACTTACATATTCAATCATATTCATATGGGTCTGTGCAAAAATAGGGGATGCACCAAAATGGCAAATTCAATTGGGAAAAAGATGCGTTGGATTTGGGGGATCCTATCAGGCAAACCCTGCAAGAATCAAAGATGTCGTAGTCCAAAGGAGCCTAGTGTCACATGCGAGTCGACCACAACTTTGCATATGTTTTTTAATGTTTGCTGGGTGCAAGCCTGACCATGTGGGTCCTGTGGCGGAAGCCTTCAAGGCCGGCAAGCTTCTTCTGCATGATGGACTTCGGCTGGCCAACGTTGCTGCCGAGGTCCCATCCAAACTCTCACAAATTCTTTTTTTGGCAGTGCTGTCCATCTCATTACACTTTCAACGTATTGGCAATTATTGGGATCAATGGGCATCTTGGCTTTTCATTTGTTGATTTGTATCACCGTGTTCTGTCCCACCATGGCTCTACCATTTCTCATGGAGGTGACGGATGAAGATGGCATTCTACAGCTTTGCTTGGTCCGTTGCTCGATGCCAGAGTGTGAGGCGGTAACGATGCTCCAAGATTGTTAGTCAAACCTCACAACCCTCGATGCCAGCTCTGCACGTTTTGATTTGGAGTGCGCTAGCATCACCCACATTCGTTTTGAACGCACAAGAAGCACTAGATGCCAAACTAAGAGAATTTACCCGGTGCCAACTTCTATCTTGCTTCTATCTTGCGAGAGAAACTTGCTTGAAGCAGACAGCTCTTCATCATTCTTCATTCTTTGTGAAGCAAAGGTGAGCATGTCCTGCATTTCATCTAAGCATTGACCAAGCAGACTAAGCATATCTAAGCTGTACATGCTGTATTCAGAAATGTGTTGAACATGTCAGGATTGGACAGCGCACGGCCTGGCATGTTGGAGGGCTTGGCTTCTGGCTGGCTAGCCCTGCAAGACTTGGGAGAGGCCCAGCTTTTGCAGCCGTTGCACCGTACTTTCATCAATTGTGTTTAATTGATTAAATTTTCATGTTGGATGACTGTGATACCCTTTTTTTCGCGCAAGGCATAGGTCGTTGGATCAACAATCATGATGACAATCTGGACGGTTCAGGAGTTGCGTGGCGACAAAGAACTGGTCCTTGCAGCCGTCTCAGCCAGTCACTCTGCTTCGAATGGTAAGAGTCGGTAAGAGTGGTAAGAGTCGGTAAGAGTTTGTGTTTTGTGTGTATTGTTTGTGTGTATGTTGTGTAGACACTGACACGCACATGCAGTTTCAGCATATCAGTCTTCGCGCGGGGAACAAAATGGAACAAAGATCTCAGAGCGTTCAAAAGAACAAACTTGTTCATGCACCTACTGCTGTTCTGGCGCTCAAAAGCTGTTCTCATTGTTGCATGTGTTTGCATATTTTCATATATGTTCCTTGCGCTGATAGCAGGTGGCTAAGCTTTCAGTGCCAGTTGCAGCTGCCAGTACATTCCATTACATTCCCACCATCCCGTTTGCTTAGTGACACCAGCATGCAAAACGCATGCTCTCAAGGTCCCTGATTCAAGCTCGTACAGGGTGTGTGTGTGTACAGTATGTGAACCATAGATGTAAACGATTGTAAACGTCTAATTAGTCTAATTCAATTCTACATATTCTACTTCGTCATATTTCACTCCCTACAGAAGTGACAGTCCAACGGAGAGGCTTGCCTGGTACTGTACTGGCTTTATTGGGGATTCATTTCCCAACATGTCACCCCATGTCCATGTGGCTATGTTTTGGTCTAGTGAGTGCACATGCGGGGTGGTTCAGTTGTGGAGTATCACAGGAGTTGCATTAATTCACTCAGACGCGCAAACAATTTACGATTCTAACTTCTCGCGCAAATATTCAACTAGAGCAACCGCGTAGTTCGCAGTTTTCCTCCCATTTTTTCCCGAGAGCGTCTGAGCGCAGGGTTCTTCCAATAGTGGGGGTTTGTCTCTCATCTTCTCATCTTCACATCTTCTCATCTTCACACCTTCTCATCTTCACATCTTCTCATCTTCACATCTTCTCATCTTCACATCTTCACATCTTCGCATCTGCTCATCTTCACATCTTCACATCTTCACATCTGCTCATCTTCACATCTTCACATCTTCACATCTGCTCATCTTCACATCTTCACATCTTCTGCTCATCTTCACATCTTCACATCTGCTCATCTTCTCATCTTCTCATCTTCACATCTTCACATCCTCACATCTTCACATCTTCTCCTCTTCTCCTCTTGCCCTCTCGCCCTCTTGCCCTCTTGCCCTCTTGCCCTCTTGCCCTCTTGCCCTCTTGCCCTCCCCTCTCCTCTTGGAAAAATTGCGATTTCAAGGTGTCCGCCGCAACCCTTTCGCACGAAACGAGGTTCGATCGCCAAAAGCTGAAGTAAAATTGCGATTTCCGGGTTCCCGTTGCAACCCTTTCGCACGAAACGAGGTTCGATCGCCAAAAGCTGGGGTAAAATTGCGATTTCCGGGTTCCCGTTGCAACCCTTTCGCACGAAACGAGGTTCGATCGCCAAAAACTGGGGTAAAATTGCGATTTCCGGGTTCCCGTTGCAACCCTTTCCCACGAAACGAGGTTCGATCGCCAAAAGCTGAGGTAAAATTGCGATGTTTCCTGTGTGTACAAAGCTTCTGTGTGCTGTGTGTGAAAGCTTCTGTGTGTAAAAGCATCGGTGTAGAAGCGTTTGTGTAAACGCGTCTGCTTAAAAGCTTCTGTGTGCTCTGTGTCAAAGAGTCTGTGTGTCAAAGCGTCTGTGTGCAAAAGTTTCTGTGTGTAAAAGCTCCTGTGTGTAAAAGGGTCTTTGTTAAAAGTGTCTGTGTGTAAAAGCGTCTGTGTGCAAAAGTGTCTGTGTGTAAAAGCGTCTGTGTAAAAGCGTCTGTGTGTAAAAGCTTCTGTCTGTAAAAGCTTCTGTGGGTAAAAGCTTTGTGTGTAAAAGCGTTTGTGTGTAAAAGCGTCTGTGTGTAAAAGTGTTTCTGCGTAAAAGTGTTTGTGTGTAAAACCGTCTGTGTATAAAAGCGTTTGTGTGTAAAAGCTTCTGTGTGTAAAAGCGTCTGCGTGCAAAAGCTTCTGTGTGTAAAAGCGTCTGTGTGTAAAAGTGTTTTTGTGTAAAAGTGTTTGTGTGTCAAAGTGTCTGTGTGTAAGAGCGTCTATGTGTAAAAGCTTCTGTGTGTAAAAGCTTTTGCGTGTAAAAGTGTCTGCGTGTAAACGCTTCTGTGTGTAAAAGCTCCTGTGTGTAAAAGGGTCTTTGTTAAAAGTGTCTGTGTGTAAAAGCGTCTGTGTGTAAAAGTGTCTGTGTGTAAAAGCGTCTGTGTAAAAGCGTCTGTGTGTAAAAGCTTCTGTCTGTAAAAGCTTCTGTGGGTAAAAGCTTTGTGTGTAAAAGCGTCTGTGTAAAAGCAACTGTGTGTAAAAGCGTCTGTGTGTAAAACTGTCTGTATGTAAAAGCGCCTGTGTGGAAAAGTGTCTGTGTGTAAAAGCGTCTGTGTAAAAGCGTCTGTGTGGAAAAGCTTCTGTCTGTAAAAGCTTCTGTGGGTAAAAGCTTTGTGTGTAAAAGCGTCTGTGTAAAAGCAACTGTGTGTAAAAGCGTCTGTGTGTAAAACTGTCTGTATGTAAAAGCGCCTGTGTGGAAAAGTGTCTGTGTGTAAAAGTGCCTTGTGTGTAAAAGCGTCTGTGTGTAAAAGTGTCTGTGTGTAAAAGCGCTGCCTGTAAAAGCTTCTCTGTGTAAGGGGTTCTCTGTGTAAAAGCTTGCTCTGTGTAAAAGCTTCTGTGTGTAAAGTGTTTGCGATGCAAACTATTGTCTTGTACTTATGCTATATTGTCTTGATACTCCTCTTCTCGACTGCCTATCACACATCTTTAATATATTGTTTTGTAATATGGTGTCTCCATACTAACAAGAGAAGACCTTGCTCCTCTACGCTCTCGGGCCATCCGTCGTCTAGTTCTTTTAGAGCAGCAAAACACAGCAAATTATACTTATTATTATTTACATACTTGTATGATACATGATTATATACGGTTGTTTTGTGTCTTTGGACACGTTGACTTTTTAAGCCAATGTTCTTTGGCTGTTCATTTAACTTAAAACAAAAGAAATAGTTTAATTAGTTTATTTTTTTTTCGCGCTTTCTCACTTTGTGACTGAGATGGCTGGAGCCTGGAGTTCGCAAGCCCTCTCCTACGTGCCGACAAAGACATAGCGATGGCAGCGGTGCAAAGTGACGCCGCAGCGCTGGAATTCGTCTCTGACGCTTTGCGCAGAGACCAAGGCCTCGTCACAGTGTTGCTCCATGGAGAGCACATCACACTTCAGATCCGCGGCTGAAAGTTGAGAGATGTCGAGAGATATCGAGAGATGTCGAGAGATGTTCAGAGATGTCGAGATGTTTGTGGTGTAGTGGGCAGGTGTTGTTCTGGCAGCTGCTCAGCGCAATGGCTGGGCTCTAGCCTTCGCTGCCCCTGAACTCCGTGCAGACAAGGCGAGTTCAAACAGATCTGCCCAAGCAAACTGGAGACCTTGAATACCTTGACAGAATTCCATGTACTGTGGAGTCTGTGGATCTGTGTGGATTCATGTTGCAGGAAACAAATTTTGTGTCAAGGCGGTTTTATTCCTCATAGCTTAAGCACTTGATTTTGGCTGAAGACGCCCGGGGCACTTCTGCAGCTTGTTTCCAGTTTCCCATTCTCAGGAGATAGTGCTTGCTGCCGTGGCTAGCAATCCTTTATCGCTTCAGTTTGCATCTGAGGCCTGGGCAGTGGACTTGAGAAGTGGAGTTTCTTCCCATCAATACATCCAAGACCATGTTTCAATATGTTCCATTTGAGTGCCTGATAGCGCAGATATTGTTCTTTTATGTTCTTTGGTTGATTGGAGATGGAGTTGTCAGAATAGGTGCAAGTGCTTACAGATGCTTCCAGATACTTGCAATCAAGAGATTCTCCATGGCACTTCCATCTTTGCGTCTCCTGCTTGCATCTTTTGCCAATTTTCTGCTCAGGAGCTGCGACAAGATCCTGCAGTTGTGCTCAAAGCAGTGTCGTTGAAGGGATGCGCTCTTCGCTTTGCTGCTTCGCATTTGCGTAGGGACACGCAGGCACGACCCACGATGAACATTTAAATATGTTAAATGTGAACAGGAAGCCTGTACAACTTCTCATTTAGAAGATGTGATACATTCATAGAACATCATAGAACAACATCATCTAGAGTCGTAAAAACAGCGAAGAGAAGGCAGCCAAGTCTGCCCGCGAGAGCTTTCGTATGTGAACTCCCTTGACATCATCATAAGAGATGAAGATGTAAGAAGTCTGCCTTGGGTTTTTGTTTTCCGGACCGCACAAATATTTGTAAGCAATGCAAGAAAACCGGACCGTATATCTCTTTGCATTTCTTTACAACTCTTTGATTCTCTTTGTACATGTCTTTGTACATGTCTTTGTACATGTCTTTGTACATGTCTTCTATTGTCTCATTTCTTTGCCAGGTGGTTCTATCCGCTGTCCGATCCGATGCTTCAGCCATCCAGCTCACCGGGTGCGACCTTCGAACACGGAGCGGTTTGGTGATGCAGGCACCGCCGCAAAACACTCAACGGCTGACTCAACCACAAACGACCAATGGTGACCAACATATAAAAGAAGATGCTAAGAACTAAGATGCCATTCAAAGTGACTCAAAGTGCTGTGATTGCAGACAGCTATACAGCAAGGGGAGCAGAGTTGTGATGCCCCTTGAGCGGACCTGGACAAATAAAATTTAGTATAGCCATCTGGTGATGCAGATTATTTTCCTGGGAGTTCACTATCAAAATTAATAATCTTGAAATCACCGATTTGCACATGCTAACCCATGCGTCCCTTCGAACCCAGGAAAACAATTTTGGTTCAAAATATGTCCAAATATTTCAAGATTATTTTGCAAACGTCCGGCCACAGGAAAGTAATGTTCATGGGGGGGGAGTTCACTAGAACATATATGTACGTCAGTCAAACCCCAGGAAAAAAATGCCCCATGATTATTTGAGGGGGTATGGTTCTTTACATGACTCTAAAAGGTTGGGAACCAGGATTTAAATCTGTGGCAATGGTGCTATAATGATTATAATGCTGAATGTGCGTAGGTTAGACATCAGGAGCAAATTCCAAAGATACATTTGTCCTTGCAAAGGGGTACATTTGTCCTGAACGCGCGCCCAAAATGCAAAACAAAGGTTTTTTGCTGAAAATACATTTGTCCTAGCAAAAGGCTACAACCACATATGTTCAGCTTCACCAACCAAAAAGGTGACCTGAAGAGGCCGAGGCGCAGGTGTCAAAAATAAATTCCAAGGGGCTGGACCTTTTCTGGCTGAATGATCTTCAAAGGTTGGCCCAACAGGAAAAAAGTCGCATCACCAGGCCAACCATCCATAGATAGATTCAAGCATTTTGTGTCAACGCGCGCCCAAAATGCAAAACACATGTTTTTTGCTGAAAATACATTTGTCACTATTTGTCCATGCGAAAGGGTGCAGACACATATGACATATGTTCAGTTTCGCCAACACATAAAATGAGCTGGAAACGTTCGGATCCACGATTTAATATGTTCCAGGCGCGGGCTATTTGCTAAAGTTGTGGTCCTTGCAGCCCAGGAAATTGTTAACACGTGATTTAATTTGGGTGGTTGTGAAATTGCGGTAAGCCCGAAAGCATCTAATTCTTAATTTTACATACTCTTAAGTAATTGGGAATGTGGTGATTCATGCGATAAACAATTGAGTTTTGGGTTCGTCTTCAGATAGCCCCCACTCGAATCTGTCATGGGCTCGAAACATTCATATGTAAACCTTGGATCCCAGGAAATAAGTCGGTTAACAGCATATGTTGAGAAGTTGTTGAGGGGTTGTTTGTTGAGCATTATATAAGGACTGGCACCCAGGAATTTAATTAATATTAGAGGGGGAGAAATGCCTTTCTGGAAACCTTAGGCATCAGGAAATTAGTGCCTGCAAGTTTTATTCGTCTGAGACTATAAATTCCGGCAAGAAAGGTCAAGCACCAGGATTTTAATCTTAAAAAGGCCAGGACCCAAAAAATTAATCGCGATATTTTCCCAGGACAGGACTCTCCGGAGTGCACCAGATGGGTATATTTAGTGCAGCTTGTTCGCCATGCAAAGTTATAATCCATTGCAGAAGCTATCGCAGCCTCAGGATATTCTGCATGTTCAAGCCTGCCAGTCCCTATCATCGCTCGATCAGGCCCTTCGTGCCAATGCAGATGTGAGGAAATTCCTACCGCTCAAGCGTTGGGTTGGGCGGCGACTGAACGGAGCGCGCAGAAAATGAATGCAAGATGATGCACGCATTTCTTGTTCGTTGTCATCTGACAACGTATGGCCACGTCCATGTCAATGGTCATGACGGTCATGAGCATGAGAATAAGAATCATCATCGACATTTTTATCATTTGCGTGATCCTCCGTCCCTGTTGCATCAAGCGCCCCCTTAGTTCTCCTCAATGTCGCCTTTGCATCTTCAAAATCAGTAAATCAGACTTATCTTATTGTTTTTGCAGAGTTTTCTCAACCAGGAACCCCATCCTTCTGTTCATTCGATCGAATTGTTCGCGTTGGCCAAGGTTTACATTTGGTCGGGAATGAGGCCACTGTCGATGACTTTGGCTTCATCGTCCCATTCAAAGGTGCGAAATGGTGCGAATGTCTTCATGCCTTGGTCACACCTTGGTCACGTCGCGTTATCGCAATCGCAAGATCAATTTCTCTCCCAAGGTGGCAAAGTCTCGCCTGGAACATATGGAGACGACACCTCCTCTGTGCATCGCTACCTTCGTTTGGCTGGGATGCTGTTTCTTGGCAAAGTGGCGAAGTGGGAGCTGTTGACCTCGTGATCTTCAAATCTTCCCCTGTACCCTTTCGACCCTTTCGAGCCTTTTCGACCCTTTCGAGCCTTTTGGCATCGGCCAAGTTTTTCCCACTATCGGCCCTGGTTCGTATCGACTCGGAGTCCAAGACCTGGAAGCTGCATGGCTGAGCCACTGAGGCATGCAGTACCCAGGAAGCTGCAGCTGTCACACCCGACGGACATTTCTTCATCTGGTGAGGCCCTGGATTTTTTTTCAACATTTTGAATGCTTTGATGTAATATGTTCATAGTTGTTCATATATTTTCAATATCTTTGAGAGCTTAGGCACGTCTTTGCCTGTGCCAGCTGTTCCTTTGTGCAACTTTGTCATTGGTAGGCGTGCAGACCCAGCACTGGGATGAGGCAAGAAGTTTTTGATATGTTCAGCTCGTTTTTCAGCGATGTTACAGGTATCACAGAGAATCCAACGAATCTAATACTGTATCACATTTCAGTTGGCAGCAACATGGTGCAAAAAGCGCTTAGGTTGCTGTCCCATAGATCCCATAGTAACTTGGGCTTGAAAATGATAAACTTCAAATCAGAGCTGCTCACTTGGATTGGCTCGGTTTCAGTGCCAGGTTGAACCCCAGTCTTCTTTTTGGGGACCAGAGTCCTAGCAAGGACCTGAGTGATTTTGCTCATGAGCTCGCAACCCTACAGGAGATCTCACTAAGTCCAGTAGCTTGACTCCTACAGTGCTACAATATGCTACAATGCTCATTGATTGTTGCATTGATGAAGAAACAGAGCGGCAGCGTTCTGACTATCGCCGGCATTCAAAAAAAACGAGGCGCTGTGCGGAGTATCTCCACTGCGCGTTTGCCATCAGCCTCCAAGGTCGGATTGGTTTGATCCAACATCAACAACAACACATTACGAAACATATACTAATGTGTTTGATCATATACTGAGTAATATACTGGGTAATATACTGAGTAATATACTGAGTAATATAATGATCATATCATATCATATCATTGATCTGTTCATGAAGCCATCGAATGCCCACCTCTGTTCTTCAAGCCATCCGCAATTTGAGCGCAAGGTTTTGGCAGAACAGTGCTCATAAACATCATAAACCTTTCTTTCACACCAGATTCTGTCAATATCATCTTGAGCAAGGGCCTCGGGGTCAAACAGTTCCCCTGACAGGATCGCTTGGAGGCTGAGAACAACTGGGCAGAGACCTTGGTTTGCGACCACGTAGTTTGGAGAAATCATGGTGATGCCTTGACGCATGATAAATCATAATACAATGATCAAAATAAGGATCAATGATGCACGATGATTCGCTGTATGATCGTTACGCGATCACAAAGCATGCACGATGCACACGATCATACTAAATGCATCTGCTGTTTGGCCATGAGGCCCGCGAGAAATGCCGTGTGCATGCCATTGGAGTGTCCTTGGAGGAGGCGTCCCTGACGTCCAAGCCTAGACAGACAAGACATGTGTAATTTCCATAAAGCACGTACAACATAGAAAGTAGACACCCAGACCATACCCTGCAAACATTCAAAACCTGTCTCAATATCCTAGATCAGGGTTGTCCCGTCCTCGTGATTTTGCGAATTGTGGACTCGTGGACCCTCAACGGCGCAAAACAAAGGTAACAATCAGGTAACAAGCAAACAGAAAAAGCAAACATAAAACAAAATAAACAAAATAAACAAACACCGTAAACAACAAAACTCATCAAAACTCCGAATCAGGTTTGGGATGGTTTGGGGCAGCTGTATACCCGTGATCAAAATCACAGCTATCACGGCATAAGCGTTCCCTGGTTTGCACAACTCAGGGTTTCCTTGGGGCGTATAGTAACACACAAGTCACTGGTATGTCACAGTTTTAATCCCGCCCTTTTTGTTCCCTTTTTTGTAAGGCCACAATTCTTACCATATTATCCATCAAGTGGCTTAGATAGACCAAACACCTTGAAGGCCAGGTGGAAAATCCAACTGGAAAATGTGGGAACATGTGGGAAACACGCAGAGACCAGGCCTTGGGTTTCGACGTGAGGTGCTCAAAACAGAGCAAGTTTTCACGCAACAAAAACATAAAACGCCTTAAATTCCAAGGATTTGGACCCGCAGGATACTGTATATGTATATATATATACATATATGTATAATGTATGATTGTATATGTTATATTATTATATATGTATATATATATGTATAATATCTATAATTATATCTACATATCATATTCAATACACATAATATTACATTGTTATATAATATTTGATATGTATTATATTGGTATATACATGGACACCGCTGCATTTCTGACACGTTACTGTATACTATTCCATTGCAGCTAAAACTTCAGGAAGCAGAAGCTCAGCAGTTCAATGCCAAGTGCCAGAGCTCAGATTCGCAAGAACAGCAAACTTGAGAACATTGGCACATATTGGCATTTGCAGTATCTTGCAGTATCTTGCAGTGCTTGAAGCATGTCGCACGGCCAAATCCTCAGCATCGCCGCTTGAGGTGCTGTTGGATTTGCGAGAATTGGTGTGAGTACAGGATGACCTTCTCCAAGAAGACGGGCAAAAGTGAGGCAGATCACAGATCTGAGTTTTTTTTGCGCTTGTTCGACTGATAACTTCTTAAGGATTTGTGAAGCTTACGCCAGGATCGTATTAAAATGTATCGAACCTATTTTGAGCTCCCTTTGCAGGCAGTTCAAGACTCCTTCGTATAACTAAAGAAAAATGCAAAAGACATTAAGACATAGTGTAGCGAAATGATTCAAAATGTCACATGTTGTCGACACTGCCTTCAAGTGCCTTCCCTAGCAAGCCCATTTGCTCTCGTGTCCAAGGCGAAAACAGTCTATGCGCTCACTTCTTTGGATGGGTTCAGCCAGCCAATACAACTGAAACAGTTCCTCGCTGAAATTCGATGAATCCTCGGCTTTGCTCCGATTGCTGAGAGCTCTGAGGCGTCCGTTTGTATTTGTCAAAGTCCGATAAGGTCCACTAAAATTCAAGGCTAACTTAGTTCATCTTAGTTCTAAGAATGTTCTGGGCGTGTTTTGGGAGTCTTTTGGCCTGGCCCTGGCACATTTTTCAAGGCTTGGGAACCAATGGTCAGCCTCCAAGATGCTTCCACCAAGCCTCTCAGCAGTGGAGGCACGCAGATCGCATGAAATGGGGAAGACACTCTGACGACATGAGAAATGAACGACTTGAACGACTCGACTTCAGTCTAGCACACTGCGTGAAAGGTTGAGCACTGGTGCAGAGACAAAGATGATCAAAGATGATCAAAGATGTGCTAAGAAGAAGCACATCACATGGCTCATGGTCAATTGATGTTAATTGACACTGCGCATGCCAAAGCAGTGGTTCAAGACTTTGCGTTGAGGTGATTTTCATAGTTGATGGGAAGTTGGAGATCTCAAATTCTCATCCTGTCCGCAATCTAATAGCCCGCAGCTCAAAGAAGGGGACCAGAGATGCAGACAAAGCGGGGAACAGCACGACAAGAGCATGGGACAATCTGTTTCTGTCTCTGTTGATACAAATATCTGAAATCACCTTGTGCCAGACCTAGCTGCTATAGCCGCTGTCCCACCCTATGTGAGATTGCAGATCTTTTCCCATTTCAATACAACTTGAGATCTTGGGGCGTCTTGGGGTATGTTTTAAATTTTGCCTGGCCAAGGCAAAAAAGACCGTGATACTCACACCCGACATTTTTGGTGTCAACGAGGCCCCGGACATTGTTGAGGTAGGGTGACACCATGTCAATGTATAGATTTTACAAACATATATGTTTACTGACTAATGTTTACTATTTGTTGAGTATTTGCACATGGGGCCCCGCATGGATTACTTTGAATTGGATCTTGGATGTTGGTTTACGAATGGCTTTTGCGTAGTCTGTAAATGTCGAGCCTGAGCACGTCCGAGGTAGGCCTCCGTCAAATATATATCAAGATTATCAAATGCCATTTGATTTTGATTCAGCCACAAACAAGACCACTCCGATTTGCTTTTGGTGCCTTTCCATTTTTGAACATTTCAGTATACAACAGGAGTGAATTTGTCCAGTAATGCCTAGTAGTTTCAGTCCTTCAGATTCCTTCAATGCCCAAGCTGTTCATTGGGCCAGGAGCAAGGCTCAGGCGCACGAGAGTTCAATGCAGCGTCAGTCGTGTGATCTTTGCGTGATTTTTCTATCGAAATGGACAAACTGAACACAGAATACTCAAGGATACTTAAGGTAAGATATGTTTGCACATTTTAGCGGAGGTTACACTCGAGAACCTCCTGTTTATTCGTTCTCGGCTTTCCCATTCTCGCTTCCACTTTGGACAGCATCCCAAGATTCAACAGCGCCTAGCTTTTCTGATTGCCAGATCTTGAGTATAGAGCATGATAACGTATAAAGCAGACGTTATTCCGACGTTTCGTCATGTTCACTCGATTTCACTCGTATTCAATGTCATGCCAGACATTGGATGGTATCAGTTCCGTCCAGATGCATCGTTTGACCCTGTTCGACCCTGTTCAGTACCAAACGTGGTTGAGACTGAAGCTGTGAACACCATCAACGCGGGTGCTGGACTGAGCTGAGAAAACGGAAGCTCAATGCTACCGCATGCTACCGCATGCTACCGCATGCTACCGCCAAAAGCAAGTCTTCTCCCCTTCACATACATCAAAAATCATCAAAAATCATCGAAATGACTAAAATATATTAAAATGAATAAAAGCGAAAGCTAGTGATTTGGCACATCTCAACATACTGCTTTCAAGCCACACATTTTTTCTTGTGAAATGATTCCCAAATGAGTGTCGTTCGTGTTCTTCATTCTGAAATTTGTTGCATCCCACTTGTTGATGTCTTTTCAACATCCTAAGTTACCAAATATAGAGATCTTTGGGATGTTTCGGATATCATGGATATCACCCTAAACAAAGATAAGAAAGTCCGAAAAGATTCCGAAAGTCATATCAAGTCAGAATCGAATCATGTCGAGAATCCACTCGCCTCAAGGCTTTTCCGCCATCCAGAGACTGCGCCTCGGGGAGCCGCGATGTGTCGTCGATCCATGTCGATCTGGTCGGTCAACTGGTAGTTTGAATCAGGCAGTGGATTCGGAGATCAAGTTTGGGAAAGGACTTGGAGTTTTGATATGTTTTGATGCAAGAGGAGCAGCGTGTTTGGCAATAGCTACGTCAAATCCAGATAATCCAGTGCCTTATCATATCTTATTCAAGTCTTATCAATTCTTATCATACTTATCTCAATTAAATTTGGATTGGGGATACAAAAACCGTACCCAAGTTCTCGGACAAACCCATCTGCAACGCCATTGATCTGGTCATGTGTTTGTCTCCCGAGAATTGGAATGAAACTATGTTGAAGCCAAGCATAGCTAAGCGTTTTCCTGCAGAGGCCATGGGACCCCAGAATATCTTTGGACTTCCATGTCATCCACTTGAAATCACTTGAATAAATCATCAACATTCATCAACTAAACCCTCGCTGTTTTTCCAGCTCGGTGCTTATGCGTCCATAGGGTCCATAGGGTCCATAGATCACGTTTCTTTATCTGTGTTTTGTATGCCTCCCTCGTGCGCAATGGAACTGCTAGAGCTGCTAGAGCCGACGCCATGGCTTGATTGGTCCAATTGGTCCAGCCATGTGGTCATTTGTTTTGCGCTGCTGCTTGCAGCTCTGCACGTGTCCTTGACCAAATCTGAGGCGTCGGGTCGATGGGTCATGGTGTCGCTTATGATTCTCCCAGCTGTGGAGCAGCCATACGCTCCATGTATGCTCCATGTATAAATGTTATCACGCTATATTTATCTATATTTAATTATATTTATATTTACTCATTTCTACTAATATGACCGCCCAAAATTGCCTGTACAGATGTGGACAGCTTTGATGAAAATAACAGGAGAATGCAGGGTTCGTTTTGATCTATATTCAGCCAGGTGATTTTGGGGCTGGCGTGGCTTTTGGAGAGGCGCCAGCAGAAACATATGACCTACGAGGACAGTTCCAGGCGTTTTGAAGAGGAGCTTCTGAAAGTTCGAACGAAAATCTGGGGAATGAACCAGTCTCTCGGAATCTTGGTGGCGTTTGGCTGTATGCACCCACTTATTTTATCTTATTTTTAGCTTTATTGTGGTTATTGGCCCACTATGGCCCACTGATTTAGCTATGTGATTTGCCAATATTTTCCCCCACAGATTCAGCTAGGCTATTCCCAAATGCTTCACTAAAACAAACGGCTCAACCCGGCTCAACATTTTAGCGGACGAATCGGCTAAGCCGTCCAGGAATTCATCTGATCTTTTTGCTAAATCTGGCCATGATCCACAAGTTGATGTCAGACCCAAGTCGGGCTGCATTGCTGCAGTTCCTTGGGCCACTGCTTGGCTATGCGTTGCACGCTTCTATTCAGGCATTTTTACCAAATTCCCGTGTCAAAATGGGTATCATCAAATATGGAGATAACACCACCAATGTTTCGGGAAATTGGATGACTTTTAAGTTGGTTGGCTAATGAGAAAGGGGGGTGACCTGCGTTGTTGAAAGCGAGTCATGTAAAAGATGTTAAAATCAACCAAACCAAATGCATGGATACAAATGCCTTCAAACCGGCTTCACAGAATGGGTTCAGGCAGGTGTCGTTGAGCTCAAGAGCAACCGCAACTTTCGCTACTTGGAAGTCGTCTACTCTACCATTTATGCCATATATCTTTGCGGTATTGTCAACGAGACAGACTTCGAAATGTTTTGCGCCATGGAAAAGATCTCGCAGGTGACCATGATCCTTCTCTCTGTAGCCCGTTGGTGTTATCATTTTGTTTTGCTTCTCACCCTGCTTGTGAATATTCAGAATTGATTTTCACCTGCGGGTAGCTCGTCACATCCTCGAACCAGGTAATCTTCATCGATCTGACCATGGCGATTCCAATCTACCTCACTGGAGCAGTGGTGCTTTCATACAAGCAATGGCAATGGATTGGCTTTTCAAAGGTCACTCCCATGCTCATTTCTTCCACTTTGATCTCACATATCGCCCTTGCTGCAGTGGTGAGTTTCATCGTTTACGCAATGCAATCATCTATCAGAGCAAAGTTGGAAACGGACGATGCCTTTTCCCTTCTGAAGGCCTTCAGAGAGGTCTTCAGAGGCATTTGTGACGGAAACCTGGTTCTGGACCCTCAGAACTACAAGATTGTGGGCGATGCCACCTCCTTGGAATGCTTGCTGAAGGCAAAGAAAAAGTTGGCTGACACCAACTTTTTAGACCTCTTCTCAGATTTGGAGGGGCGCCAAAGATTTGTGCGGTTCCTGCAGAGTGAAAGCGCGAAACTTCTGAAGCCAAGGGGCACAGGACAAGTCCCACCCTGCTTAAGGATAGCCCTTGAGGGTGCAGAGGGTCCTGTGTCCATAGATGTCTTTTGCACAAGTTGTGTGGCTGGACAAGACTATTACCTCTTGGCCTTCAGGGCTGATCCAGAGCAATTTCTTGCTCCACCTGATGCCCATGATGCCTAGATTGAAGCTGAATAGCTGAATGATTTTGGTTGTTTCCGGTGAATGGCTAAGTCAACAATTTTGAGAAATCTACTGGGAAAATGTGGTTTTGTCCAAAAAGGATCATGCATGAGGGCCCCAAAATCAGCCGAAACAATCCAAGACCGTCATCTTCTGCTGGGTTCCAACCACTGGTTGTGAATCGTCCAAACTCCAGATCATACAATGCACAATTTTGGCAGTCAATATGGTGTTCCGTATTCCAGCTGCAACTGGCTATTGAAAATCAACTTATATAGACCGTATATTTCACATATAATTCTTATTAATTCTTTCTTGCTTGAATTCCTCATGTTGTTAAATCCCAACTCAATCCACTTCAATCCCCATATTTTCGGCATCTCTCGGCTTCAGATGTTCTTCTTCTTTGGTGCAACTCCCTGTCTGAGGACGCTGCCATTGCTGCCATCGCTGCGCCCCAGGGTGCTTCATGCCCGAGTGATGAAGTGCCGCCACTGCAGCGGCACGCGGCGAGTTCGCGCGAGGTGGTGGATGCGTTGAAAGAACTGGTGCAGGTGTGGTTGAGATGTGTTGAGATGTGTTGAGATGTGTTGAGATGTGTTGAGATGTGTTGAGATGTGTTGAGATGTGTTGAGCTGTGTTGAGCTGGGTTTCCTGGGGGTGAAACCAGGAGGAATTGTAATAAAGCCAATAGTAAGGGTACAGGGGTATAGCCTGTAGCCAATAATGAACCCAACTTGCGGGCTGAGGCAGCATGGCAGCATCCCACCTAGTACCTGGGTAAATACTGTAACACTATTAAATTATACCGCCCCAATCATTATGATTTATAAACCCATGAACTGAGATAAACATCGAAGAGTGATAGGCATGGCATACTGTAACTTGTTGTTTTCCTCGTTTCCGGTAAGTCGTTGGACGACATTGGGTTTACCAAATGCGAATCCATGCGGTGTGCCATGAAATGAGGAATCGGCGCCCCAAAATTGCTCTTTCAAGAGGCAAAACAATGATGGCTCATTGCATTTGACGGTCATGTAATGTATTTTCAATAGGGTCACCTTGGTAAGATTGGAAAGTAATGTTAACCCAGGATTAACCAGCTTTGTGTTTGGATTTCCATGACGGGATGGATGACCACACCACAGTAATCCCATTTACTGTAAGTTGATGTATGATAAATGTGTATTTCCAGGCTGTAGCCCTGAACCAACAGGCTGATTTGCGCCATGGTCAGAACATGGTTTATTTTCCCATAAAAAGGGATGGTCACCCTCCATTTTCACTCTGTCAGAGGAGTTAATATGCCCATGATGGGGAATCCCTACCAGTAGTACCGCGCAAGGCGGTGGCGGAAGTTTCAAAAATAGGAAACCTATAGGAGAGATTGGTTGTTGTGAGTCACGGATGCCAGAGCAAAGCCACTGATGGACCGACAGGTTGTTGAGGTCTCCTCTCTTTCTCTCTCTTTCTTTCTCTTTCTCTGACTATCTACCTACCTACCTACCTACCTATCTATCTATCTATCTATCTACCTAGCTAATCTATCTATCTATCTACCTACCTACCTATCTATCTATCTATCTATCTGTCTATCTGCAAGCTTGAAAACGAAGCTATTCTGCGAGACGTCCTCAGGTTTTGAACTTGACAACATCAAAAACGCAGCAATTCTGCGAGACTTCCTCAATGTTTGAACTTGACAACGTCAAAAACGAAGCAGGTCTGCGAGACTTCCTCATTTTTCGAAGTTGACAACATCAAAAACGAAAGAATTCTGCGAGACTTCCTTCAAAAATGGAAAGTTGCGTGCAGAGCTGACGGCCTCGTACCAATGCGTTTTGCGATTTTTCCAGTCCAACTGTCTAAACTACTGCGCCTGCCGCGAAAAAGTGATGCCAGGTCATACGAAGTGCTGCACCTGTCACGCAAAATCATCTCAGCAAACCTGAAGATCTGATGCTCCAAAATGCAACCCCTCTCAGGAAATCACCGCCCGGACCTCCTAACAGCTCTGATGAAGATGTCTCTTGTACTGCGCCTGTCACGCAAAATGCATCTTTGCAGATCCTCTTCAAATGTCCCACGCCCGCCATCGTTTTTGGAAATGCTACAAAACCCTCACGTTTTGCCCACTTTTGAGAAGGTGCACAATCCCTTGCGCCTGCCACGCGAAAGCACATCTGAACCTCCAAAAGTGGCGCGAACATGTGGTGTTTTGTGCATTTTGACTTCGAAATGTGCTTCGCGCCACAACGGCGTGCACTTTTTCGACATCTCAACTTCCAAAAGTGGTCCGACAATGGTGTGTTCTGTGCATTTTGACTTCAAAATGTGCTTCGCGCCACAACGGCGTGCACTTTTTCGACATCTCAACTTCCAAAAGTGGTCCGAGAATGGTGTGTTTTGTCATTTTGAAAATGTGCTTCGCGCCACAACGGCGTGCACTTTTTCGACATCTCAACTTCCAAAAGTGGTCCGAGAATGGTGTGCTTTGTACATTTTGATTTCGAAATGTGCTGCGCGCCACAACGGCGTGCACTTTTTCGACATCTCAACTTCCAAAAGTGGTCCGAGAATGGTGTGTTTTGTGCATTTTGATTTCGAAATGTGCTTCGCGCCACAACGGCATGCAATTTTTCATTTCTCATCTGGCGAGATGGCTCCGCACCCGCCGCTTTAGCGAGCCTACTTTTCGACCCTCCGGGGCGACAAATCATTGGAAAAACACAGTGCTTCGCGACTTTCCTACCTTTTCGCGCATCAATCTGCATCTTCTTTCTTCTGACTCTTTCCCTTCTCTGATCTTCTCTCTTCTACTCTTCTCTTCTCTCTGGCTCTTCCCATCTCTGCTGTTCATCTGTCCATATTGTCGGAAGTTTGACTTCTAAACTTCCCTCGATGATGGTGGGATGACCATACCCCGCATAGAGTATCATGTTTTGACCATGGCACAGATTGGAAAATTTTCCTAATCCATCTGCTCCGATGGGCAACGCCAAATCCTGATGCATCAGCATAAATCACCCAGGCGACCTCAGGAGCGACTGGAAGACTCGGAATTTAGATGATTTTTTTAATGGGGATGTGACGCAACATATTGGGAATTTCTTGAAGCAAGAACGGGGATAGCAACTTATAGCACCAACAGAATTTGGTGAGGAGCCAGGAGTTGGCTGACCATTACCCTAACGTGATGGGCGGTTAATGAGCTGGGAATCTCTCCTTTTATCCGAGGTTTTTCCTCTTATCCAGGATCGTGTTGGGGATTCAAACCACAAGAATAAGGTAGTTTTGATCCACGAATCACAATTTTGAGCCTCAATATTGATGGTTTGCGACTTGCATGACCAGCTATGTCTACAAGAACGCACCCAAACCCTCAACCACCAGGTCAGCAATGTTCTTTTTATTTTTTTTACTACCTGCTATCCGATAGATGTTCGAAGACTGAATTAATATTGCGCCCATTATTATCCATATAGGTCAATAATTCCTATTTTATCCTATGTTTATCTGTTTCATAATTTGCCTCACTTGGTATACCTTGGGCGCCAGGTCGCGTTGCTGGTGAACAACGACTCGCCTTCGTTGGACATCGAGGAAGTGACGTTGTCCTTCCAACGCGCGCCGCAGAGCCACGGGATGCCGACGCTGCGGAGCTTGGTGAAGATCGAGGACTGGCAGCGGGTAGAACAAATCTTTCGAGACCTCGCCGTTCCGGTTCCGGAGACGGCAGAAACAGCAGATCCGGGTGGCCAAACTGAGGCACGGGTTTTAAACAAGTTGGGCAAGACGAGATACTGGAAAACACCATGATAAGCTTGACACATTTATGGAAAAATGTTTTTCAAATGTTTTGATGGCCACAAGTTGGGATATCCCCCAAAGACGAACAAGTTCCAACATGTTCCAACCATGTGCTGGTAAAATTTGCCAAAGGAATCATCCAAAATTGAAGTAGCATAAATTTTGGCTAGTTAATCCAACATCGTCCAACTCTTCCCAAAACAGACCCTGAGGAAATCACGGATCAACCAGACCAAGAGCATCCATCTCAGCCGCCGATTTTCCACTTCCCATCCCACCTCTTCTTGCGAATCCCGGGCAGTCGGCCCACCAGTTACCTCTGTGCCAACGATGTTGCAGTCGGCGCGGCAGAGGAGTTGGGGCCCGGGGAAGTACCTGGGAAATTCGAGGTGCAGCTGAGTGGCTTCCGGCTGCGGCATCGCCGGCGCAAAGAACAGGATTTGGAGAGCATCAGCGAAGATGGCTAGATGAGATGAAGAAAATGGAGATGTGTCAGAAATCACTGAAGCTATCTAAAGCTGTTCTGGGTTCAAAAGTCGTGGTGAATGGTTGGTTGATAGATGCCAGTAGATTTGAATTCGTTGGCCATATTGTTGGACGAATCGAAGCTCCTACTTTGCAAAATTAATTCCTTTTTTAGAGCAATTATGTAGGTCCACGATGTTTTTCGGCAACACAGATCGACTGGTCATCAGAGATGCGCTACTGCCCCATTCAATTTTACGAGCGCCCAATGTTGACCCATCCCCATATTGACCAGAAATTTTACCCATGAGGAACCTGACATCGCAGCAAGGTCGTGCAAAGCCATAACCTGGCGTTGAGCGCGCTCGTTTGAAGTGAAAACAGTGTGTTCCGGTGTTCAGCTGAAATTCATATATTCATTAAGTTTCTACCATTTTTTGATGCTTGTTGGTTGCATCATATCTTCCCACATGTCATGCAAGTCTCTATTGCCCGTAAAAAATTGCCCGTAAAAAAAAAAAACAGCCATGACCCCATATTTTTCTGGTCAGGCAAAACAGCTTGCTGATCATATTAGGCTATGCAGCTATTATGCGTCAAAATTAAAGGTCTCCAACTGGGGTAAATTGCCACTCCCTTCTACGTATATCTACTATGTTCTGCTCTATTCTATTATATTATATTCATGTTTGGGATTGTCGCCACAGCAACGGGGTTTGAACTCGTACCCATCTCAGACTGCCATTCTGTATTCAATGGTTGTTCGGCCTGGGATCACCTGAGATGGGGTGACAAAAGTATTGGTTTGTCTGAAATATTGCAATTCCCATGGTGCCTCATGAGTTCCCCGATTGAGATTAACAGATTAACATGTTTTTTTGCAGGTATGTCACGTATGTCCACCATTCTTTCTCACACAGCCCTGGTGATTTTCCAATAATGAAGCCAAAATTCCAACGCATCCCCGTTAAGCCCCCCATCACATTCCATCATTCCATTGTTTTCCCTTTTTGCCCTTTATTTCCTTCAAGTGGTACCCTTTCATTCCATCGTGTCCTTGATCTTCTTTCATCCTTAATTTTCTTTGTTTCCTTTATGTCCTTCATTTCCTTGTTTTTTCTCTGTTTCCTTTCTTTTAGTTTTTTAGTTATTTATGTTCTTTGTTTCCTGTATGTTCTTTATGTTCTTTGTTTTTGCTTCATTTTATGTATTTAGTGAATATATGTTAATGTCCTTTAGGTTCTATATGTTCTTGATTCTCTTTGTGTTTTTTCAATTTCTTTACCATTTTTTTTGTTCATTTCCCTTGTTTCCTTTATTTCCTGCATTTTTTCTCTAGTTGTTTTATTTTTTGTTTTCTGTATTTTCCAAGAAGCAGTCTGGATTTTTTATGGAAAGATGCCAAAAACATCCAAAAACGTCAGATTCTTGTTCAGGCCTAGGAACATAATACAACACAGATCTAGCTTCTGTTGACTGATTTATTTTCTCCCTTGCCTTTCAACGATTTCTTCCTGCCTTTAAGCCTAATGAAACGTGAAATAACATGAAGTTTGCGCAAGGGCCATTGATTTTGACCTCTCGGGTGATGTGAACTGCACAAAAGGATACACATTCCATTCACACATGGTACACATTGCATCCTTTTGTTAGCACATTGTAACCATATGTTGCATGATAATTCATGATAATTCAACATCATCGGATCTCTATATCACAGATATTAATCAGTTCTGTGCGTATTGAGGGCATTCTTAGAATTACGATGGATTGCTTAGATACTGTAAGCGTGTTTTGGGTATTTGATTGAGTTCATGCCATTGTTTTTGTCAAGTCGCGTGATTGCATGACTCTGAAGCGTCAGGCGACCCAAATTGCAAAGCTGCGATCCTTTCGCCTTTCATGGCCGATCAATTGAGATCTCACATTGAAATAGACTCCAAGTTGATTACCCTGGCTGTGATATCAAGGTGTCGGTTTGGTTTGTTGGGATTGAAAAAATGTACAGTATGTGTTTATTTCAATGTGTTTGATTTTTTTATTTGCGAATACTGGCTCACGTTGTAGGATTTGTTGTTTGTCGGATCACGTTGAGATCTACACGGCGTTGTTTGAAGCTTAGACAAAAGCTGCGGAGGAGCCTGCGGCGTTGTGCATCCTTGAGAGTGCAAATGATCGCAGCCAGGTTGGAATTGTTGGGTGGATGACTTGCTCGATTTTGTTTCAAGAAAACATCTTAATGAATGACGAGCTGGACTTTGCCAAATTTGTTGATCTCATTTTGAATCAAAACGTCAAACTCTTGAGACATCTTGAGACATCTTGAGACCTGGCAATGGAATTGAATGGAAGTCTTCGAAGTCTTCGAAGTCTTCGAAGTCGTGACGTGCAACGCCAGGTGGAAGTGCTACCTCGACAGATCCCGGAGAAGTTGGTGGTTGCCAAGACGGAGGCAGAGTGCTACAAGTGCTGCAGCGGCAGAGTCGAGGAGAACGGAGACATCAAATCTCTATGCAAAAAAGATCAAAAATTAATAGAACGGATGTTTTTTCCATTTTTTTCCTATGGTGGCAACATGGGGAAACCGAAGACAAAGGTCTTTTATCCAACGCATTGAAGATCCTTTTGCCAGGCCAAGACGAGGGTGGCCTGGACCTTCGAAACTTCCACTTTCAGGAGCAGACCATCAAAACACTGCGAAAAGATACCAAAATGATCTACTGTAAAATGTAGACATTGTCTGACATTGTCCGACAAGGTCTGACAAGGTCTGACAAGGTCCATGTTTAAACGCTACCGAAGTAGAGTAGCACAGGCCTTGACTCTGCTTGACTCTGATGCCTTGACTCTGTGATGACAGCGATGGTCAGATTTTGACTTTGGACAGGCACTACCTGAGGGACCTCAAGAGCAAACCTGATGAGTGCTTTGACCGGGACTGGAGCCTATGTAAGGCACAATCTGCCCTGTACATTCTCATGGTGCTGCATCAATGCATTTCACAAGCATGCTGTCCTGAGCTGTAGATTCTGTAGTGTTGTCTGAATTACAGTAAACTTTTATAAACTTTTAAACTAGAAATTCAATTTGCTTTGTGCTGAAACATGCTGAAACCTTGAATTTGCAGCAACTGCTCAGCTTGGATCGCATGGGAAAAGTGGATGCTGAGTCCTTTGCGCCGGCATGGCGTCGCGAAAACAAGAGCAAGATGAAGGATGTAGCGCTTTTCCAAAACCAAGATGGAACTTCAGATGGTGTGCTGTGGTACTGGGTCAGTGATGAGCGCAAGGTATGCATTGGGCTTTACAATGACATGAAAAATGAAAAGCTCATCGTGACATTCAACGGTGCCAAGGAGGAAGCTGTTGCAAAGCCAGATGAAGAGTCCAAAGCGACATTCAGATGTAAAGTTGATGGAGAAAAAATCGCCTTCACTCTCCTTCCAGGAGAGATGGTTCTTGCCTTTGATGGCGAGGGAAATGTACCAGGTTTTGTTCCAGAATCTGCGCCCCTATGTGCAGCTGATTATGAATCCTTTGCAGAAGTGCTTGGAGCAAAAGTATACGATGAGAGTCTCGAGAAGGTGAAAGCTTTGATTGCTGAGCGTGGAATCGATGCTGCTGATGACATGGCCGTCCTCCAGGCTTGCATGGAGACAGGAACACGCTTCGTTGACCTGAACTTCCACCGGGATCATGTTATGGGGGGAGAGCATGGAGAGCCTTGCCCAGGAGTGTTCCTTTGTCCAGAGCAGTTTTTGAAAGGCAAAGAGAAGAAGTTGTTCTTGCCTGATGAGACCGGGGATAAAGTTTCTCCAGGAGATGTTGGACAAGGTTTGTTGGGAGATTGCTGGCTGATGGCTGCTATTGCTGCCTTGGCGGAATGGCCTGAGCGTGTATACTCTATCTTTGGTGTGGATGGCAATCTTCAATATGGCAACGAAGTTGGAGGCTATGTTGTCAATCACACGAAAGATGGCATTTGGAAACGCACTGTGGTGGACGACTTTCTGATCGTTCGTGGCGTTTCGCCCATGTTTGCAAGAAACCGACGAAATGCTGCCGAGCTGTGGGTCCCAATTCTTGAGAAAGCTTGGGCCAAGGTTCATGGCGGCTACAAATTTCTTCAATCGGGGAAGGCCGCCAATGCCTTGTCGGACTTGACTGGCTCTCCTTCCAACATTTTCATGTTCAATCCAGAGGATCCTTCAGATGTGATTTTCTCTGGCTTTGTGAAGAATGAATTCTGGAGCAGAGATGATCTTGGGAAAGAGATGACAGGCTGGGACAATTCGCACTTTGCGATGAACCTCCAGTGTCCCGGTGCTGACATGTCATCCTATGACAAGAAGAACAAGGGTTTCTTTGGCATGGATCAGAAATATCAAAAGCTCGGTTTGATCCCAGGACATGGATACACTCTTTATGGAGTGGCTGAAGTCAATGGTGAGATTCTTTGCAAAATCCGAAATCCCTGGGGAAATGCGAAGGAGTGGAAAGGTAAATGGAGTGATGGCAGTGAGGAATGGGAGAGTGTTGATGCAGACAAAAAGGCTGAACTGCTAAGTGGTGCAAGTACTTCAGATGGCATGTTCTGGATGTCACTGGTAGACGTTTCAAAGTACTTTGCAGGAGGCAGTGTGACAATGATCCAAGATTCTGGTACTTGCGATGATATGCGCTTCATCGGCCAAAGCAGTGGGCAGCCAAGTTTCGCAGTGCTGCTCAAGAACAACACTCCATCAAACAGCTTCAGTTTCATGGCTTCTCAGCCTGACAAAAGAGGAAATGTTGCAAGCCCTGGCCCTGGAGGCCCTGGAGGCCCTGGAGGCCCTGTAAGTTACTCGGGAATTCAGATCAGACTCCTGGTCAAGACCGCCGAAGGCTGGCGAATGGCACAGAAGGAAGATTTGGATGGCCAAGCTCCAGCATCACGGTGGTTGATGTCCAGAGACATGGGCATCAGTTTGAAACTTCCAGAGGGTGAGTACCTTGTGACACTTGTGACCGATTCAAATGAAATCGTGGTCATTTCAATCCAAGCACCCAAAGGCAGTGACTACAGCGCAGAAGCCTTCGCAGCACCAGCGGAGGCTCGATGGCTGCAGAAAGAGGTTTCTGATGCTTCCTTCGAGATTGACACCTCCCTGGCAGCGGAGGGTGTACAGCTGCAAAAGGACAAAGTGCCTGTGTGAACGTGTAAGCTGATGATTTCACTCATTTTCACTTCCAACAATTCATCGATGTCCAATATGTTTAAACTGCAAGGCATTGTGTCAAATACTAGACCTGAGTAGTATCTCGACAACATTGTTTCCTCAAACTTCATTCTATTGAGGCAATGACTTCGTCTGCAATCCCAAAGAGGCTTTGGATTTGGACGGCAAAAATAGGCCAATGGTGCCTTGAGCTGACGTGAGCTTGCTTCACTGCATAGGAAAAGATGGCGCTTTACTTTGCAGCCCGTTGTGTGAAGCACTGATTGCAGCACTTGCGGAGCAGGGAATCACAGCCGATGGCGCCATCGTGACACTTCCGCGGGGGAATTTTGTGCTATGCTGCTATGTGTTGTGCTAAGTCAGCAGGCGCAGCAGCTTATCAAGAACGAGTCTACTCGGCGGGACTGCGGTGCCAACGGTGCGTGTACAAGTGTCAGAAGCAAGGTCTACGAGTCTAAGAGTTTAAGAGAGTAAGACACCTTTCACAAGGTTTCACTGATCATAAGCTGCCAATGCCATAGCAGCCATGGCATAGGACGATATAACATGATATAACACGTTTGGCAGCTGTTCGATGAATTCAAGACCAGGAGCTTGCTGGCATGCTTCGGCCCAATGCTCAGTCCAGGTACAATTCTGTGATTTCCTGACTCTGAGCTCAGTTCATCTCAGTTCTACGTATCTGAGGAATGTACTGAATTTCTGAAAACAGTCATGTCATGTCTTTGGATTCAAAGATGTTAGGCATGAATACATGAAGTGGATACTGGCTTTTTGGCAGAAAGCTCAGAGGACATCTTCCGGGAGAATTGGGTTTCAACGCCTAACCCGTCATATTGCTGTGTCAAAGCACAAAGCCAATGCAAACTAAGAAAACTAAGAGAAAAGTAAGATAATGTCAAAACATGAGTGTATCATGGGTGTCTAGTGACTGCGGCATGACTTGATCTTGTCGATGGACGGGACCGTTTGTGTTTGCAGTGTTGGTTGGGATTACGTGGGCATAGATCGAGTCCAACCAACATTTCAAGATATTTCAAGGTCAAAACATGTCAAAACAAGGAAGTACTTGACATGTACTTGATCATCTTGATCTAGGCAGATCTAGGCATGATTGCTGAGAGCTTTGCTCGCAAGGTATGCTGCTATGATAGACTTTCAGTCTCATCGCTATGCAGTCGGCCTGTGGATTCCTCAGCAAAGAACAGTTGGGCTCTTGAAAAAACGAAAAAACGTAAACCATGCTGAGCAAGAGCCAAACCCATCCAAACCCTTAACTGAGATTAACTGAGTGTGGCAATAGCCAGTTGTGGATAGTAAGACTTGCAGAACTGTGTGTCAAATGAATTCAATGAGTATGAATGCAGCCTAAAAGCGCAGTACAAGAAGACAAGAATGATAGAAAGCCTTGTCGGAAGGTTACGTCATCTCAACAGTCCCCAGATCCTCTCTTTCCATGCAACAGGTTCAACAGGTTCAACAGGTTCAACAGGTTCAACAGGTTCAACTGGTTCAACAAGTTGACGAAACCGAAAGCACATCTCAATAAAATGCTTTCGATGTCTGATCTCGATCCTTCTCAGGTTTGTGTCTCAGCACTTAACAAACTTCCTTTCGCCGTGCAACGATTTCTCTTTTGAATTCTTTCAACCGTTCACCCAACTCCATTCCATCCTATCATTCTTCGCAGCTGATCGTATTCTATCAACCTCAGCCTCTTTAATTGTTTGAGCGGGGTGGCAGCTACTAGTCTGCCGTTGCTCTGATAGCGCTTGCTCATAGTTGCTAATGGTTGCGCTTAGTTTCATCAGTCCTTTCTCCCTGTGCTTTCCTGAGTAAATGTAAACAGATCCTCAGTCTCAGTAGACAAAGTAGACAAAGCGATTTAGTCAAGCCTTTTGCCTACAGAATATCTCGGAACCTACTTGTACGTAGCATTTCGTAGCTGTATGCATACCAGGCCCAAATTTGATCAAAGGTGCGCGTGCTTTGCATGAAGTTTTGTTCATTGCGAGCACACCTTGCAGCTTCAGGCATATGTGATGATTGTTTCATATTGTTTCCCTAGTTTTGCATCAGATACAGATAGATGCGGATAGATACGGTTCATAGATGTTCATAGTTCATCTTTTTTTCTCGCACTGACGCAGAGCTTCAGAGCTGCACCGGATGCGACGACAAGGTCGTGCAACTCCTGGCGAGAACTACTTCTCCGAACTGAAGGCGTGGTGGATGGATACTGAATCATTACTTCAATCATTATGAACCACTATAGTCACTATGAACCATTGAATTTGCATAGAATTGTTTCCTCCAAGCAATATCAAGCAATGAGACATGAAAGTATCCTAACTGCTTCGCGTGTTTCTATTCATCGTCCGTGCAGCAAGAAAATTATGGGCAAAGGAGGTTTTGAAGTGCCCAAACCGTGCTTTCACGGAGGTTCTCTGACCCACTGACAAATACTAACAAGCCATTCAGAAACCATTCAGAAACCATTCAGAAACCTTGAGACTGGATGAGACTGGACGTCTCAACGTTTTCAGGCTCTAGCGCGGTTTTTCTCATCGATGATGTCTCCTGCAAGAGTGGCTTGGCCATGCTTATCATGCTTGCGTCAAAGATGTCAAAGTTCAGTGTCACTTTTGGTCATTCCCTGTCTTGGTCTCACGATTTACTTTACGTATTATATTTATGTGTTTGGCCTCAATAAACTATACGTAACTAATACGGAACTATATTGGATTGAACTGATTGGTCGAGGCATGAGACGGTGATACCACGGGATCACAAATGACCTGAGGCAGCGACCTTGACTGTATTTATGTCGCAGCCAACACGCTGGTGGGGGGCCAAGATCAGTGCCAAGAAAAAAATCGGGCTTGTCGGATGTCGTCGGATGTCGGTCTGAGCAAGTCAACTACCCCAGAGCTCAGTGAAAGTCGTGAAAGCTGGTCTGAAATTCTTCAAGGACAAGGACAAGAGGAAGGCTCTCTCAGTGCTTCCAGACAAGGCCGCAGAATCCGTAGAGAGCAGCTTCAGAGTTTGCAGATGCCGATCTGGCCGCAATCCGGAGGATTCCAGGGTACAAGGTAGCTTGAAGTCCTGCCGGAACAGAGATCTTTTGTCACAAGAAATTGCAAAGTGAAAGAAATCCGACTGTGTGCCATTCCAATCCATTCCATGCTCATTCATTATATTCATTGTTTCATGGTTTCATATGGTTTCATATGGTTTCATATGGTTTCATATGGTTTCACTGCCTTGCTCTCCACAGGCATTGGCGCGTTTTCAGTTCCTTGAAGCGGTAGTTCGGCTGGCCTTTAAGAGGTTGGCGATCTCACTACACCTGCTGCACTGCTGCTACCTTGTTACTGTGAATCTTGTCAAGTGGATTTCTTCACGATACCTCTGCCGAGATTTGCGATTGTATCGGGAGAGCGACATTATGCGACATTAGTTTTGATTTCATTTGGACCTGACAATGAGTTTCAGAGCGGGAAACCCTGCCCTTTTCTGCGACGTGTGATTTATCGGGCAGGTTCTTGCGGGCCGGTCCTGCAAACTCCAGTGCTGAGGACATGAAGGGAGCTATTGATGCTCTCCAGGACCCCAACAAAGCGTTGACGTTGAAGCGTTTCAACATGTTTCAACATGTTTCAACATGTTCCAACTGATTGCCAACTCCGATTCCGTGCTTTCAACTGATTAGGAAGTTTTGCACTTGGGGGAAGAATGCTTTGAGAAGCGTCGGACGCTACATGTCTTCACCTCGGCTGCGACCACGCTTTGATCTTTCTTGCAGGCACAATCCAAGCTGATCCATCGCATAGCCTCGCTCTAAGGAGTGCCTTTTTACAGAAGAGTGCTGCCTGGTGTATCGAGACTTCCAGGCCGATGATCGATGCTCACAGCATCCCACAGCACACTATTAAATATGAGTCAAAATCTCTTGTTGCGATTATATAATCCAAGAGTCGTCGAGAAACTATTTGCCAAATTTTGCCAAAAGGTTGTCAAATCGTCTTACTCTTCAAGCAATTTCGTACACCTGACTGTCATTGACAGTGCGAGCAGATTTGTCTTGGCTGAAGCCCTCCACAGGAACACCTCAAGGTCATCTACGAAGGCTTTACGTCTGGTTCCCAGAGGGTTCGCAAGGCACTACGTGTGACAACGATCCAAATGCATCCAAATGCGTTATTTCAGTGTCATATTAGGCATTTTGAAGAGATACTGGCTGACGTGAAATCAAACAGATGTCACAAAGGTTAAAGAGTCAGAGTGCTTCTGAAGTACTCAGCTCTCAGGAGTGTTAGCTCGTACCCGGGACGCCGTGGTAGAATCCTTTCCTTTGGTGAAAATCTCAGAGAGAGGAGGAGAATGGGGGAGAGGGAGATTTGGATAGAGATGGATACAGAGAAGGCGCAGAAGCAAACCCAAGCCATGAGTTCTGTTGAGTTGTGTTGAAGGTGGTTGGCTCACATTGTGCGGTCAAGCTATGCCAGAGGATTCCGTTTGTTGGCAGCGGTGGTTTACACATGTTTGCACATGTTCCATCCAGCAGTCACATTAGATGCTCAGCGCAGAAGATTATGAAGTTCCACGAAGTTCCACATCGCCCAGGAGCCATCAACACGGCTCTTTCGTGAAGCTTTTGCTTTGGGCCGTGAGATCAGAGTCGATGAGACTTCGCACTATAGGCCGCTTCAATTTTGAGAATGGTTTTTTGTTGTGCCTCGTGTTGTCGTGTTGACAACCCGAAGATTTTGAAGTGTTTCCGAAAGTTCTGAGCCCCTTGGCTGTTCATGGCTTTTCATGGCTGTTCAGCTCACGTTGCTTTCCTGGGAAGGCACATGGAGCTTGCCTGGCCAGAGTTCTTGGTCTCCCTGGGTGCTTTGCAGCGGCTGCAGCCTGACTATGATCCCGAGCAACTCGGCGGCATCCAGAAGGCATCCAAATGGTACCCGAATGGCTAAGGCGGCTAAGGAGTGAAATATGGCATATGAGGTACCATGGGTACCCATATTAGGGTACCCATATGGATGCATATGTGCTGCATATGGCCAATATGGTCCAATATGGCAGTGAAACGGAGTGAAACGGAGTGAAACGGAGTGAAACGGAGTGAGTGGAGGTCACCTTCGCCTCGGCCAGGTTCTTTGCAGACAGCCTCTCCACCTTCTTTCAGACGCTGATAGCTTTGAGTGACAGCTTGCTGGCGGGCAACCCAGCAACTGCAGGCGCGGGGCAGAGACGCAGTTGATGATTTAACATGATTTATCCTAGTTCATCAAATTTCAAAATATTTCAATACGCAAAATATGTCAATACATTTCAATAATGAATTTCAATATATTTCACCAGTTCAACTTTGTGTCAGCTCTACTCTCTACAGGCCGCAAGGTTGGGAATTCCAAGGATCAGGCCTGGATTCCATTTGTGAGCTGCATGGAACGAACAGAGACTGCATGGAACAGAAACGTCATGAAACGTTGTCGTCAATGTCGTCAATGCATCGACGTTTTTTGAGGCGCTGCTGCAGCTCATTGCACACATCTTTCAGGACGGGTCCTGTATTAATATGATTTAATAATTTAATAATATTTAATAATATTTGATAATATTTAATAATATTTAATAATATTACGAAAGCCAGCCGATAGGCTAGGCAAAGTTGTTTTGGCGAACGAAGTAAGTGAGTATAGGGGGTCTGGGGGGTGGACGTTGCCGAGCGGGCCCTGGAGCTCGAAATTAGGTGGTGATTAGGCCGTCCAAATTGTTTTTTTTTGTGGGGGCATGTACCATTAGGCAATTTGGTGACGGTGGGGTTCGGTTCCCCCTAGGCCCCTTGAACACGGTAGGAAAAAGGTAGGAAAAAACCAAGGAAAATGAAGGAAAATCGTTGAAAACAAGGGGAAAATGTGGAGGAAAATGTGAAAAAACCCTGGAGGAAAAAATGAATGGCAAGCTTGGAAAAACCACTTGGAAAAACCAAGGAAATCGAGAAAACCGTTGAGAAAATGAGGAAATTACTGTAGAACATAGAGGCAAGCATATTGAAAAGAATAAGGATCTGAAGCTCAACAGCGAGCAGCGTCCGTTGGGGTTCGGAGCAAGACGGCTTGCAAGGGGATGAGGAGTGATGCCGAGGAAGGTCTTTCACACACCAACTTTGACACACCATCTTTCACACACAACTTTGTCACACACCATCTCTCACACACACAACTTTGTCACACACCATCTTTCACACACCACTTTGTCACACACCATCTTTCACACACAACTTTGTCACACACCATCTCTCACACACACAACTTTGTCACACACCATCTTTCACACACAACTTTGTCACACACCATCTTTCACACCACTTTGTCACACACCATCTTTCACTCATCTTTCACACCACTTTGTCACACACCATCTTTCACACACCGTCACAGACCATCTTTGACATACCATCTTTCACACCACTTTGTCACACACCATCTTTCACACACCGTCACAGACCATCTTTCACACACCATCTTTCACACACCATGTTTCACAGACCATCTTTCACACCACTTTGTCACACACCATCTTTCACACACTACTGACACTACTTTGTCACACACAATCTTTCATCCACCATCTTTCACACACAACTTTGTCACACACCATCTTTCACACACTACTTTGTGACACACCACTACACCCACCACTTTGTGACACACTATCTTTCACCCACCATCTTTCACACACAACTTTGTCACAGACCATCTTTCACACACAACTTTGTCACACACCATCTTTCACACACTACTTTGTGACACACCATCTTTCACACACCACTTTGTGACACACTATCTTTCACCCACCATCTTTCACACACAACTTTGTCACAGACCATCTTTCACACACAACTTTGTCACACACCATCTTTCACACACTACTTTGTGACACACCATCTTTCACACACCACTTTGTGACACACTATCTTTCACCCACCATCTTTCACACACAACTTTGTCACAGACCATCTTTCACACACAACTTTGTCACACACCATCTTTCGCACACAACTTTGTCACACACCACTTTGTCACACACCATCTTTGACACAAAGTGTGGAGTGAGGGGTGCACAGTGTAAAGTGTAAGGTGTGGAGTGTAGAGTGTAGAGTGTAAAGTGTAGAGTGTAAAGTGTAGAGTGTGGAGTGTAAAGTGTGGAGTGAGGATTGTACAGTGTAAAGTGTGGAGTGTAAAGTGTAGAGTGTAAAGTGTAGAGCGTGGAGTGTAAAGTGTGGAGTGTGGAGTATAAAGTGTGCAGTGAGGAGTGAGGAGTGTAGAGTGTAAAGTGTAAAGTATGGAGTGTAGAGTGAAGAGTGTAGAGTGGAGAGTGTAAAGTGTAGAGTGTGGAGTGTGGAGTGTAAAGTGTAGAGTGTGGAGTGTGGAGTGGATAGTGTAGAGTGTGGAGTGTGGAGTTTAAAGTAAGGAGTGTGGAGTGTAAAGTGTGGAGTGTAAAGTGTAGAGTGTGGAGTGTGGAGTGGATAGTGTAGAGTGTGGAGTGTGGAGTTTAAAGTAAGGAGTGTGGAGTGTCAAGTGTGGAGTGTGGGGTGTGGAGTGTAAAGTGTGGAGTGAGGAGTGTGGTGTGAGGAGTGTAAAGTGTAAAGTTTGGAGTATAGAGTGTAAAGTGTAGAGTGTAAAGTGTAGAGTGTGGAGAGTGGAGTGTAAAGTGTGGAGTGTGGAGTGTCAAGTGTAAAGTGTAGAGTGCGGAGTGTGGATTGGAAAGTGTAGAGTGTGGAGTGTGGAGTGTGGAGTGGAAAGTATAGAGTGTGGAGTGTGGGGTATGGAGTATGGAGTATGGAGTGTGGAGTGTGGAGTGTAAAGTGTCGAGTGTGAAGTGTGGAGTGAGGACTGTGGAGTGAGGACTGTGGAGTGTGGAGTGTGGTGGTGTGTGGAGTGTGGAGTGTGGAGTGTGGAGTGTGGGGTGTAAAGTAAGGAGTAAGGAGTGTAAAGTGTGGAGTGTGAAGTGTGGAGTGAGGAGTGTGCAGTGTAAAGTGTGGAGAGTAGAGTGTAGAGTGTGGAGTGCAAAGTGTGGAGTGTAAAGTGTGAAGTGAGGAGTGCACAGTGTAAAGTGTAAAGTGTGGAGTTTACAGTGTAAAGTGTAGAGTGTAAAGTGTGGAATGTGGAGTGTAAAGTGTAGAGTGTGGAGTGTAAAGTGTGGAGTGGAAAGTGTAGAGTGTAGAGTGTAAAGTGTGGAGTGCAGAGTGAAGAGTGTAGAGTGTAGAGAGTAAAGTGTAGAGTGTGGAGTGTGGAGTGTAAAGTGTAGAGTGTAAAGTGTAAAGTGTGGAGTGTAGAGTGTAAAGTGTGGAAGTGTGGAGTGTAGAGTGTAAAGCGGCAAGTTGGGAGTGTAGAGTGTGGAGTGTATAAAACAGGTTGGAATGTTGCGAACGTAACCGCAACGTCGAGCGAACACAACCTTAGCCCCCAGACCCCCGGAGTGAAACGGGAGCCCTTGCTACGCATCTGGGAAAAAGGCATGACATGGAGGAAAGGCAAAGCTTTGAAAAAACTAGGAACATAGAGGCAAGCATATTGAAAAAAATAAGGATCCGAAACTCAACGGAGAGCAGCGTCCGTTGGGGTTCGGAGCAAGACAGTTTGCAGAACAAAAAAGATTCCGGCTAGGGGTTGGGTTTCGTCCCCCCTTCTCAGGTTTAATATGTAATCAATCAATCTAGAGAATGAAGAGATAGAAGAGTACAGCATAATACACCGTGAGCACAGCTTGACAGAGGGCGATAGTGCATGATTGTGCGACTTCAGAAAGAGGTGCTGCGCAAGTAGTTGGAAATAGTTGGAATATCTTTGGGACTGCGTGTGCAAGACTGATGAAGATGAACATGATATACAATTGTGCAATCTGGGGGGGCCAGTCTTGCGGGGTGACAAGTATCGATGCACCGGGGGTGCTTCCGGCTTGTCGCAGGAAGCTGACGATGATGAGACAGGAACTATCGATGAAACTGAGCCAAACTATCACTGTTTTGCTGTGAGAGTGAACCAAAGCAACCCCAAACATAGCTGCTATAATCTGACATAGCTCCTGCTGATGGTCAAAGTCCACAATCCACAGCTTGGTCCGCCAGTGCTAAATCCAGAACTTGACATACCAACTCTGCTGCTATATACTGCAATGCTTTGCACATTGCACTATTGTTCTCATTGCACCTCGACCAATGCCCAGTTGCACAGTGTGCCAGGTTCCGGACCTTCTTTGAACAACCGAAGGTTCCGGATGGTTCCGGAGTCTTGGTGTCTTAGTGTCTTCGTAAGTCTTCGTGTCTCGCAAAGTCTCACTGCGAGACCTGATTACGTCAGGGCAGTGACCACTGCATCTGTACTGTATCTACTCATCGCTATTCACTGCTATTCACTGCTGCATCTTGCAGGTGCACGAGCAGCTAAAGGAGCATGGCATCTCCATGCCACGACCTTGGGACTTTCCGTTCAAAAGCCAGATTTGCAGTCATCCCAAGAGAGTTCAACGTGAATGTGAATGGCTTGAATAGTGGAGCCAGCAAAAGAAGGGTTTCAGTCCTTAAGCAATTACCCTTACCATCATACTTGTGATTACTATATATAATTGACGTTGAAAGAGTTTGAGCGAAGTGAGGTCCAACCTCAACATGATCTTCAAATCGATGGATGCAGATGGTCAAGGCTCTGACAAACTTGACACAGTTGACCCGACACCATCAGACTCAAAGTATCTCAACCTTCCCAAAATGTCAAACGGCCATGAGAAGCCGGGCCAAGCCACGGGCATGCCTTTGATGATTTGCCAACTTTGCATACTTTTCCCATCTTTTCCATGTGCTTTGTATTTTCAATGCCTTTCCTGTTTCGTTTGGATCGCTTTGGACATGTTTGAGCCTTTCAAGGACTGCTCACGTTCGACGAGCTTTGTGACGGAGATGCCTGCAAGATTGACAGTGTTTCAGAGTTCCGTGGTGTGGGAGGGAGTCATGCATTTCTGGTCACAGTTTTCGCCTCATTGGTATTGAATTCATGTCATATGATTTCACTGATTTCACTTGAACCATCTCAGTGTTTTCCCTGTCGTTTGCCGTGACTGAGAGACGCCAGGCTTTTTGAAGATGGCATCCATCATGAGGCTTGCGGCTCGTTGCGGCTTGTTGCACCACGATATTGCGAGGGTTTTGCTGCTACTGCAGATACTGCAGCTTTCGTCGTGCTCATGGTTGTCATTGTAATTTCAGTGGGCGGTGTGATTGTGCGCACCAAGAGTCAAGAGTCAGTGGAAAAGTCCGTGCATTTTAAATGACATATGCTGAGAGTCCAAAGTGGTGCATTCTCGAACGGCGAATGTTCTGGATAGGAGCAATGAGCGTGCGATCTCATACATCCGCAAGGCCATCTTGTCTGAAGTGTGTTGAAATGTGTTGAAATAGGCACTAACCGCAAGAGCTTTAGTATGAATGATATGAATGCGAGAGTGCCTTTCCCACTGAGAGGTGTTTGCAGAATCTGATGAAGATGGTTCTGGCACGCTGAACAAGGCATCAGCTGGGGATTTCAAGACATGGTATGACTCTGTAATCAGCTGTAATCTCTGATTATGAACCTGCACGAATTGTTGTTGATGTGGTTGGGCCCTGCAGAATTGCAAGACACTCCTCTTGAAATCTCTTGAAGTCAGGAGGAGTTCAACCACATTTTTGACGAGCCCCAGCCCCAGGATTCGGATGCATTGTGCTTGGCAGCACAGCCGCAGTGATCCAATCCACCATAGTCTTCATCCATCTTCATTTCATCATATGAAAAAAAAAATATATATATATAAATCAGATGAATATCAGATGAATCAAATCCCATCTATATAATTTATACATTATCATTCTATGTCTTCCTTTCCATCCTTTCACCTCCACGGTCGGGGCACAGAAATCGCCAAGGCCGTCTGTCAAGAAAAAGATGGAGTCTTTTGGCATTTTCGCGCGGTACTGAGTCATGCCTTCACTTGAGATTTTGAAGATTTTTGAAGATTCATTTGAATATTTTGAAAGATTTTGAAAGTATTTCAGTAACCATCCACGTATCCAGGCTACTGATTTAGAGGACCTCTTCTCGCTGATTGATGAGGCCCCCTTTGAATCCGTTTGATCTTTTCCATTGCGTCTTTTCCAGCAGTCTTTTTGTGCTGCACCTTTCTTACCTGTGACTGCTTTCAGACGTTTTGATCTTGAAACATGTTTGAAGTGCTGTCGTGATATGCAAGACACAGTTTCAAGCGATTGGATCTGAAGCTGATGCATAAACAGTGTGGTGATGATATGAGCAGGGGCATTTCTGTTTTACTCTTGCTCTGTGTTGAATACCGTGTCGCTTAGATCCTTGAATGTTTAATCAGCTGCTAACAATTCTCTTGCTGGATAACATCAGTCTACAGAGGAATTTCTAGATCAGTCTGCATTGTGTTTTTCCCTAGGGTGCACGTAGACAATGTAGACTGGTGAATGATGTGACATATGTGACATATGTGACTGTATGAAAGGATCCAAAGTGAGCCAAATTGCTGCATTGCTCATGGATCTCATGGATCTCATGGTGATGTGCCGATGTGCAGTCAATGTGACAATGTGTCTAGGACGGCAGTGGCCAAGTCTCAGAAGATGAAGTCGTGGCAGGTTTCGTCATGCTGCGGGGAAACCTGGCGCAGACCTGAAAGATCCCGAAAAGATCCCAAGATGCAAAAGAAAAGGCGAAAAGGCGAAATACATCGAAATACATAAAAGTAAACAAAACAATACATGCAAGAAATGAAAGAATTGAACATAACGTGATATAACACTATAATAAAACGGGTTCATTGTGCCAGGTTGCATGGCATGACTTATCATGACTTTGGATTTGGAAGCTGGGCAAGTGGCTTGCAGTTGCTTCCACTTGCCGTGGTTGTATCGATGGGCTCGGGGCCACTCGGCCACTCGGCCACTCCATGACTCCATGATGACTCCATGATTCGATATACTTTCGACATATGAGGCGAGATCCCAAGACTGCCGGTGAACGCGGTGTTGCAATACTCAGCAAAATCTTCGAAGAGGTCAGCAGTACTGAGCACTTTGCAGTTACTACACTCATCTGCACTCGGTCTCCGAGCAAAGTTTGAAGTTGAAATTATAGTGCATGTCGCAGTGCATGTGTGTTCCATGGCCATCCCTAGCCTACTAAGTTTTGATGACACAAGAACGCAATGCCAAAGTCTTTGTCCATCTTTGTCCATTTCAAAGCCGCAAAATGGCAGCAGCTTCTGAGTTCGTTCTAGTTTCCAGTTGTCGTAGTGACTTCAGACGAAAGGCAGACTATGATGGCAGCGGATCGCTGGACAAGTTTGAGTACGTCACAGCTGCCACCTTGGACAGTACATTCTTTCCAGCTAAACTTGAAACATTTCGCATATTCCGTGAAGTTCTTCAGTGTTAAAGCATGTGCAATCCTTTTTTCGAAAGCTTCTGACTTTTTGGACAGTTTCTCTCCCTGAGGCCTTTTCCGAAGAGCATGTCACGCAACAACTTCTTGCCAGAAACCTTAAGGCATGCAGAAAGATACTAAAACAATGCGCACCGCAGATTCGGAATGGCGGATCTGGGGGCTAGAGTGCCAGTGGTGATCAGATTGTAGCACAATATACAATAGTCACAATAAGTCACACAATAGTCACACTCTGTAGGCGAAGTTCATCCAAGTTCATCCAAGTTCCTCTCCGTAAGTCTCCGAACGGTTTGTCTCTGTGGACTGTGGACAGGTGCCAGATTGGGAAGGTCTCTTCGAAGTGCTGGATGCAGACGGCAGTGGTACCCTCCAATGGGACGAACTACGGGAAGGACAAGCACAGCTCACCGGGTTCGCATGATGTTCGCATTGTTCGCATATTCAAACGATCTTTGATTCTTGTTTCAGAGCTTGTTTCAGAGCTTGACCAACTCAAAATTTCAGGCTCAAGGTGTTTTGTGGTGCTTTCCTGCTTGCCTCGCATGGCTTTGTCCAGTCTTTGTTCAGTTGGCAGGACTTGTCTCATTTTGGGCTCGCCACCAGATGGACGAGATCCGAAAGTAGGCAGTGCACAGCATTTCCCATACCGCCTATACCGCCTATACCTTCACTATCCTTCACTGCCATCGAGATGTGGAGAACACAATCAGGCTACGGCAACGAATCTTTTAGGCAGATCCGTCTAGAAGATTCTATAAGATTCTAGAAGATTCTAGAAGATTCTAGAAGGCCAGATTTGTTTGCATTCCGTCTATTCCGTCTATTCTGTCTATTTTGTTCATGTTTTTATTTCAATTCAGTATGGAATTCAGAAATTCAGCTGCTGGAGGAAGTCTAGACATGTGACACGGCTGATATTTTTTTGTTTTGCGAACATGAACTTGGAAATAACGATTTAAAGACGTTGCTGTGACGAAGATGTGTAGAATCACAATATATATTATATATACAATATATACAACATTTATCGCATTTGATGGCATTGTGTCAAGAAAAGGTCAGAGAAGGCAAGCACGTCTCCGGCATCACTGGTCTGAGGGTTGTCTACATTGTAGAGGTCAGACAAGAGAGAGAGAGAGAGAGCAAAGATGGTCGGTTAAAGTTAAAGAGTGCAAGATCATGTCTAATGTGAAAGGCACATGAGATCGTACCAGGTCAAATGTGATGCCAAATCATTTAATATGTAATATAAGGCCTGATGGGATCAACAATTCGAACAATTGCATACAATTGCCCTTGTATTGACCTAAATGAGGCATAATGAGACAAGATATGGAAGTCGCTGACCAAGTTCACCACAAATTCTCGATAGCAAAAAGTGTGCGGAGCTGCAAAGATTCCCAATTGTCGTGGCACAGTCCGCCTTTTTGAAACTTTGTGCTTCGATCTGATAACGATCTTGGACTGCTGACATCGCAGGCCATTTGAACATATTTGAACTAGATGTTCTTTGTACAGAATGTTCGAACTCAGCTGGATGAAAGAACCAGTTGAGTCTCAGTTGAGGTCCTTGAAGACCAGGGAGCTAAACGGAGCTGAGTTCTGTTGCTGCAAGAAGCATCAAACAGAAGGAGGCGAAAAAGAGCATACAAAACTCGCAGGATCAACATTTTTGGGGCAACGAGTGATGTGACAACTTGTGGGAAATTTTCCCCTTGGTTGTGTGTTTGATTATGTTTGCTTCCCTTGTTATCAGATGTTATTAGTAGTTCATAGTAGTTCCATGTAGTTCCTGTTCAGAGGTCTGCTTCTCTGTTGATAAGTCATCTCCGCTCTAGCTGCTCTAGCTCAGCTTCTGAATCTGACCGCTGCCGTCAAAGCTCCAATCACCACAGAATACCACAGACCTTCGTATTGACCAAACTTGGTAGTAATATGATGTAATATGTAGTAATTGCATAGTAATTGCCGGCACGGACCTTTTTGTTCTGGAGTATCAACCATATCAACCGCTACCAAGCTGACTCGAACCACTTTGGCGTTCCCCTTCTGAATCTATGGACACGTTTGAGAGCTCACGGCCGTTTTTTTTCTCAAAAATGCTGAGCCTTTTCAAGCTCTATACACATGTTTCGACGCGATTTAGATCTTTTGCGTCCTTGAACTCACCAGCTTCATGAGAGGCTCAGCTTCCTGCTTCTCCGATTCAAGCTATCTTGAGCCAATGATTTGAGGGGATTTGATTTAAGCGCCTGACATGGCGGGACTGGACCAAACCCAAAACAGGAGTGAATCAACCCTTCTGTGCTTCGACTCTTCTATCTTACGATCTTACGGGTACTGTAGGCGAAAAGTTATGCAACATCGTCAGATATGGCCAGGCTGTTCAAACACGGAATTCAAATTAAAGGTCTTTGAGAAGATCTTGGACACTTTTGTTTCCACAAATCCAGAGCAAGATCAAATGACATACTGATCATACTGCAACGAATATCAATAAACCCGAATGAACCGGTCCAAATACACCCAAATGAACCCAATAAACTAAAAAGTCGAAGGGATTAAGCCACAGGGCCAGCTTAGTTTTGACCATGGCTACTCTTTGGCTCCTGCTGGCGCTTGTGCACTCTGCACTTGCAGTGCCGTGGTGGGAGGCGAGGAGTGGAAAAGAGGGACGAACAGAAGACATCAAGTCGTCATAACATCCATGACTGAAATAATATGATTAATGTTGAAGTTTAAATATGTTTAATTAAATGATTTAAATGATACCTTGAATGTTTGAATCAGGTGAAACTGTCAAACAGAATCCTTCTTGATGGGGTCCTGCTGTGATTGTCAAGGTGTTTGGGGAAACAATGGGAAACATGTGAAGACTTCATAAGACTTCCTAAGGGCCTGGGAAGAAATGGTTTTGTGATGTTTTTTTGTCACCTTGGAGAGGCAAGGAGAGGTCTTTCGCAGTCTCCTGGCGGCCAGGTATCCACCGAGGAGAATGCGAAGTCACTGGCCTTGTACTTTGACCGGGAGGCCGATGGGGCCGATGGCATCCGATGGCATCCGATGGCATCCGATGGCCGCATGCCACCGATCACACGGCGACAGTTGACGGCTGACGCCAGGCACGGCGCTACTTTGTGTACACGGAAGGCTGGATGCACAAGACAGATATAGAGACAGATAACAGATAACATCAGCAGCATCAGATAGCATCAGATAGCATCAGATAGCATCAGATAGCATCAGATAGCATCAGATAGCCTGACATCACAGGGTGACCATCAGAGAGATCTGACAGATTCAGCACTCAGCAGCTTTAAAAGATTGCCATTGACAGATCGCCATAGTTAGCCAGATGTTTTAAGGAACCATTGCCTCGAGTGAAAAGGCCTTGAGTATGTCACAGCCTTAGTGGGACAGGGGGTGCAATTGCCAAACTCGGTCACGGCCTGTTGAGTTCAGGTATTTCAACGTGGCCCGTGGACCAACAGTCAAAAACATTTGCGAAGTTGGTCAGGATCCAAGAGAGCCGATCTGAGAGCCGAAGGGATCCGAAGGGAATGAATCAGTGACATGTTCAGGCGGTCTCGGGGAAGAGTTTAGGAAAAACTGATGGACACTGATGGACGCTGCTGATGGACACTGTACGAATTGTGCTTCAAAGTTTTGTTGAGATTATGTTGAGATTCAGGTTTCAACGCTGGACATTCTACGGCGATTTACCTCAATGCGAATCCAGAGGCCCAAGCTTCAGCCGCTTCAAATTCCGATGCGGTCTTTGTTTGGAGTTAAGAGATGTTTTGGAGTGGGCGGCGCCCTTTCCACCTCCAAAAGCTTTGTCGGATCTCAAGGCTGAAAGCATTGGAAGTGGAAAGGAAAGACCTCCCTCGCTTTTGTTCCTGATCTGAAGACGGTTCTGCACCAGGCAAAGGTCTTCTCGTTCGACATAGGCCAATTCCCTTACACTCGAGGCAACTCAAAGCTGATGAAGGCACATTTGCAATGCACATTCCTACACGTTGTTAGCATTGTTTTTTGCCGTGGCAGTGTTGTGTTGTGTTTGTGCTCATGGCCACATTTGGCCAGCATTTGTTCGCTGTCAGTCACTCTTTCCGGACCGCTTTGAGTACATCTCCGGACCATCAGCAGAGACTGTCAAAGCCTTTGGTGAAGCAAGGCAGGGCCGTGTCACAACGTGGCTACAGCGTAGCTCAACGCACCACGATGCAGTTCTCTGGCCTTGCTTTGCGCTTTGCCAGGCCCGATGTGAAATGCGACGTGATTAGCGTTTCGAAACTCAGACTCCGAAATTCTTACGGAGACAATTCGTGTCAGTTCGTCAATCTTGGTCATTTGTCATCACGTGTTTGGTCTTTTCAGGCTGTCCTCCCCTTGGAACATCTTGGAACCTTTCCAAGTTGCCAAGGTTGATGGAGATCACAGTACTGAAGGAACGCTGGCAGATTTGGAGAACTTCCGAAAGTTGGCTTCCTGCAGGTGCTCAACCATGTTTAAAGAATCTCCAGACAGCGACTGTGACCAATATTGAGCAATTATGATAGTTATGGGATTTTGTAAACATGCAGAAAGTATTGCAGACTTCGAGCTCCTTGATCTCAATGGAAGTAGCAAGTGCTGTCGCAATATTGGTTCATTACCTGCTTGCAACATCTTGCAACATCTTGCAACATCTTGCAACATCTTGCAACATCTTGCAACATCTTGCAACATGAGTTTTCAGCCTCAGTTTGTTTCTGCTGCACACTTTTGCACACGACGCATGCAGCGATCGTCGAAAATTGCCATTTCTTTTCCAGGAATTGGGTCCTCATGGATGATGCTGGCTGGAACTCCACAAACTCTGCTTGGCAAATGGCAAAGGATGCTGGTATCCTGACCCAGGCATGATCGCAATATGTCGCAATATGTCGCAATAAGAGATCCCAATAACATCATAAAACATCATAAAACATCATCGCTGCAAACCCTAGGTTTTCCCGCGGCCAATCCCGCATATCCTTTGACATGCTCAAATCCCTTCGCAGGGTCAAGTTTTTTACTTTCCAAAACAACAAACACCAAAACCCTAAAACCTAAAACTCTAAAACCTAAAACCATCCTAAAACCCTAAACCCTAAATTAAAACCCTAAATCCTGAAAACTTAAAGTCAAAATCACTGCGTATAGCCCGGGGTTTCATTCATCCTCTGGTGATAAGTATATCATATTGTTTGGATGTGTTGTTTGAGTGTGGGCGAACCAGGGGGTTGCGGGGAACATCATACAACATCATAAAACCATATAAAACCCGTCCATAAATGTAGCGTTCACATGGGGGAAGGCATTGACTTAGGGATGTCTTAGGGATGACTTCTTGAAAACGTTGCCGTTGGGGGCGCAAACAGGACGGCAAGAGATGACTTTCGGATACTTTCGGTTCTGTTTGTTTGTAGCTGTAATATGCTGTAAACTTTCAAAATCTCTCAAACTTTAAAGTGGTATTTGAAGTGTGCAGGGCAGGCTTCGGGGGTTTAATCGCCAAATAGTTGGGGATACCTATCGATTCTCTATGATCAATCCCTGAAATGGGTCGAGTAACCTTGCTGTTGAAAGATTTCTGCAGGTGTGTACTGTGTACCGTGTGTATGTGTCATGCATGTTGGTTCTTTGAAGCAAGCTTCCAAGTTCCTTTCCAAAGGTGGAGTGCTTTGCCGACATGAACCCGAGGCGCGCCCTGTGGTGGAAGGGCGGCCAGTGGACAGTGCGGTCAGGAATGGATTGGATTTTACTGTAATGGAATTTACTGAGCAGATATGTTTGTCAACGGCCAGAACATTCCCACCAAGCTTGTAGAAGCTAAGGCAACTAGCAATAAAGGAGGAGCCACGTAAAAAGAATGGAACCCTCCAAGAAAATGAGCCGTGAGGAAGTGAGGAAGCAAGTGAGTGATCACTGATGATGTTGTTGCTAGATGGGATGATCCATCAGTTCTTTGTAGTAATAAAACGCTGATGGAATGACATAAATAGATGAATGAATGAACTGGTGCCGTGGGTACCCCCAGATCAAAACACTCGGTTCTAAGTCGCTGCGTGTCTTCAAATTCTAGGAAGACCTCGGAAAGACCGGCCTCAGAGTTCCTGTATATTTCCATTTAGACTAGATCATACTAGATCTATTCAGCACATCTTAGCGCACCCTGGTTTCTTTTTTGTTGGGAGTGCGCCAGCTGCCTCCAAGTATGCACCCACCAGTCATTGCACATCATTGTAATTACCATTACATTAAGTCATGAACATCATGCATTTTGTGGATGGTGTTTGCGGCTGAAGTAGCCATTGGATGAGTCAGCCAACGAATGGGTGACATTGAATGACTCAATTAGTTAGATATGTACTGGTAGTTAGTGTTTAAGCCCGTGAGGCAATTCTTTACTCAACAGTTTGGTGAGCAAGTCAGTGCTGTTAGTAAATCTGTTTCGCAACTCGGAAGCTTTCTCCTAGGCTTCCAAGCACGGGTTGGCAAGGCCTGATTACCAATTCATGGAGTATCCAGAGAACAGGTCTTGGTGCTTGGCACTTGGTGAAGGTTTCATCCGAATTATGCATATGTGCAAGGTTTTGTCGCGTAATAACAGCAAGTACATGGACTACTTTGTTCAAGCAAAATGTAAACGCTTACAACAACTCAAAATGGTAAAAATCAACCAGAGATCTTGATTGATTTTTGTTACGCTGACAGAATAAATCCTCAGGCTGTATGCAACTCAAACTGAAGTGTGTTTCTATTTCCTTCTGCTGGTTCTCAGCACAACCTTTTTCTCTTCCTCTCATTTCCTCTCTGTATCTGATCTCCTTGCAGGTGCTCGCATCAACTGAGGTCTAGGTTTCTTTAACGTCCACGATTTGGACTCTGAATGTCCTGCGTGGTTTGACACGAATCCAAACACAGCCGGAGACCTCAGCATGGCTAAGTCTAAGCCTGGCTCATGCAATGTGCAGCTGCAATCGCGGTGTTTTGTTGTGTCAGTTGTGTCTGTCGGTCTGTTGGTGTCAAAAATGCCACTGCGACAACTTTGCCACTGCTTTGCCCATTCCTCTTCCATGGATCCCAAGGACAGAACTTTTGTTCGCCCAATCGAGATTTAGGCATTGGCTACCTCAACGCGGAAGCGCCAAAAGCGCGTGTTTGCACATGTTCCGGCAGTCCCCGTCAACGAGCAAACTTGTAGAAAACTAGCGTTTCGTGCTAGTATTGCTATTCAAGACTAATAGATATTATATTATATATATATTATTATATTATACAAACCAAACCTGACACACTTTATTTGCAGAGAGGCCAGTGACAGTTTAGCAATCTAAACCAGCACAAACAAGCAGCATGCGCGAACAGGTTTTAATTTTGAATGCTTTGCAGTCTACATTTCTTGGAGGTTGACGCAGCTGTGTATTCATGCAACAACCAGTTGATTCAATGGTGAGTTGGCAAGTTGATGTGTAAGACTGAGCAAGGCCAGTACGTTTGCATTTTAAAGTCACATCCACAGCCGTAGTCATGGGATGTGCTAGGATATATACTTGATTTGCTGTTCATTTGACCCAAATCGTTCAGACGCAACAGAGAAGATTGAACAGCACTTCATCAATGCTTCTCCAACAGCAGAGAAGATAGACATCTTTTTGTTCTCCAGTAGGACATTGCACATACACTCTAGATACAATGTATACATGTATGTATGTATATAATTGCATATTGTATATACATACATACATTACATTACATTACATTACATTCCATTACATTACATTACATACATACATACATACATTACACTGCACATGTTCGTGCATGTACAGCAGCGATTCTATGCATATAGAATAAAGCAGGCATGACAACTTCCAACCAGTCCTTGGCAATGCCAATTTGCAAATTTTGCAAGCAATGGAGAGCCTGCTTGCAGATTTCGTTCGTTGCCCACGTCTCAGAGGATTGTGGGCCCTGGAAAGAAGAGTATAGAAAGGTGATGAAAGGTGTCAAAGGTCTGTCCAAGCGCGCACGAGACAATTCGAAACCCGTCCAATCAGTTTGATGGTGAGTGGATAGGACTCCAAATCGCCTTGACGAATGGACGGCTTTTCACTTGTTGAAATCTTCTTTCCGAGAAAAGGTTTGGACACTGATGTTGAACATAGTTTTGAGAAAAAATCAGAGTAAGGTACTGACCCTGTCCATGGCAGCTGCGATGATCGGTATGGTGCCTTGACAAAAACGATACAGCGTGGCGCCAAAACATTTCAATGCCCATGATTTCGGATAAATGAATATAAGCGATACAAATGGATAATGAACAGAGGATTCATGACGCCACATGGTGTGAGATGCCACATCTGAGGCACGAACCATCAATGGCTTACACGATGAGTTGACGAGCCTCTCAAAGTCCCAACTTCAGGCACCTCGAGATCCTGACGTTCCAAACTTTTGCAATACAGTGCCTACAAAGCCATGAAGAAAAAGTGCATCTGTGCATCTGTGTGTGCACCTGTGTGTCTATGCAGCAAAAGTCAGCAGAAGAAGAATGAGAAGAATGAGATGAATGAGATGGTGGAAAAGCATCATGGCATCAGCATGGCATCTCTTGGGTACAGGTTGCGGCTTCACGGTCAGAAGGTTCAGATTTCGGAGATGAATTTGACCCTTCACAGGAGAAGCACTCAGGACAGCCATGGACAGCTTGTTCAAAATAGAGCACTTTGGGACTTCTGCATGGGTGCCTCTTTTCAAACTAGCTAGATATAGCTAGATGTGCAGATTGTTAGTGGACAAAACGCATTTTGTAGCCAATCGAAGGAGTTGAAACATATAGATGGAAGGAGAAAGATGTCCAGACGGATTACAAGGAATCGCATGGAATCGCTGCAAGAGACACCTCGAGAACGGCCAACAAACACAGGCCCAAGGTGGTCCATGTGAGATCATGTGAGATCATGTGAGTATGAATCGCAGAAGATTATGGTCTGTGGGTGAAGCAGAACTACCTCTTGACATCAATCATTGCCTTATGTGCACATTGGGATCTCAATTCTATGTGTGAGAGCACAAACATAGACTGTTCATGCCTCTTCTATACACCATGAATCATCATGATACTTGATGACATATGAGTGCTGGGAAGATGCTACTGCTGTGAAGATGAATTTCAATTGCTAAGCAAATGTTGCAAATACCAGTAATTATGATCAATATTTGATCAATTATGATCCAGTATGTCTTGTATTGTCTTGTTGCTCCTTCCAATGGCCTCTTGATTTGCCGCAAAGGAGCCCCACCTCGGCATCTTTCCATGTTCGGAATCGGTACTGATTCATCGGCAGGTTGTTGGTTGTTGAGCGCCTCGATCAAAACCATTCTGAATGCATCGAACCGCATCCAGCTTTCATAGCTTTCCATCCAGTTTTTTTTGTGTTTTTTCTTGCATTTACCAGTTCAAATATGTTCAAATGCCCAAGCCAAGGCGATCACGCGACTAGCCGCTCAGCATTCGTTTAACTGCATGCAGGACTGCAAAGCTGTTCTCCACTGATAAAAAAATGCTGCGTTTTCAGCAGCTCCCCTCAGACAAATCTACTTGATCAATTGCTGGTTTCTGTTTCAAGAAGGTAAGCAATCACGACGTGCAAAAATGAACCTCTGTCGAATGAATTCAACAGAAATGAGCGCAACGTGCATTCGTGCTCTAGCAATGTGCAGCTGAGGCAACAGCCCGATTCCTAGTTTCATCAGGAACGGCAAGATATGACGGTTGTTTTTTTTTCCGAAGGAATTTGATGGACAGTGCCAGGTTGCCAGGTTGCATTGTGTTGCGTTGAATGTCATTGATCTTGTCATACCCAGCGCCCAGCGCATGAGGCTTTGACGTCAGCCAGGCAACCTGCAACTTTCTCAATTGTCCATCGCCCCTTGCCGAATGAAGTGCGACTCCCCGCATGATTTTCTTCGTCTTCGTGTATTCATAGCATGGGATGGCACGGGTGCAGAGAATTCAGCGACTTAAACGGGTGCCATGAATGATCCAGGAGTCCAGGTCTGCAATGGTCTGTAGACCTTTTGAAGCTGCGATTGTGTTGAAAAACGCATTTCTACAGATTGTGCTTTGATTAGGATTATTCCATCGCTGATCTCTGCTCTTGTCGTGTGTGGCGATCTGACCAAAACTCACAGCCCATCCGGAAATTGCTGAAGCAAACCATGGAACCAGATAGCGAGTCTGCTTGAATGGAGCTTGGAAGTCAAGTACCTGAGGTGCTTCATCTCCCCAACCAGCTTGAGTCAAGCAACCACGTGGCTTGCTTGAGTTGTTTGAGTTCTTGGGTCCAGGGCACCGGGAATTCTGAAGCAAACACTTGACATCGCTTGACTATCTTGACTGACGACTGACTACACTATCACTAATTATCTTCACTTCGCTTTCAATGCGTGTTTGCTCTTTGCTTTTCCTATCGGATCACACTTTGTTCTGCAAGAGATCACTGCAGAGGGTTTCGACTCATTTATCTTGAGTTTGACTATTGGTTATTGTGAAATGGCGTTGCAGATTGGAGGATGGTGGCCCATTGCCAATCTATGAGGCAGATTTAGGAATGATTTAGGAGAAAAAGAAGACTAGACGTGGTACTTGATGTTGGTATGCCATTGCAGGAAAGGTCAGGAAGGTTCCCAGCTTGAAACGAATCGTAACATTCTTGGATGCATCATGGCTGGAGAAATGCTTATTGAACTGAGTACATCTACAATCTGTGTGTCTCCTTCCGGGCCAATCAAACTGAATAGTTGGCTCTTCGCAAGAGCAAGTGGAGCAAGGCTCACTATCACTGGCTGCAGTACGCATCGATGGGGAATCGGGACAGGCACACGCACAAGAAGTGGCTTGGCAATCTCAAACAGCGTGTTTTGTGATCCAGCGGCATTTGCTCCTTGAGGACAGTCATGGAAAACAGGGCTTCGAGTTTGGGACAAAATAAGCTTCCAAGAAACTGGGTTAAAAAGCTTGTGCAATTCATTAGTGCAATAGAAACAATAGAAGCCTTTGAACAGGGACATGCCTTTCCATTTTCTTGCCCTTTGACTTTTCCCTTTCTTCCAAGATGCGAAGGTGGTGTTTGGGGATACACCTTCATCAACAGGCGGCTTGTGCGGCAGACATTCACAGAATGCATCAGAATGTGGAGATAACTTGAACCTTAGAGAGATTCTACGTTTGCACAGACACACCTTCTGCAAAACGTGAAGCCACCGAAGGGATTCGACGAACACCATGACGGTGACCGATGGAAGCGGCTCTTGGGTACTCTCTCCACTGGCCTATGTCTTCATCTCAGCTGCAATATGATGGAAACACATTGAAACACATTAAAACCAGAGGTTGTGTGAGGATGTCCGTTCCCTTCGACAAAGGTTCATGCTTACTGTGACTCTGCGAGTGGCAGCAACCGCTTGTACTTTACCACGACATCAGCACCTCGGCATGCCATGCAGAAAAGTTTGAGAAATCTTGAGATTTTTCCGAGGACATAATCGACTGGTGGTCTGAAATTAGGTGGAAAGCTCCTTGTGTCAGCACTGCTTGATCTCACGAACGCACAGCCCTGAACGGCGTCAAAATCCGGCAACGGACATGTATGGTCACACCTGACCCAGCCCGTTGTTTTGATTGGTGAGATTTCCACAGGGGCACTTCCCTGAACTTCTGCCGTTCTACCCGCCAATCCCACACAATGCAAACAGAAAGGAATCTGTAGATCTCTTTACATCATCAATTCTTCAACTGTGAATGGTGATTTGAATTATTTGAATTCTCTTTGGATGTCAAGTGCTCTGGTTCCGGCTTCTTTTTGCCCAAATATTAACGCCTAGACATGCCTAGACCACTTCGGACGGTCTGTGCTGAAACTTGAATCCGCTGGAGGTGGCCACCCTGACAGTTGCCGATGGCTTCACGCTTTCGGGTGGAAACTTCGATGCCTCTGCCAGTACTGGAACTTTTCAAACAGGCAGCGGCGCCATTTCCCTGAATGGCCCGACTCTGAGAGTCTCTGAGCACTTTACATCGTATGGTACACAGGAGAGACAGGCCTGTTTTAGAAACATAGCTTCAACATACTTCAACCAATAAACAATAAGTGTACGTTGCACGTATAACTGCAGAAGGGTTTCGGTAGGCGCACTCCCTCACAACACCACATTCATACCTGCAGATGTTCAGAATTTGTCGAGAACAATTTTGATTTGTGTACCTGGCTTGATGGAGATCTCAGGTGATGTTACAGCTGCTTCTGGCTTCACATTGTCAAGTGGCAACTTTGATGCTTCTGGAAGTACCGGGACCTTCAGTTGTATGTTTGAGCTTGGACATTCAACTGGCTTGTGCATCTGGTCCAACTGGTAGTGACCTATTCAAAATTCTTGAATAGTGCTGCCATCTGCCAGGTACCGGGACCTTCCAAACAAGCTCCGGCGCTGTGTCGGTGAACGGTGCAGTGAGCATGGCCCAAGGCAGATTCCTTTCTGAATTTCCTCATCATTTGTCGTATTTGTCGTCATCTGTCATTTCTAATATTTCTATCAGCTCTTTTCAGCCCTTTCAGATTTCAGTGCAGGCAGCTAGGTTGCAGCTAGGTTGCAGCATACCTGATGGTCATCTTTGGAGGATCTTTGGTTTTTGCGGCAGGCTTGACTATCACCAACGGAAACTTCGATGCCTCTGGGAGTACAGGCAAAGCCACACTTGCTAGTTGCCAAGACATGCTTGTCGCATCTTGTTTACGGCTTTTGTTTCACTTCTGGTCATCGAGAGGATGAGAAAGTATGGAGATGGACATGCGACTAAGATCAAAGGATGGGCAGATAGCTCATCATGTACTTTACGTTTTATCTTTACCTGCGATTTTGGGATCACAACAATTGCGACTGCCAGGTACATTTCAGACCTCCACCGGAGCTGTGAGTCTGAAAGGATCAGTGACCTGTGACAACGGCTTCACGCCGCTCTTCTGAGCTAATCAGTTTTTTGCCGCAAAAACAATAGGCCCAAAATGGCCACAATAGTATAAATAGCTAACCAATTCTGGTTCGCACTTCGTCACGAGTGCCGTTCTAAATTTGTCGCTAACCCTTGCAGAAAGTTCATGGAAGCTCATGAATTCTCGGCTGTTGCATGCAATGTCCGTGCTTGTAACGGCAACGAAAGGTCAGAGGAGGTTTTGAAAACTAAGAAGGGTCTGCATTTTGTTAAATTTTAAGTAAAGTAGGATGAAACACAATTAATCAGTGAATTTTTAGCACTGTATCTACGATGTCCGATATATAATCATATTTCGTAGCCATCGTGTTGTTCCCCACAACTTTGTGTGGGGTTCTTGTTTTTGATTCTGTATCCCGGGTCTGCTCCGCCTCCTCCTCCTCCTCCCGCCTCCCGCCTCCACCTCCACACATGTCACACGCACACACACACTCACACATACACAACTTTGTCACACCCCATCTCTCACATACCATAACTTCACACACACACACAAATTTAACATACAATAACTTCACACACAATAACACATACCATAACTTCACACACAAAAATTTAACATACCATAACTTCACACACAATAACTTCACACACAACTTTCTCACTGGCAGGCGTGGCACTCATGGCACTCCGTGGCGCGCTTGGGTCTGGTTTGGGCGCGCCCTGGTCGCGCGTGACGCCGTGGCATTTTTGCGTGGCAGGTGTGGCACAACGTTACATCCAAGTTTGTCACACGTCTATGGCCTGACAATGAGTCAACGAGTCTATGTCCACAGGAGCAAGAGCTTTGACCCAATGTGGGAAGAAGCGTGTGCAGATGCCTGGCGAACCGACACCTATGTGAATGTTCGCGACGCCTGTGTGTTTCAGAACTTTGTGGTTGCTTGACATCTTTGGAAAAACCTGCACAGTTAGCGTCATAACCATTGTGCTTGCCACTGTGACTGTGTCGTGCCTTGACAGGCATGCGCTCTGCACTTGTCTTCCACAATTGCATTGACAACCAGCTACATTCGTGTTCTACACTTTTGCGGCCAGGTACCTTTCCTCTATGTCATCATCGTCGGATTCGTGGCTGTAGGACAGGCGCGGCCGTCACGTAGCACATCTCGTTGCACCGCATGGAGCACAGAAGATCATGGAACACCTCATTCAGCCCATTCCAGGTCCGCAGTGCTGCCGCATGCAGAGCAGATCACATTGCAGCGCTGGCGAAAAAAAGATATCTGCACTGTCACGCGCTCACGTCACTTTCACACACACACACCATCTTTCACACGCAACTTTGTCACACACACATACATACATACATACGTACGTACGTACGTACGTACGTACGTACATACATACATACATACAAACTTTTGCAGTCAATTATGGGGCTTGGGATTTTGATTTGGGGACATCAATTTGGATCCTTTGAGCCCCATATTATACCCATACGAAATTATAGCTATGTATAAATATATTTATATATATGTATATAGGTACACGTATATGATTATATATATAACTATATAATATATATGTGTTCGTGTATTTGTATTTAGATCATGTGATATATATATATATATATGTCATGTGATATAATACCAACATATACTTCCTTCATACTAAATATAACTGATTAAAATATATTTAAGATAATAGAGAATAACACAGCATTCCCATCTCCGCAGACACACACACACCAAGAGGTGGTTCAGGGTGATAGATAGATATAGACAGTTGTATATATATATATGTGTGTGTGTGCCGAATTCATATTGAATCCGATGAAATATGTATACTCATAAGTATATATTCACATACATACATATATATATAATATATATATATATACGTATGTCAGACCTACAAACATATATATATATTTATATTTATTTATATTTACATATACACATATGTTTTTTCATACCTTCTCGGCCTTTTGGCTATGATCAAGTGTAGTATCTGTAGGCTCAAAGTGCACTAGGGTTTTTGTTTGGGACCCCCCGCTTGTTTTCCGTCTCCGCACCGCACTCCCATGGCGCCGCGTGAGAAGACCCGTGAGAAGAGTCGTACGCCCACAGAAAACAGAGCAAGACAGAAGCCAAAAGAAGAAGCACAAGAACCCAAGCCAAACAACGATGGGAAGGAAACAAAGACAGAAGAAGTTGAAGAAATGGAAGTTGACCCAGAAGCCAAGAAGAGACTAGAGTTCCAATCACCAGAATGCAAAGAACCACTCAGCACAGGTGAAGCCCCAGAACAGATTGCCAAGAAGCCACGAGCAACAGTTACTTTCCAAACACTCTCAGACAGTGATGAAGAATCTCAGCAATCCAAGGCAAGAAGCTCCAAAAGCCAACAGTCAGGCAGCGAAACAACAGAAACAACACAGATTACCAAAGCCACACGCAACATGGAACTGATGACCATGGAATCCCCCATCAGAACTGATGGCACAAAGACACCCCTGAGGAGACCTGAGGAGAAACGAAGAGAGAGAAGCGTCAGTCGCACATTAGACCACTCAAGCATCCCAGACACAAACGATGAACAGCTTCAGCGCGAAGAAGAAGCGCTACACAACAAGGCTTTGACAACAGATGACTTACAAGCAATCTTGAGAAGCGAACGTCACCGCAACAAGAGAAGAATTGAGCACCTACAAGCCACAGTCGACCATGTCCAAGACAACCTACAAGAAGCCATCTACGACATCGAAACCCAGTCCAGGATTGGTGCACACCTGGTATACAAGAGACTCCAAGAAGACGCAAAACAGGCCTCCCTTTCTTTCACAGTAGAAGGATTCCCCAAAGAAGCCACCCCCACAGACAAACACGCATTCATCAAATGGATCCTTGAAGCATCAGAATGCAATGATCCGGATGTCAAGGCCAGCTTAACAAACACCCGGGGAGAGATTAGTAACACCATCCTAGTGACGTTCTCATCGGGATGGCACAGGAACAAAACATTCCAGTGGTATACAGACCAGTACTCCCGCCGCAAACAACAGTTGTGGTGGTGGTCCCAAGCCACTGGACGTCAAACCCACAACCAAATCCGGATCCGAAAAACGCTGTCCGAAGATGCCCGAATCCGGGGCCGCTACCTCAAAGCCGCAATGGCTTGCATAGGAGACAACAGCCAACAACGCATTGACATCTACCCCGTTTGGGGCGAAAATGCTGTCAAAGAAACCAGCACTGGAGAGTATTTAGTATGGTGTCACTTCTCTTACCCCAATGCGACTTGCCAAGTCTTCATCCACAGTTCAGTGTTTGACCTCATCCATCCCTTTATGGAAACCAAAATTGAAGACCTATACTCAACAGCTGGCAGCAAAGGAAAAGGACGACAGAGCAGACCCCCAAACAAAGGCCGCGGCAAAGGCGCTTTCTCCAGCCTTGACACGCCATTTGATCCTAGAGACCCATTTTGGTTGAAGTTTATCAAAGTTACCAGCTGGAAAAAGGATGAGAAAGTTCGCTCAGCATTGCAGGACGAAGAGGACGCGAGATCGAAGTTTGAGATGGCCGAGGGTTGACTCAATATGAAAAAACTCTATGTGAAAAGACTCCATTTGAAGAAGCCTGATTCAGGATATACTCCATTTGAACAGTCTCAATTTGAACAGGCTCCTTTTGAACAAAGACCGCTCAAAGGTTTTTGGAATGCACACCACCAATCCGTGCGAAAAAGTTCCGCGCGCCGAATACATGTGAGTGGGCACCCCCAAAAAAGAAACGACCAAAATAAAGCCCGAAAGGGAAGATCATTTTATAATCACCCTACCTTCCAGAGGAGAGCCGGGTTGACAGCGCGAATGGTTTTTCCCATTCAGCAGCGTCATCAGAATGTGCACCCATGCCAAACTGCCCAACACAAAAGTAGCGTAAAAAGAAAAACCAGGAGAGGTAACCGAAACAGTGCTAAACAACGTGCCAAATTTGAACATTGGAGAAACCTTCGGAAAAATAATCGCAGGAACTGGCGTAAGTTCAAACAAATTGGCAGTACAGCAATGAGGAAAGTGGTTGCAGCCTCATTGTTGGGCACCGCAACTCAAGAACCTAGCCTGCTGAAGCAAACCCTCACACTTGAAGAATACAGATCGAATAAGTACGCTGACGGAGGAACGCTTGTACCAAATCAAGTTAACAAACTCTGCAAAAAGAAAAAAACTCAAACCATCTCCAAATGGATTGAGACATGCGAACTCCGCAACAAACGCAAAAGCCAACGTAGGTATAGTAGAATGATAAAACGGAGAGCAAACTATTTCATCAGCAAAAATGATGCCAGCCCATCCCCACCCCAACAGGGCAATAACAATAATTACCTACCCTATGCCCACAAATGGCGTATGGGCACGCTGAATTGCCGTGGGCTTAACGAGCAATCAAAACGAGAGCAAATTATGGAAATCATGCGTCAACTCAAAATTGATGTTTTGGCATTGCTAGAAACCAAAGTCAACCACTGCAGTGAAGAATGCCGTGTTAAAGAAGGTTCCAACGACCAGTACAGGTTCTTTTTCAGTTCCGCCAACGACACTCAGCGCCATATCGCGCAAGCGCCACAAGCCAAAGCCAAGGCCAAATGTGCGCAAAGAACTGAACACTGCGGGGTAGGATTTGTGATCGGTCCACGCTGTATTGACATTATTGCAGATTGTGTTCCTCATAATGGTCGTTTAATAGAACTGCACTTGCACAATAAAGGTCCAGACATATGCATTCTCAATCATTACGCGCCACATAGTGCAAAACCATCAGGGGAAAAGGATACACATTGGGGCCTGCTAACCCAAATCACTCAAGCACGCTCCTGCTGCATGCCTACATTTGTAGTTGGTGATGCAAATGCGCGCTTACATGGTCGCGCACATGAAATCGAGGAAACCGTCGTTGGTCCGCACGTTTTTGGCTGGGGCCAAGGTTTTGTAACAAGGCTTCCTGAAGAGCAACTTGAAAACCGTCAACTTATGATTGATTTTTGTATTGCAAACGATTTCATTATCTCCAATACTTTCTTCAACAAGGCCAATGAACACAAATGTACTTTCAAAGATGCCAGAACTGATGGCTTCAAAGCTCCTTGGACGCCTGACAGATTTGCCCAACTGGACTTTATTCTTGCGCCACAACGATGGAAAAATGCAGTCCTCGATGTCCACTCTTACACAAACATTGCCTTCAATAGTGATCATGCGGTGGTTGTTGCAGACATGCGCCTGAAACTACGCAAGCACAAAAGTAGAGGCAAAGCGGCCCAAAATGCAAAAAGATTTTTCCAACCAACCGACGCTCAGCTTCAAAGATATAATCAGCAGGTCCATTCTCAGTTCATTTTTAAGACCGGTACACTGGATGAGAAACTTAGTAACTGCTGCCGTTTTGTATCTCAGTTGCATAAGGCGGCGCTGGAAATCTTTGACGAAAAACATGTCGTACAAAATCGCGATTACCTTTCTCGTTATACCTGGCACTTAATTAATCAACGACAAATTGCTAGACAAAGGAGAGATACCCAAGCCGAGCAAGTCTTGAATCGTGAAATCAAGAAAAGTGCTAAAAGAGATAAAATACAATGGCGCATTAATAAGCTCGAAGATCTAACGGATATCAAAAATTCTTGGAAGCACATCAAATATGAAAAACGTGATTACATGCCCAAATTCTATGACATCAAAGACATCCGAGGAAATCGAGTCCCTCTATCAAAAAAAGCAGATGCAATTGCTGAATATTTGTTTGAAAAACAATGGGGGCCTACTAACCCATCACCCCCACCTGAGAATGCTCGAGAAAACGTGTTTTCCCACCCCCTACCTTTCTTTACAGGAAACCTCTCTGCAAATGAAGTTAGAAACGCGATCTCCAAACTAAAAACCAACAAAACGCCAGGACCCGATGGAGCAATCACAGAACTCTTCAAATGGCTTGATGATCACACATTGGAGCAGCTCACCGACTGCTTGAATGTTTTCTGGACTGAAAAACAAGTTCCTGATTCCTTTACCCAAGCACAAGTATGCTGTATATACAAAAAAGGTGCGCACGACAATCCTGAAAACTATCGTCCCATCTCGCTCCTGAACACCAGCTACAAAATTTTTGCAAGCATCATTCAAAGTCGCCTCGCAAACATCCTGGAGCCACTACTAGGGGACACTCAATATGGTTTCCGCCCCAAACGTTCCACTGCAGAACCACTTTTCTGCGTTCGCAGACTCGCGGATTTCGCTGAACAAGGCAACGGCCCTCTTTTTTTAATCTTTTTAGATTGGGGAAAAGCCTTCGATAAAATTGATCATGAAAAGATGTTCTTATCCCTTTCTAGACTACAGATTCCACCTAACATTCTTGACAATATTAAGAGTCTTTACTCGAACCCGACTTTCCAAGTCCTCCAATCTGACCATAGCAGCGATTGGCAAAAACAAAGAACTGGGATTCGACAAGGTTGCCCGCTTAGCCCCTACTTATTTATCCTCACGATGCACGTAATGTTTCATGATGTCAAAAATCAGTACCATGACCCCCTTCATAGCAAAACTTTCCAAGGCATAAATTTCCAAGAGCTGCTTTATGCTGATGACACACTTATCATTGCAAAAAATTCGGCAACAGCAAACGCTTTCCTTCATTTGATTGAAAAAGAATCCGAATACCTGCATCTTAAACTTAATCACGATAAATGCAATTACATCAAATTCAACGCACCACGAGGGAATATTCGTTTCAGAAATGACACCGAAATGAAACCAACCACAGAAGCAAAATACCTGGGCTCAGTGATCACAAATACGCCGAATCCGGCGCAAGAAATTCGGCGTAGAATCTCCAATACGATGCCAGTTCTCAAAAAGCTAGACATTTTTTGGAACAAAACCCGCTGTAACAAAAAGTGGAAACTGCTAGTCTACAATTCGGTTATAGTGAGCCGGGTGCTGTATGGACTGGAATCCCTTGAGCCTACAGAAAATATTGGTCGGATGCTCGACGTTTTCCAACTAAAAGGATTACGCAAGATTCTGAACTTACATACCACTTTCGTCAACAGAAACAACACACATGAGTTTGTTTACCAACAAGCAAATGATGCCTTAGAGGCCCCTTCAGTTGGTCCACTCCGAAAAATTAAACCGCTGACTGAGATCCTTGAGGACAAACGTTTGAAACTTTTGGGGCATGTACTCAGACGCCCAAGATCGCATCCTCAGCACCAAGTCACTTTTGATTCGTTCCTTGCCAGACCAAAAGTCCCTACACTGCGTAGGGTAGGCAGACCCAGAAAATTCTGGACAACAGAAAATATGCGCAAAGCTTGGGAAATTATCCAACAGGCTGACAACGCTCAACCACATGTTCCTTTTGATCCAGCTAACCGGACAATTCGCGAGACATTAATTGCTGCGGCGCGAAACTACCAAGCGCCTTTTGACTAGTTACCACCATCTCGTTTTCAACATTAACAAAAATAACGGTTTTTCTTTGCTGACTAAGGTAATCCGCCAGTGAACACACTCCTTTTGAACGTGCTCTGTTTGAACATGCTCTGTTGGAACGTGACTCTATGTGAATGCTGTTTTTAATTTTTTTTTAATTTAGGATCTCGCGAGGAAAGCTCATGGCAGTATATGACAGTTACACATATGCCACCACTCAATTTGAACATCTCTTTGTGAACCTCTCCATGTGAAGTGACAATTCTACATTTCAAACCTTCTTGCAATGCTACTTGATAGTTTGATGACCTGTTACTGATTCTGGATAATAAAAGCGTAGCCTGAAGTGAGAGCTATGATTGTACAGCGGTAGTTTCCTTTTAGTTTTCCTCTTGTCCATAGATTCTTCCGTTTCGTTTTGAACCTTGTTCACACAGCAGGACCTAGGGCCAACGGCCGCGTGCGTTCAGCAAAGGTGGCTTAGGCTAAAAAAAACATATGTTTTTTATGTGTCGGTGTGTACATACCTGGATAGAAACACATATATGTATATATGTATGATATTTATATTATATATATATATGTGGCAGGGTGATATTTCCCATACAAGATTTAATTCCCAAAAAACTTGAGAATATATATTGGAGGACCTAGAGTCCATCAATTAAACGGGGCATACTTTGAATTCAGTGTCCTGAAATTCAGGCTCACTCCAATCCTCTTCCATTGCATCCATTGCAGCTGGGTCAGTAACAAGCCAATGAGAGAAAATGCTGCAGGGACGCTCTGTTACTAAACTTATGAACTTCCGCCGAAAATCCATACAAATCAGCAGAACTCAGGCGCACATTTTGTGATGTTGAGTTCCGCCGAAAAAAAAAATCAGCAGAAATCCTAGGGAAAACCATTGAATCAGCAGAAGTCCACTACACATTTTGTGATGTTGAGTTCCGCCGAACCATAGGTCTGAATACTAAGTTCCGCTGAAAAAAAAAATCAGCAGATGTCAGGTGCATAATTTGTGTAGTGGAGTTCCGCCGAAAAACAAAAAAAAACATAGTCCGTAAAAAAAATGCAAGCGATCAAGGGGCAGAGGCCTCCAAAAGTTCCGCCGAAAAAAAAAAAAATCAGCAGAAGTCCGGTACACAATTTGTGTAGTGGAGTTCCGCCGACGGACAAAGTCCGTAAAAAAACAAATGCAACCGATCAAGGGGCACAGGCCCCCAAAAGTTCCGCCGAAAAAAAAAAAATCAGCAGATCTCAGGACGTCTCATGCCCCATAATCGTCCGCAACGGAAAAAAGGTCCACAAAGTCTGTAAAATAAGTTGCTGAAAAATTTAAGGTTTAGATCCTAACAAAATTGAACCTTTGACGGATTTGAGTTTTTTGGGGATTGTTACTATCTTGATTTGTTGGCTCTATGCACCTTTACTATAGTTCAAAAGGCATGTGTCTGGTACCATTTTCGGTCGCTGCTGCCTCCATATACCCACTTAATCCCAATTAGATCCTGAATATGTAAAATGCAATCACTTTAAAGTTGTTTGATCTGGGATCCCATTGAACAGAATTTCGATTTAGGAATGATGTTATTTCGAAATTTGGACTGGACATCCTTTTGCATCAATAGAATTGGAAAAGGGTTTGAAAGAACATGGTTCCCAATTAGCGGCTAAAGGGCTAAAGGGTCCCAATTGGTTAAATAAGAATTGCGGGCCAATGATCTCATTGGTCGAAGGAATCTTAGTTGTCGGCATGGTCATATCTTAACAATCTTAGCAGGCTACCTGTATTAACATCAAAACCTTTCAAAGGAAGGGTTGATTTAGGTTGATTTATGTAAAGAAAAAGGTCCATGAAACCACATGTGGAAGACCCATAATCCAGGTCCAGAGCCCCATAATCGATTGCAAAAGTTTATACATACATACATACATACGTACGTACGTACATACATACATACATACCTACCGTTTTACCTTCTCGATCTTTCACCACCTCCTTTGTCTTTCCTTCCTTCCCTGTCCCCGCTAAAACCATTGAAGCTCATTATTGGAAGAAGTTGACTTGTGGGGTTATCCGGTCCTTTAATTTTTTGTTCAACGATGTTCTGAGGCTCTCCTCTGGCAGCTTCGATGCATCTGCGAGCACGGGCGCCTTCTCCACAGGCTGTGGCACCATGTTTCCACGGAGTCTCCAAAAAACTCGGAGCAAACGGAACGTCTATAGAACTTCCTTCCATTTCTTTCCTCATTTTCCTCTTTCGTTCCTCCTTTCTATTCTTTTCCAGTTCTCCAACATTCTTTGGCTTAGGGTTTCATGATGTTTTTTGCTGAGGGTCTGACTGGGAAGTCCAAACCCGTGGAAAAACTGAAGGCCAAAATATCCTTCAGCAGTTGCACATCGATATGGGTTGTTCTTTGGATATTCTCGGGTGTTTCAGAGAGGTTCTATACTGCACACAGGAATTGCTCTTCAATGCTTGCAGGCTGTTTCTGTTTCCTCATGTCTGTTTCGGGTTTTGGTGCGATTTAGTTAGGATTCTCTTGGATTGTGCTAGGGCACGCTAGGATATTGTGGTTGGATATTGTTAGGGTTGGGGTGAAGTCTTGTAGGGGTTGTATGGGAGTTTGTTAATTTTGGATTGGTATCCCTTGGAAAATCAATGGTATTCACCTGGTATTCTCTTGGGAGTCTTGAGGGGCTGAGTGAGGTTTCAGTGGAGTTTTCAAGGTTTCATTGGTTCTTCGAGCGTTCTTGTGGGTATGTGCTGGGAAACCGATAGGCCTAGAAAAGATAAAAGCGATCTTAAGAAGAGATCTGCCTATCAGCAAGATTGAGGAGCTTCAAGACCAAGACGTAGGGAGCTTCTGATAATCGTTGATGATCATTGCTTTTCGATTCCTCAGTTTGCATTTGATTGGATGCTCGATTATGTCTGACCAGAGCCTGTTGCTCAAACCATGCACGACCAGCTGCAGCAGCAGCAGCAACAGGAGCCGCTGCTGCAAACGCAGCAGGCTGGTGACTGGAGCCATGGCTGCACGCCGCAGGTGGCGGACTCTCTGGTGTGTGATAGCCAAAGACACGCACCACCAATCCGTATCGTGAGCTGTGGCAACAGCAAGGCACGCCGAGCAGGCTGTAAGAAGTCCGAGCTGATGCGTCTCGTGTGGCTAATGCCAGACTAGCAGCGCGCCGACCCCAGTGGGACTGACGCGGCACTTTCACCCGCCAGACGCGCACAGGGCATGGCGAATGCAAGTTTCAGTAGGTTCAGACTAGAGCCACACCACAAGCTGTTCCCTGGGACGAGAGCTCAAACGAGCTGCTGCAGCTGGAGAGGAAGACACAATGGCTGCGAGGCAGTCCCTGGTGCCAGCATGGTACCATATGATATGAGAGGCAGCCGGTGGCGATAAGAGGCTATGGTGTTCAGCATGTTCCTTCAGCAATGGCACTGATGGGAATCTTAGCGGAGAGCGAGAAGCGGAACAGGCTTGTGGACAGCTGCAGCAGCTTCAGGGTGAGAAGGCGCTCCTCTCCGAGAAGGCCAGAGCTGTCGCTGCAGAGCGACATGCTGCTGAGATGAGAGATGTAGTTCATGTGCTCAAGGAGCATGTGCTCAAGGCTCAGACTGGACGCAGCTGCACCAGCAACAGCAGCTGCTCCAGAAAGGCCTGGACTCCCAACAAGCCATGTATGCACCTTGGCAGATTTGGAGAACGGATGTTGTTCATATGGGAGATATTGGGGGGCCTTCTGGGAGTTAGCCATTGATGACTTTTACCCCAACACGATGAAAATTGGTGACACTTTCGTGGTTTTCACGATTGGAGCATTACTCACCAGTCGAGTTTTTGCTGAGAGGGGTGCTAAATTCATCTAAATTCTATCCCGCTGGTGACCCTTTCATGGTTTTTGTCAGCTGACGGATGCAATGATCCAGAATTAATTGAGGGAGTGCCGAATGCTTTGTGGCATCACTTTCTGGACGGAGAATGCTTCAGAAGGATGGAGCATACTAAATCATACTAAGGGTGGCAAGATCCCCGATGCAGCCTACCTAGGTGAAAACTACCTGAGACAGTTGTCATTTAAAAAAAATGAACAACAACACCCAGTACGACAGCCTGGTCAGGGAGTTCAAGCAGCAGGCCAAAACGAAGCTCAGAAAGTTTGCTGAAGGTGGGCTCCGCAGCATCCACGGGGCATTTCATCTAAAAACTTCACGGATAAGGACATAGAATTTGCCCAGCAGCAGGAGCTGGTCCAGGTGGTAGCTCTCATGTCGCCACCCACGACGCTCAGAGCCTTGCTGGTGGACAACTGTGTTCACCGTCAGCTCCGACGCACAGGCGTTCAGAATCCAGCTACACCACAGAACTCCAAGGAAGTCTACCTGCCTGGTACGGTGGCACTGGCAATGAACCTGCTGCGGAAGGCCAGCAAAATGGATGATGCTGAGCTTCAACAGCAGGGAAAGCAGTCAAGGGGAAGAGGCTATACGAGTGCGGCCGGGAAAGTGACCTGACGAAGTTCAGGAGGAAATGGCCATGAGCGCCATGCAAGTACAGATGTTGCATTTTGCCATGGACCCTCAAACCTTGCCGGAAGGCAAGAGGCCTCGAACAGCGTGGGGGAAGTAAAACGATCATGTATTATAATGTTGATGGTGGTGGTGGTGGTGATGATGATGATGATGATGTTGATGATGATGTTGAGGATGATGATGGTGATGTTGATGATGATGATGGTGGTGATGGTGATGGTGATGATGATGGTGATGATGATGGCGATGGTGATGATGATTGTGATGATGATGTTGATGATGATGGTGATGTTGATGATGGTGATGGTGATGATGATGATGATGATGATTGATGATGATGATGGTGATGATGATGATGATGTTGGTGAGAGGAAGATGATGATGTGGATGTTGAGGAGAAGGAAGAGGATGATGTTGAGGAGGAAGGCCGATCCCAAGACCGGGAAGCGCACTTTGTGCGAGCCCGCGCGGCCGAAATGCACATGGACATGTCACAAGGGCCATTGTGTGGAAATTTACAGGAAAAGTGCCGGACGCTTATCCCGGGGCAAGCATTTTGTGCGAGCCTGCGCGGTCGAAATGCACATGGACATGTCACAAGAGGCATTTTGGGCGGAAATTTACAGGGAAAATGCCGGACGCTTCCGATACCACCTCGGTCGAACACCGGGCCTTAACTGTTACCGTAAGAACCCCTCAGTGTGGCCACACTGTTGGGGAAAAAACAGATTTCGTCAAGAGTGCACGTTCATGCGCTCAAGTTGCTGGTGTCTCAATCACAGTTGTCACCATGTTTCTGTTTGATGTCTCTTGTGTTTGTAGGTTCGAACATGTTGGAACACGTGATCATGAACATGTTGTGAACATGTTGCTGTTGGTTGTTGCCCATTTTGTTTGTCTCACTTTCCGACGACGCTCCCACCTCGTGTCCCTTTGGGAGGATTATGACTCTGAAATTGTGTCATGTCGCGTGATGTCTGTTCATTGTGAAATATGATTCGGCGTGCGGTGGGAGGCAGTGGGAGTGTCACCTTCAACGGACCGGTCTCCGTGACCGGAACCAACACCTTCACGGTGGGCACTGCTGGCAGTGGAGGTGCTGGTCATGCTGGTCACGCAAAAAGTTTTCACAGATGCCGAGTATTATGCCCGACATGCTCGACACATTCAGGAAACGTCCAACGTGGCTGCCAAAGCATGAAGTCATTAGACTCCGTAGACTCCATAGACTGCGTAGATCTGCGTAGACTGCATAGACTGTCATAGACGGTCTTTTAGTGGATGTTCTGGACAAAAGTTTTTGGAATAGATTGCCCTGATTGAAGCAGGTGCTACCCGACTGTATGGAGATGTTACCGTCTCTTGCTCAATGTGTTCCTCACTGACAGAGATTAGGCATCGAATGCTAGGCTCTGGCTAGTGAATTGCAGCTACAGGTCTCAATCTCTGGTGTCCCAAAAGTGGTTTAATGTGTCAGCACTTCCAGCTTTTGATTCCAGCATTGACATGTTCAGCTCTTTTGGACAGGAGCGATTGCATGTCAAGCAAGCATTTGACACGTTTCAGTTTTTTCCTGGCACACTGCCACTTGCATACTGCACAGCCCAACGTGTTCGGCTGGGATCCCTACCGAGAAGATCACTTGTTACTGTTCAAATCCGATGTAAGCTTGGGCGGTGTACACCACTGAACCCTAAAAATCGGAACAGTGTTTGATACTTTGCACTTTTTTGCACCCATGGCGCTTCTCAGACTGAAATGTACCGGTATTGTCTGTTCCTCCAGATTCCATGCGAAAACTGAGGTGGGCGGAGCCAGTGCTGGGCAGGCAGGGCCTCCGACATGTGTTTGTGTATTGATGCTGTGTCAGTTCCAGTTCTTCCTTTCTTGCATGGCCATGGATTGCTTGATTCTCAATTGTCTTGGGCATGGTGTGCCTTTTTCCCACTTTTGCAAGGCAGCTGACATCGACGTGCTCCTTGGATGATACTTATGTTTAGAACACATGATACCCAGAACATCTCACAGAAAAGGCTCGAGATACAAAGGAACCAATTTAGGAAATTCTGCAGAAGACGAGAGCATCTATGATGGTACAGAAGGAAGCAAACTGCCATGAAGGGCATGGAAAGCTAGTTTATTAGGTGTCGTGGTCTTGTCTTTCCTTTCTGTTTCCAAAGTTGCCATCCTTTGGTGCTATGTTTGATTGTGTCCGAACTCAACAATGCTTTATAATGCACCTACTCTTACAGCTGTCTCTCGACCTGAATCTGCAAGACATGAGCGAGGTTGTGGCCATTCCACAACATAGCCATTTTGAGATATTTTGAGCGCATAGGGTCATTGCCTATGATTGGGGGGACCATGAACAAATCAGATTGGCTTCACAGAGACAGGTTTGGTGCCTTCAGACGGTCTCCAAGCTGCATCAAGTGGCAAGTGGCACTCAAGACTGTGCGGACTCCTGTGAACTCTGCATTTCCCCTCTGGCCCTCCACTCTGACAGAACTTTGACAGGTATGACCACGACAGTGCTCGCAACGTCATTTCAAGCGCCAGTGACGGGGTCACACTCAAGGGCACTTTGTCTTTGCCGCTTGCCTCACTTCATTTGGCGCTAAAGTCATCATCAATAAAAGGCAGAAGGAACCCTAATGCATCCTAATGCAACCAACGCGCTTCACGAGGGAATTGGTGTGCAATGCATGTTGTTTGTTGCTGCAGGGATGGCGGAACAACAGTGTCCAGTGGCAACAACCTTGCCATTGCCACCTATGGCACCATTGCGAAAGCCTCAGTATTTTGAGTTACTTTGAGTCTTTCAATATATTTGAATATTTTGGCGTTTTGATGCACATTGCCTGCGATTCTCAAATTGAGGCACTATAGATTTTAGACTCTTATAGACAGTGCTTTGTTGATGTTGTGTGTATGTGCATTGCTATCAAGTGTTTGTCAGCTGTCATGTTGGAACTGTATTTATCGACAAGTCCCGCGAACAATATATATATATAGTTATATATATATAAATATATAGTTATATATATATAGTTATATATATAGTTATATACATATATACATACACACTGCTGCTTGAGACATTTATTCTTAGAAGATCATGTGCTGTCTGAAAGCTCAGCTGAAGCATTTTGAAGCGTGCCATGCCAAGTATGTTTACACAGGATTCCTCAGAGAACAAGACAAATGCCATTTGAATTTGACTCCCAGCCTACTACATGCTACTACCAGGTTTTTTCAATCTAGGCTGAGTCTTTCCAGGCCGGAACAGTGATCTAAGGTCTGCGATGCAAGCACCGGAGGTTACACAGCCGTTTGTAGAGCAACATAGGGAGCGGCAAGAGCTGGTTCGAAAGCGTTCGAAGGTCAATTCATGACCCATTCATGACCCCTGTGTTGCAGAAGGTCGTGGTCTCCAGCGTTTCCTCTCGAGTTGCACATAGGTTCAGAATGGTTCAGGCATGATCGAGGTTATTCCTTGAGATCCGGCAGTCAAAGGCACTGCTCTCCGAGCATTTGTTCTATTGGCCTCGGACTATTCGATCTGTAAAGCAGACCGACAAGACTGGCCTCTGCGAAAAAGAACAACTAATTATACAGGGTCGGTGTTCTTTGATTTCAGCATTTAACCTTTTACTGTTATCAAGCTGCACTTGATCCACACACTTGCCAGTACCTTCTACCCGAAAGGATCCCAAAGGCGAAAGGCGCTTTGCAAGTAGCTTTCCGACAGAGACAGTTTGAACGGATGCAATTCTGATTAGGCATATCGATCAACCATTCGACTCATCCCATTTTGATGTGTATTCACCGAACAGTTTCCACAGAGTTCGCTTACAATTTACAATCGTAGACCAACAGTCTGATGGCGTGATGCTGTAAGGTTGCCTAGATATGCTAAGCATGGTTTCCTTCAGGTTGAGCCAAGTGATCGTTACAAAGTGATCAGAATGTGCTTGATGTTTGCGCGTGTACACGATGCAGTGGTGCTATGTTTGCTTCATTCGATTCGTTTGTTTGTATGTTGCACTCAAATCAAATGGCAGTTCGATGGTGCCTTGTGTTAGACGGTTGGCAGCACGAACATTGGATACCTGGACGCCTTGTTCTAGTATGTTCTAGTATGTTCTAGTCAGTATGTGACTATGTCTCAGGCTTGATCGGACAATACCATCTAAAGTATTGCAACAAAACTCCTGTTATGTCAGATGAAATCGCATAGTATCATATAGTTTCATATAGTTTCACAAAGTATCAGATAGTTTCGTACAGTAGCATATAGTAGCATGTTATATATACATAGTTTCGTACCAAAATTTATATATATATATGTCTCTATATATATATATACAAAAAGTATAAATGTCAAACACCATATTAGATCGGATGCTTGTGTTTGCGTATCATTGCCACGACAGTCTCTTCACTTGTCTAGTGCAAACATTTGAAAGGTGTGGCGGGTGACCTTGAAAGATGCAAACAAGTGCTCTACATGGCTCTACCAAGATGGCTTGTCAGGCTGCAGGGTTGTGCTTTGCCGAAACTATTTGCCCGCAGCTGATTTGATACCAAAGACTTGAGGTTTAGGGCTGAATAAGGCAGTCTACACTTTGCATTGCGGCAATAATGTTGATACTTTGAAACAATGCCCGACGAACTGAAGGTGTCGTTCTGGAACAAATGCGAAAAAAGCGATCATCAGACATGCCGCACATGCCTCACAAATGTCAAAGCCGAAGCATCCCTTTCTAAGCAGATTCAAACAGATATATTATCGAAGGAAGTCTAGAAGTCAAACTTCCGACAATATGGACAGATGAAAAGCAGAGATGGGAAGAGTCAGAGAAGAGAAGAGAATAAGAAAGAAGATCGAAAAAGAGAAAGTCTCAGAAGAAAGAAGATCCAGGTGCGCGAAAAGGTAGGAAAGTTGCGAAACACTGTGTTTTTCCAATGATTTGTGGGTTCGGAGGGTCGAAAAGTAGGCTCGCTAAAGCGGCGGGTGCGGAGCCAGCTGGCCAGAGGGGAGATGAACAATTGCACGCCGCTGTGGCGCGAAACACATTTCCAAGTCAAAATGTACAAAACATACCAACGTCGGACCACTAATTACATTTCACTACATTACACTACACTACAGCTACAACTACAACTACAACTACATAAGATTACACTAGACTACACCAATTGCATTACACTACGCTACACTACACCACACCACGTGACACTACACTACACTAACTACAACTACACTAACTACAACAACACTAACTACAACTACAACTACAACTACACTAACTACAACTACACTAACTACAACTACAACTACAACTACACCTACAACTACAACTACAGCTACAGCTACAACTACAATACACAACATTGCGCTACACTGCAACTACAACTACAAGTACAACTACACTACACTGATGGCATTACACTAGACTAGACTACACTACACTACACAACACACTACACTACGCAACACACTACACTAGGCAACACACTACACTACGCAACAGACTACACTACACTACATTACACTACCCTTTGCTACACTACACTACACCACACTACACCACACCACAGCACACTACACCACACTACACTACACTCAATTACACTACGCTACCCTACCCTACAGTACATTACATTACGCTACACTCATTACACCACCACCAATGCAACTGCAACTACACTACACTAATTGCACTACACCACAACTACAACTCCACTACACTACAACATACTACAACTACAACTACAGCTGCACTACACCACACTACATCCAGCAGTTGTGGGTGAGGTGACCGACCAGGTGATCACTGCAACCAGTAGAGCCACTCCAAAAAACGCAACTCCAACCACCTTTCCGTCCCTCAATGGATTCGCTCTGCCATCCATGATTCACAACAACCAACCTCTCCTATAGGTTTCCTATTTTTGAAACTTCCGCCACCGCCTTGCGCGGTACTACTGGTATACAGATGAAAGAAATCAATCAGAATCAATCGGTTCAGTTTTCCGAGGGCTGCCGGTGCTGTTCTGGAACAATTGCGAAATTATTTGTCATCGAGACATGCCTCACAAGTATTCTTAAGTCATCATTATCTATCATAACCATTCGTTAATTCTACCGGGTCTGACATTTTTGGACGCCTTTTGGAGAGGTCACGCAATATGGTAGCTCCTTGGATGGTTTGACTGTCCCAAGCAAAGGCTACTCAGCTCATTTTGGGGCAGGCCATGGACATATTCCTTCGAACACATGAAAAAGTTGATCCTATGGATCCTATGGGTGGTCATCGACATAGCAAAGCCTGCCAGCGGCGATCTTGCACATGGACCAGCCGTGACAGCAGTATGCATTGGGGGGGTCATGAAACGAGGTGATACTGTGGTTGACAATGCGGATTCTGCCGAAGGCAAATTTCAAGGGCACTATAAGTTTGAATTGCTGGACAGATTTGTGTTTGAAGTCTTGAATGCAGACGCGTTTTTCCACGTAACTGCACCACACAACTATGTGGCCTCAGATCGTCTCAAAAAGTATATAGCAACTTCAGATCGAGTGCGCGCTTTTCAGTTGGATAATCGGTCGCACCCTCTTGCATTTGCTGAACGCTTACGTCGTGGACACAGAAACAAGACGTTCCTGCCATATCGAGTACAAGGTCGTTCACCTGGGTCTCCCTTCAAGAATCAATACTTGAACGAACAGTGGGCAGAATGCATGCATGCTGTTCGGGCTGCCGAACAGACAAGAGGTTTTGAGTACACCTACGTAGCCTTTGCGCGTATTGATCTTGCATGGCAAGCTTACCACCCCAGCTTACAGATGCTAGAAGCCACAAAATGTGAGAATTCCACCACTGTTTGGGCTGTGGCTGATGATGATTGGGGTGGGGTCATGGACAAATACTTGATCATGGAAAGACCTGGTGCTGCCATAATTGAAAGCTTTGCTGACGTCTTAAACTCTTTCGATAAGTTGGAAGCCGTTTATCGCATTGTGAGAGCGCAGACTTCTGTATCTGCTTCTTTGCCCTGGAACTACGAACGTTTCTTGCTACACACTCTACGAGCTGCCGGGCGGTGCATCCGCTACATGGTGCCAGTTGTCGGTCACAGGCGGCTTTCAGTGGTTTTTGGAGACATTTTGCACGAGGGCGGCACATGGGAGGTTACACCTGCCGATCCCTACCTGAAGATGGGCTGGTGTCGATATCTTCCCAAATATTGTTGCGGTGGAAGGAGAGAAGATTTTGGTGGTGATCTCTCGCGTTTGCACAACTTGTGGAGGTCTCACGGACGTTGTAGACGCCACCGAGCTTTGGTGCAAGTGCCACGGTTCCCGGGGGAGTTTGTGGGGTTTCGGGGTTCCAGATTGAATCGGATAGAAACTGCAACTTCTGAGAGGTGCCATCTTCCAACGGAACAACTCCGAGCGTGTTGCCAGCAACCACACGTCCACCTCACCCTTCGGCCCTCCAAACAAACAATCCAAAAATGGTCTATGTCTCCTGATGATGTGGATCCAGAGATAGCTTCAACGCATGAATCGAGGTGGCATTGTTTGTCCGAGTTTCCTTTTTTGATTGCCGACAACAGAAAGAAACCATGGAATCTCATTGGCGCAGCGCACTGCTATGACTTGAATTTGCTTTGACTCACGATCACAGTCGAAGCCGAAGCTGTAGCTGTACAAGTTGAACAAGTTCGCCATGATTGACTCAGAATATCTCAGAATCATTCACCATGATTCACCACGCAATTCCATATATTCCATGTCGCAAGCCGAATGGCAAAAGGGGCCATTTGGAGCAGCTGCTCGGGCTTGTCCTCTTCGATTGTTCCATATCATTTCAGACATGTTCAGACCAAGCCCTTTTGTTTCCACATGTCATGAATTCTTGTTGTTTCAGGGTTGTGGAGTCTGCCTATTTCCAACAGGGTGAGGCTCAAGATGTTGTTTAAACAACATGCAAGTCGACGGGAAATGGATCGGGAACATTCCGGAGTTCTATTTCTATTGATTTCAGCTGATCTTAGCAAATTGAAGAATCTGCTCCTCGCAGCATTCTGCTGGGTGATAGCTTGCTTTGTGTCCTCTCTTCAAAACACCAGAACAGCACAGAAGCGCTTTGGTCCCTGCAGTTGAAAGCAATATTTTTCAATATTGGCCTATACAATCAATCAAGCATACATGCAATAACAACAGCCACGCATCAATCATGCAATCAGCTCAGAAATCCCTGCCTTCCGTCACGAATTCGGATTGCGGGCCACTTCTCGGTCCTGTCCTGTGATGATCTTACCGGATCCGTTTGCAGAGCCAGACATTACTCGAATGCGATGGAATGCGATGAAACTTTCCATGGAACTCTTGAGATCTCTTGAGATGTTCAATGTCAAACTGAGGATTGCATAATTCATGATGCCGGTGCCAGGCCAGAGCGGGTGATAGAGTCGAAATGCACATGGACATGTCACAAGAGGTGGTATACCACCTCGGTCGAACACCGGGCCTTAACTGTTACCGTAAGAACCCCTCAGTGTGGCCACACTGTTGGGGAAAAAACAGATTTCGTCAGGAGTGCACGTTCATGCGCTCAAGTTGCTGGTGTCTCAGTCACAGTTGTCACCATGTTTCTGTTTGATGTCTCTTGTGTTTGTCGGCTTGAACATGTTGGAACACGTGATCATGAACATGTTGTGAACATGTTGCTGTTGGTTGTTGCCCATTTTGTTTGTCTCACTTTCCGACGACGCTCCCACCTCGTGTCCCTTTGGGAGGAACCTTTATGACTCTGAAATTGTGTCATGTCGCGTGATGTCTGTTCATTGTGAAATATGATTCGGCGTGCGGTGGGAGGCAGTGGGAGTGTCACCCTCAACGGACCGGTCTCCGTGACCGGAACCAACACCTTCACGGTGGGCACTGCTGGCAGTGGAGGTGCTGGTCATGCTGGTCATGCAAAAAGTTTTCACAGATGCCGAGTGTTATGCCCGACATGCTCGACACATTCAGGAAACGTCCAACGTGGCTGCTAAAGCATGAAGTCATTAGACTCCGTAGACTCCATAGACTGCGTAGATCTGCGTAGACTGCATAGACTGTCATAGACGGTCTTTTAGTGGATGTTCTGGACAAAAGTTTTTGGAATAGATTGCCCTGATTGAAGCAGGTGCTACCCGACTGTATGGAGATGTTACCGTCTCTTGCTCAATGTGTTCCTCACTGACAGAGATTAGGCATCGAATGCTAGGCTCTGGCTAGTGAATTGCAGCTACAGGTCTCAATCTCTGGTGTCCCAAAAGTGGTTTAATGTGTCAGCACTTCCAGCTTTTGATTCCAGCATTGACATGTTCAGCTCTTTTGGACAGGAGCGATTGCATGTCAAGCAAGCATTTGACACGTTTCAGTTTTTTCCTGGCACACTGCCACTTGCATACTGCACAGCCCAACGTGTTCGGCTGGGATCCCTACCGAGAAGATCACTTGTTACTGTTCAAATCCGATGTAAGCTTGGGCGGTGTACACCACTGAACCCTAAAAATCGGAACAGTGTTTGATACTTTGCACTTTTTTGCACCCATGGCGCTTCTCAGACTGAAATGTACCGGTATTGTCTGTTCCTCCAGATTCCATGCGAAAACTGAGGTGGGCGGAGCCAGTGCTGGGCAGGCAGGGCCTCCGACATGTGTTTGTGTATTGATGCTGTGTCAGTTCCAGTTCTTCCTTTCTTGCATGGCCATGGATTGCTTGATTCTCAATTGTCTTGGGCATGGTGTGCCTTTTTCCCACTTTTGCAAGGCAGCTGACATCGACGTGCTCCTTGGATGATACTTATGTTTAGAACACATGATACCCAGAACATCTCACAGAAAAGGCTCGAGATACAAAGGAACCAATTTAGGAAATTCTGCAGAAGACGAGAGCATCTATGATGGTACAGAAGGAAGCAAACTGCCATGAAGGGCATGGCAAGCAAGTTTATTAGGTGTCGTGGTCTTGTCTTTCCTTTCTGTTTCCAAAGTTGCCATCCTTTGGTGCTATGTTTGATTGTGTCCGAACTCAACAATGCTTTATAATGCACCTACTCTTGCAGCTGTCTCTCGACCTGAATCTGCAAGACATGAGCGAGGTTGTGGCCATTCCACAACATAGCCATTTTGAGATATTTTGAGCGCATAGGGTCATTGCCTATGATTGGGGGGACCATGAACAAATCAGATTGGCTTCACAGAGACAGGTTTGGTGCCTTCAGACGGTCTCCAAGCTGCATCAAGTGGCAAGTGGCACTCAAGACTGTGCGGACTCCTGTGAACTCTGCATTTCCCCTCTGGCCCTCCACTCTGACAGAACTTTGACAGGTATGACCACGACATTGCTCACAACGTCATTTCAAGCGCCAGTGACGGGGTCACACTCAAGGGCACTTTGTCTTTGCCGCTTGCCTCACTTCATTTGGCGCTAAAGTCATCATCAATAAAAGGCAGAAGGAACCCTAATGCATCCTAATGCAACCAACGCGCTTCACGAGGGAATTGGTGTGCAATGCATGTTGTTTGTTGCTGCAGGGATGGCGGAACAACAGTGTCCAGTGGCAACAACCTTGCCATTGCCACCTATGGCACCATTGCGAAAGCCTCAGTATTTTGAGTTACTGTGAGTCTTTCAATATATTTGAATATTTTGGCGTTTTGATGCACATTGCCTGCGATTCTCAAATTGAGGCACTATAGATTTTAGACTCTTATAGACAGTGCTTTGTTGATGTTGTGTGTATGTGCATTGCTATCAAGTGTTTGTCAGCTGTCATGTTGGAACTGTATTTATCGACAAGTCCCGCGAACAATATATATATAATTGTATATATATATAAATATATAGTTATATATATATAGTTATATATATATATAGTTATATACATATATACATACACACTGCTGCTTGAGACATTTATTCTTAGAAGATCATGTGCTGTCTGAAAGCTCAGCTGAAGCATTTTGAAGCGTGCCATGCCAAGTATGTTTACACAGGATTCCTCAGAGAACAAGACAAATGCCATTTGAATTTGACTCCCAGCCTACTACATGCTACTACCAGGTTTTTTCAATCTAGGCTGAGTCTTTCCAGGCCGGAACAGTGATCTAAGGTCTGCGATGCAAGCACCGGAGGTTACACAGCCGTTTGTAGAGCAACATAGGGAGCGGCAAGAGCTGGTTCGAAAGCGTTCGAAGGTCAATTCATGACCCATTCATGACCCCTGTGTTGCAGAAGGTCGTGGTCTCCAGCGTTTCCTCTCGAGTTGCACATAGGTTCAGAATGGTTCAGACATGATCGAGGTTATTCCTTGAGATCCGGCAGTCAAAGGCACTGCTCTCCGAGCATTTGTTCTATTGGCCTCGGACTATTCGATCTGTAAAGCAGACCGACAAGACTGGCCTCTGCGAAAAAGAACAACTAATTATACAGGGTCGGTGTTCTTTGATTTCAGCATTTAACCTTTTACTGTTATCAAGCTGCACTTGATCCACACACTTGCCAGTACCTTCTACCCGAAAGGATCCCAAAGGCGAAAGGCGCTTTGCAAGTAGCTTTCCGACAGAGACAGTTTGAACGGATGCAATTCTGATTAGGCATATCGATCAACCATTCGACCCATCCCATTTTGATGTGTATTCACCGAACAGTTTCCACAGAGTTCGCTTACAATTTACAATCGTAGACCAACAGTCTGGTGGCGCGATGCTGTAAGGTTGCCTAGATATGCTGAGCATGGTTTCCTTCAGGTTGAGCCAAGTGATCGTTACAAAGTGACCAGAGTGTGCTTGATGTTTGCGCGTGTACACGATGCAGTGGTGCTATTTTTGCTTCATTCGATTCGTTTGTTTGTATGTTGCACTCAAATCAAATGGCAGTTCGATGATGCCTTGTGTTAGACGGTTGGCAGCACGAACATTGGATACCTGGACGCCTTGTTCTAGTATGTTCTAGTATGTTCTAGTCAGTATGTGACTATGTCTCAGGCTTGATCGGACAATACCATCTAAAGTATTGCAACAAAACTCCTGTTATGTCAGATGAAATCGCATAGTATCATATAGTTTCAAATAGTTTCACAAAGTATCAGATAGTTTCGTACAGTAGCATATAGTAGCATGTTATATATACATAGTTTCGTACCCAAATTTATATATATATATGTCTATATATATATATTAACAAAAAGTATAAATGTCAAACATCATATTAGATCGGATGCTTGTGTTTGCGTTTCATTGCCACAACAGTCTCTTCACTTGTCTAGTGCAAACATTTGAAAGGTGTGGCGGGTGACCTTGAAAGATGCAAACAAGGGCTCTACATGGCTCTACCAAGATGGCTTGTCAGCTGCAGGGTTGTGCTTTGCCGAAACTATTTGCCCGCAGCTGATTTGATACCAAAGACTTGAGGTTTAGGGCTGAATAAGGCAGTCTACACTTTGCATTGCGGCAATAATGTTGATACTTTGAAACAATGCCCGACGAACTGAAGGTGTCGTTCTGGAACAAATGCGAAATCAGCGATCATCAGACATGCCGCACATCATGCCTCACAAATGTCAAAGCCGAAGCATCCCTTTCTAAGCAAACAGATATATTATCGAAGGAAGTCTAGAAGTCAAACTTCCGACAATATGGACAGATGAAAAGCAGAGATGGGAAGACTCGGAGAAGAGAAGAGAAGAAGAAAGAAGATCAAAAAAGAGAAAGTCTCAGAAGAAAGAACATCCAGATGCGCGAAAAGGTGGGAAAGTTGCGAGTTGCGAAACACTGTGTTTTTCCAATGATTTGTGGGTTCGGAGGGTCGAAAAGTAGGCTCGCTAAAGTGGCGGGTGCGGAGCCAGCTGGCCAGATGAGAGATGAACAATTGCACGCCGTTGTGGCGCGAAGCACATTTCCAAGTCAAAATGTACAAAACACACCAACGTCGGACCACTTTTGGAAGTTGAGATGTCGAAAAAGTACACGCCGTTGTGGCGCGAAGCAACTACACTACACTAATTGCACTACACCACAACTACAACTCCACTACACTACAACATACTACAACTACAACTACAGCTGCACTACACCACACTACATCCAGCAGTTGTGGGTGAGGTGACCGACCAGGTGATCACTGCAACCAGTAGAGCCACTCCAAAAAACGCAACTCCAACCACCTTTCCGTCCCTCAATGGATTCGCTCTGCCATCCATGATTCACAACAACCAACCTCTCCTATAGGTTTCCTATTTTTGAAACTTCCGCCACCGCCTTGCGCGGTACTACTGGTATACAGATGAAAGAAATCAATCAGAATCAATCGGTTCAGTTTTCCGAGGGCTGCCGGTGCTGTTCTGGAACAATTGCGAAATTATTTGTCATCGAGACATGCCTCACAAGTATTCTTAAGTCATCATTATCTATCATAACCACTCGTTAATTCTACCGGGTCTGACATTTTTGGACGCCTTTTTGAAAGGTCACGCAATATGGTAGCTCCTTGGATGGTTTGACTGTCCCAAGCAAAGGCTACTCAGCTCATTTTGGGGCAGGCCATGGACATATTCCTTCGAACACATGAAAAAGTTGATCCTATGGATCCTATGGGTGGTCATCGACATAGCAAAGCCTGCCAGCGGCGATCTTGCACATGGACCAGCCGTGACAGCAGTATGCCTTGGGGGGGTCATGAAACGAGGTGATACTGTGGTTGACAATGCGGATTCTGCCGAAGGCAAATTTCAAGGGCACTATAAGTTTGAATTGCTGGACAGATTTGTGTTTGAAGTCTTGAATGCAGACGCGTTTTTCCACGTAACTGCACCACACAACTATGTGGCCTCAGATCGTCTCAAAAAGTATATAGCAACTTCAGATCGAGTGCGCGCTTTTCAGTTGGATAATCGGTCGCACCCTCTTGCATTTGCTGAACGCTTACGTCGTGGACACAGAAACAAGACGTTCCTGCCATATCTAGTACAAGGTCGTTCACCTGGGTCTCCCTTCAAGAATCAATACTTGAACGAACAGTGGGCAGAATGCGTGCATGCTGTTCGGGCTGCCGAACAGACGAGAGGTTTTGAGTACACCTACGTAGCCTTTGCGCGTATTGATCTTGCATGGCAAGCTTACCACCCCAGCTTACAGATGCTAGAAGCCACAAAATGTGAGAATTCCACGACTGTTTGGGCTGTGGCTGAAGATGATTATGGTGGGGTCATGGACAAATACTTCATCATGGAAAGACCTGGTGCTGCCATAATTGAAAGTTTTGCTGACGTCTTAAACTCTTTCGATAAGTTGGAAGCCGTTTATCGCATTGTGAGAGCGCAGACTTCTGTATCTGCTTCTTTGCCCTGGAACTACGAACGTTTCTTGCTACACACTCTACGAGCTGCCGGGCGGTGCATCCGCTACATGGTGCCAGTTGTCGGTCACAGGCGGCTTTCAGTGGCTTTTGGAGACATTTTGCACGAGGGCGGCACATGGGAGGTTACACCTGCCGATCCCTACCTGAAGATGGGCTGGTGTGGATATCTTCCCAAATATTGTTGTGGCGGAAGGAGGGTGGATTTTGGTGGTGATCTCTCATGTCTGTACAATTTGTGGAGGTCTCACGGACGTTGTAGGCGCCACCGAGCTTTGGTGCAAGTGCCACGCTCCCCAGGAGAGCCAGCCTTGCCCCCAGGGTACGGCCTGAAGCCGAAAGAAACAGCTGAGTTTAAGCTGAGTCGTTCTGAAAGGTGCGTTCTTCGCACATTCCAGCTACGAGCGTGTTGCCAGCAACCACACGTCCACCTCACCCTTCGACCCTCCAAACAAACAATCCAAAAATGGTCTATGTCTCCAGATGATGTGGATCCAGAGATAGCTTCAACGCATGAATCGAGGTGGCATTGTTTATTTGAGGATCCCAATTGGATTGCCGACAACAGAAAGAAACCATGGAATCTCATTGGCGCAGCGCACTGCTATGACTTGCATTTGCTTTGACTTTGTCCCACAACATGCCAGCCTTCTGAAAGTTGGACATGAAAGCAGTGTCACGAAACGATTCGAGAGGCAAGAGATGCTCACCGACTATTGAACGCACAGTAAAGAAGCATCGACATGAATTCAGCTTCTGCAACTTGGGTCTGGGTCTCCTTTACTGTAGCGTTTCCGAGACTGGGAGCTGCACATAGGTTCAGAATGGTTCAGACATGATCGAGGTTATTCCTTGAGACCCGGCAGTCAAAGGCACTGGTCTCCGAGCATTTCTTCTATTGGCCTCGGGCTATTCGATCTGTAAAGCAGACCGACAAGATTGGCTGCTGCGAAAAAAGCTAGCAAATTGATGGGCTCCGCACACGTGCGATGCTATATATTGAGAAAGGCCCTAAGGCGTGATCTCAGGTCAAAAGAGCATTACTATCAGAATTTTCCAACAATCGAATTATAAACCAATTTAAGGGCTTCCGCCTGACAGCCGGGCGCCGGCAGAGAAACGGCCTGAAGCAAGTGTAGGGAGCATGTTGCGCTCATGCTGAGGCTATGTTGGCGATATCTTAGACCATCCCGGATTGAAGGGCAGCCCTTGGGCCCATGTTGGGCCAGGTTGGGCCCATCTTGGGCCTATCTTGGGCCCATGTTGGGCCCATGTTGGCCTATGTTGGCTCTGTGTTGGCCCTATATGTTAGCCTATGTTAGCATGTTAGCCCTATCTTGGCCCTATCTTGGCCCTGTCTTGGCCCTATGTGGCCTATGTTGGCCCCATGTTGGCCCATCTTGGGGCCTATGTTGAGGCTATGTTGGCGATATGTGAGACCATCTCTGTTGAAAGACTTCCAAGATGCCAATTGTTCCTTCCTGGACCCCTCCGCGGAACCAAAAACCACAAAAAAACACGGTTTTTTAACTTTCAACAGCAAAAAATGGGATCCGCCGAGGCTACGAAACACGGTAAAAACCGATGTTTATTGTGACCTCACACACTAGACAAGAATTGATCATTATAGTGATCCGTCAGGAACTGAGTCCTGTAACATGCAAATTAGATGAAAAGCAAATTAACCTACGACGTTATAAACCTGACAGACACTGTGAAAACGGTTCCATGTCGTGGCGAGACGGAAAGAATCACCAAAATGATGTGACCACCAGCTATGCAACAGCATCCAGGTGCGTCACTAAGGTCCCTTTTTCTTGGCGAGACGGACAGAATCACCAAATGATGTGACCACCAGCTATGCAACAGCATCCAGGTGCGTCACTACGGTTCCATTTCATGGCGAGACGGACAGAATCACCATGTGACCACCAGCTATGCAACAGCATCCAGGTGCATCACTACGGTTCCATTTGGCGACCAGAAATAATCGTGAGACAAAACCCGAAAGTTGGACTGCAAGAGGTGATGCGGAGAATGGGGCCATGACCTGGTTGAAGTCGCGCGGAGGGCTGTAGCGAAGGGCGAAAGGCTCGAACTCGATGCAAAAACCCAAGAACTCCTGGTCCGGTTCCGTTTCCAAAATGATTGGGTGGCCGTAGAACTCCGGGTGAAGGAAATTGGCGAAGCAGATTTCGTAGTCCCACGAAGGATCCGACAAACACAGTCTGTTGTCAACATAGCGAAGGAGGCGAGCTGTAAGATCCATGGTAGTCAGGGTAGTACGGTAAGTTCGGTACCAGATTTCTTCAGAAAGTGCGACGACCATCATGCACAATGCCGGACTCAGTGGGGAGCCCATAGGAGAGCCGCGGATTTGCTCGAAAACAGAAGTGCCAATGGAAAATTGGGTCATCTTCAAGGACATAAGGATGATGCGTTCAATGTCACGAATGAAGATCTTCCTGGTCACATTGAGTGTACGACACGTGCGGCCTTTGACTACATCGCCTGTGGTATTGCCAGGGGTCGCCTTCACTGAGATGACTTCGTCGGGGTCGGTACTCATGAGGGTCGAGAGGAATTGCAAGGTCAGTCGCCAGCTGGCAATGAAGCGGTCAGTGTCAATACTTGTGAAAAAACCAGCAAGATCTTGGTTGTGTATACGCGGAGTAGGGAACGTATCGAAGTCGGTGTCCTTGAGGAGCTTGATGAGGTCGAAGACATCACCTTTTGCCAGGTTGTGGGGAAACGCTTGGGGCAGGAGGTTGTAGATCAGTTTGGCGATGCAGTTCAACATGGGCCGGAAAGGTGCAGTGAAGAAGCTGACAATGGGTCGCCCAGCCCGAAACTGTTTCTTCCGCTTGGGCAGGACGTAGGCGTTCGGTAGGTCCCGTCCAGCGCCAAGGGCCCATGGGTATGCCTTGCCAAATTGGTTATTGATCTCGGCGATGGTCTTCTCGATGATGTCATTTGGGCTGTTCTCCAATTTTCGAAACACCAACGGGTCGGCGAAGGTGGTGGTGAGGCACTGGAAGTAGAGTACTGGGCAGTAGATTCGTAGGGATGTAGCTCGCTTGTCCTCGTTGTGAAAGATGGCTTCTGGAAAGAGGCGTTTGAAGCGTACGATGTCTTTGTGCGTGATGTGATTGTGGAGGGCGTGGTAGTGGGAGTGAATAGAGCGGTGCCAAAGTTCATCAAGATGGGTTTTTTGTAATGAAGGGAGTGAGTTCCGGGTAGTCCACGTCCGCAGAGCAAGGCGAAGGGATATCTGGATTTCTTTGGAGGGTGGGAAGATTTTGTTTTGAAGCGAGCCCGTCGCGATGGATGTGTGTGGGCCTTCATCGAAATGTAGGTTGTCGCCCTCCAGGACCAAGTGGTGATCAGATTGGTGATGATGAAGAGCATGAGGTCGTAAAGCGTCACAGGCACACTTTGGGGTTTCACCATCAGCCCACTTGGTAGCGGCTTCTTTGTGGTTGCACAAGCTGTCCATAACCGACGGGAACTTTGTGAAGACAATCCCGGTGGAAGGAGTCTGCAATGTGGTGTTGTAGCATCGGGTTCGATGGACATGGGAAGTGAGCAACTGTCGAAGGTCGCGAGTCCAATTGGGGGCTAGTAGCCAAGGTGCACGAAGGGGAACCGGTTTTCGGACTCGTTTGGCTTTCCAGAAGGTCAAGGCACGGTCAATGGCATTGATTGCGTACGACCTTTGAGGTTCTCCAAGGTTGTTGGCAAGGCGTCGAATGAAATAGCATCCTTGGGCGCCAGTTTCATTTGATCGAAGTCTCTTCTCCATGTGGAAGCGTCGGACGGAGTTGCTGCCCAAATCCTGAATGATCTCCCAGAGTTGTACTCGTCGATGGAAAAGAGGACTATGAAGAGCGCGTCGAAGATGCTGAGGTGTAGATTGCCAACGGAGTTTCCGCCACAAAGAAAATGCTCCAAATTGCCGTGAATTGGAAAATTTGGTACGCGAAATGAGTCCCTTGCGGCAATTGAACTAGACGACGGATGGCCCGAGAGCGTAGAGGAGCAGGGTCTTCTCTTGTTAGTATGGAGATGCAATTTTAGAAACGATATATGAAAGCTGTGTTATAGGCAGTCGAGAAGAGGAGTATCAAGACAAAATAGTGAGAAGTGCAAGACAATAGTTTGCATCGCAAACACTTTTACACACAGACGCTTTTACACACAGACGCTTTTACACACAAAGCTTTTACCCACAGAAGCTTTTACCCACAGAAACTTTTACATACAGAAGCTTTTACATACAGAAGCTTTTACACACAGAAGCTTTTACATACAGAAGCTTTTACAAACAGACGCTTCTACACAGACACTTTTACACACAGACCCTTTTACACACAGGAGCTGCTTTTACACACAAACGCTTGTACACACAGAAGCTTTTACACATAGACGCTTTTACACTTTGCCGATCGACCCTCATTTGCTGCGAAAGGGTTGCTGCGGAGCAAGTAAAATCGCAATTTTACCTCAGTTTTTGCCGATCGACCTTCATTTCGTGCGAAAGGGTTGCCGTAGCACAAGTAAAATTGCAATTTTACCTCAGTTTTTGCCGATCGACCCTCATTTCGTGCGAAAGGGTTGCTCCGGCACAAGTATAATCGCAATTTTGCCTCAGTTTTTGCCGATCGACCCTCGTTTGCTGCGACAGGGTTGCCGTAGCACAAGTAAAATCGCAATTTTTCCTCAGTTTTTGCCGATCGACCTTCATTTCGTGCGAAAGGGTTGCCGTAGCACAAGTAAAATTGCAATTTTACCTCAGTTTTTGCCGATCGACCCTCATTTCGTGCGAAAGGGTTGCTCCGGCACAAGTAAAATCGCAATTTTACATCAGTTTTTGCCGATCGACCCTCATTTCGTGCGAAAGGGTTGCTCCGGGACAAGTCAAATCGCAATTTTACCTCAGTTTTTGCCGATCGACCTTCATTTCGTGCGAAAGGGTTGCCGTAGCACAAGTAAAATTGCAATTTTACCTCAGTTTTTGCCGATCGACCCTCATTTCGTGCGAAAGGGTTGCTCCGGCACAAGTCAAATCGCAATTTTACCGCAGTTTTTGCCGATCGACCCTCATTTCGTGCGAAAGGGTTGACGTTTCGTGACTCGCCGCCGGCACCACCCTCGGCCTTAAGAGAGAAAGATAAAAAGAAGGCGTGAGAGAGAAGGTGAGCAGGTGTGAAGATGAGCAGATGTGAAGATGAGCAGATGTGAAGATGAGCAGATGTGAAGATGAGCAGATGTGAAGATGAGCAGATGTGAAGATGAGAAGATGTGAAGATGGGAAGGTGTGAAGATGAGCAGATGTGATGATGGGAAGGTGTGAAGATGAGCAGATGTGAAGATGAGCAGATGTGAAGATGAGAAGATGTGAAGATGGGAAGGTGTGAAGATGAGCAGATGTGAAGATGGGAAGGTGTGAAGATGAGCAGATGTGAAGATGAGAAGATGTGAAGATGGGAAGGTGTGAAGATGAGCAGATGTGAAGATGGGAAGGTGTGAAGATGAGCAGATGAGCAGATGTGAAGATGGGAAGGTGTGAAGATGAGCAGATGTGAAGATGAGAGGATGTGAAGATGAGAGGATGTGAAGATGAGCAGATGTGAAGATGAGAGGATGTGAAGATGAGAGGATGTAAAGATGAAAAGATGTGAAGATGAGAGGATGTAAAGATGAAAAGATGTGAAGATGAGAGGATGTGAAGATGAGATGTGAAGATGAGAGGATGTGAAGATGAGATGTGAAGATGAGAGGATGTGAAGATGAGATGTGAAGATGAGAAGATGTTTGACAGACCCCCACTATTGGAAGAACCCTGCGCTCAGACGCCCTCGGGAAAAACTGGTAAATGAACGGAGTATTCAATCGAGGTTGCCATAGTTGAATTAAGGCTTGTTCCAAAGCCCAAAAGTTGGATTTATTG